AATAAATATATATCCTGAAGCCAAATACCCATTTAGATAGAATTGATACTATGAACAATAAACTACTATTTTACATGGCTTTGATTGTTGCATACTGGATTATTTAACCAAGAAACAAGCCTGCTACAAAAGACTGCAGACTTAATTTGGAAATCTGCACTTGAAACGCAGACTGACAGATTGGCTATTCATCCCCTGAGATTTTGTTAATTAAACAAGTGCCCTTCTAACATTGATTTTTTTTGAGGGGGGGGGGTACACTCTTAAGTACGGCCAGTAGTTGGTTAATAAAACTGTAAGTAAAGATATTGGTGTAAGTAACTGAGTTAACCATCTTAGTTCAAAAACAAAAAATGGACCTATGCATCATTGTGGCCAGCAAACATTTAAAATATGGCATTCATGTGTTTGCATAAGACTAGCAGAATGTTCAGTAAAAGGACATGCATGCATGTGTGAGACTGATTTATTTTATTTTATTTTTATTTGGCCACTTTCTACAACAGTTGGATCCCTTTTGGTCTTTCCTGCCTCATCAACTTTCCCAGTTTCCCTTACTTTCTCAATTTCTTTTGATCCTCTGTCTCTTATCTTCAGACTTATCACTTAACTGCCCAGAGGACTCAGATCTCAGGGCACACCAGCTGCAACAATAACTTCAAAAGGCATGTTAAAGCAGCTTGTGAAAAGTACTCGTTTGTGCACAGACCTCTCTGTATGCTATTCTGTTTTTTATTTTCTCTGAACAGAGCTAATACAGATTAAGGAAAGATATATAGAACTAATCCGGACCAGTTTTCCTTTATGAACTGACTTAATTCAGTTGCCTTGTAATTGATGGCTCTTTGTAACCTAGTCTTCCAGTTAGTTTCAGGTGTGTTGGAATGAAGGCTGCCAAATTCAGGTTTACCCAAGATCAGATAGCTCATGGATAACCATCATGAAATGCCTGTAAAATGTCAGTTTGGGGAAGGACATAGTTGAATGAATCCACCTTTATTCAGTTCATGATTTCTTTAAGGAGTTCTCATATTCTGCCTTGAAAACTAATGTCTGTGAATCATTTTATGAAAATGTTGGATTGAGTTTCAGACTTCTGGTTCCCGGTGGTGCATTAAATCCTTCCTTCTATTGGCAAGGAAGAAAGGGGGGTCCTTTGTTTAGCCAGACAAATTCAAAAACTGTCAACTCCAGATGTTCTGAGAGAGACTCCAGGCAGGTCTTGCTACAGAATAGAGAATGGCCCTTGGGACTCTGTAGATGCTGAGTTTCATTTAGTATTTTAGCATCATAGTAGCAGTTGAAAGGAAAGGTGAAAATAAAGCAGTTGAATACAGTATACTATTAATGATGAGGGGTTGCCAATTATATATAAAAAATTCTATCTTTGCTTTCTCCCAGTGCAAAAGCCAAAGTGGTTCTGCACTATAAATATTTTTTAAAGTAAGTAACCATATTAAAACAGCACTAGAAAACTATTTAAAGTGCACATACACACAAAAGTACAACACCCACTCTCAGAAGATCCTAGCACAACATCAGTTACTGGCCAAAGGCCTGGTGGAACAAAAAAAAAAGTATTTGTCTGCCAGTGGATGGAAAGCAGAGAGAAAGCCAGCCTAGCCTCTTGTGGAAGGGGAGCGTCACAATCTGAGAACAGAGAACAGCTACCCAAAAGGTCCTCTCTTGTGTCCATGCCTGTGAAGGTAGCAGGACTGAGAGAAAATCTACCCTTTCAGAAAATAGCAGGCTCATACAGAGAGATATGGTCCTTCAGATAGTATGAACCCAGGCTATGTTTAGATATATGCTAGTTCTGATTGGAGGCCCCACTGTTCTGAATGTCTGTTTCCTTATTAATTGGGCATGAACAACCAGCAGTCTTATTTTCAGCATGGGGTGGTGGTATAATCCGAAACTTCTTAAACTGGGAGAATGTATATCTACATCTATGTCTGTCTGTCTCCCCCCCCCCCCAAAAAAAGCTAGATTTTAAAGACTGATAGAATAAGCATGTTTTAGAGCAGTACTGGAATTATGTGTGATGAGTTTTGTAGAGTATATTACTTCTTGTGCATTATTTCTTTTTAGTATACTGTTACCAAGCAACCCTCTTTCCCCAACTTCTTCCATGGAGTTCCAGAAGGTGGTACTGGCACTGTTGCTCTCCATGGAAATTACCTTGTGGGGTTCCACAAGGTTCAGTTTTGTCTCCTGTACTATTTAACATCTGCAGGAATTTTTCAGGGTGAAATCATCTGGAGTCCTTGGGTTTGATGCTTTCAGTATGGTGTTGACACATAGCTGTTTTCCTTTTTCTCATCCAATCTACATGTGGTAGAATCTTCCTTCACCAAGAATCTGGGACCAGTGTTAGACTATTTCAGCACTGGCTGCTAGTGTGTTTCTAGACCCATTTCAGGACTCTGGCTCTCTAGCTCATTGTTGGCCTATAAGTCCCATCAGCGCCCTCAATGGTCAAAGATGACCAGTGTAGCCCAGCAATATTTGGAGGGCCACAGGTTAGTCATTACTGTCCACCACTGTCCAAAATAGGTCCCATTATCTCAGAGGAATTTTTCCTCTCATTGTGTTCCATTCCTATTCCTAGGATCAAGATCTGCTAATGAAAATCTGTGTTTTTGGGTTTCTGTCCTTTTTGGACTTTAGGTTAGTACAGTCTTCCCTAACCTGATCCTTCTCCAGATGTTTTGGACTAGAACTCTTGTCAGCCCCAGACAGCATGGCCAATGTTCAAGAATGATGGGGGTTGTAGTCTTAACAATGTATGGATGGTGCCAGGTGTGGAAAACCTGGGTTAATATTTAATAGGAGTGAAACTACTTAAGTTGAAGCCTCAACATTTTGGAATGCTGTTCTCTGGGAATGCTGTTCACTGGGAGATCTGTCTACCTGTCATCTTCTCTTGCTATTTTTCAAAGGCAGGAGAAGGCATTTTCATTCTATCGGGCCTTGGAAGCTTGGCTTTTAGATTGCCTCTCACTGTTTTAAATTTTTCTCTTTGCGCTTTATAGATTAATTTTGTTGCATTTTGAAATGGGTTGGATCCAGAGTACTCAGAGCTTGACTCATTTTTTTTTCCTTTTTGTCTCCAAAAGCTGCTTCAGGGGTTGGGGGCCTAGAAGAGTTGGGTAGATAATGCTTGGGGGCAGCTGGCCGGAAGGGGGAATTGGCTGCCAAAAAAGAAACCCTTTGTTCTCAGAAACCTCTGCAGATAACAAAAGGTCTGTAGAGAGCAATAGGTCCCAGGTTCAGTCTTTGGTATCTCCAGCTGTCAGGAGCCAGAGTCAGGAGTAGGTCAGCCATAAAAAAAAACCTGGTGTCAGTGAAGTTAACTCTTTATTCAAAACATAAAGAGGCAGGCCTAGTGAACCCAGCAACTCTTCCCAGAATGTCTTGCCCCAAGGAGGCAGTTGCTAGGGCTGAAGGTCCCTACCTTCCCATTTCTCTCTAAGATTTCCCCCATGGGTGTAGTCAGGGTTTTTGTTGGGGGGGCAGGCTATTGTTAGAGGGGGCAGAAGCTCAGATTTGTATTGATTTTTATTGATGGCGGGCAGCTGTCCCCTCCCCCCCTTGGCTATGCCCATGGCTTCTTCCCCAGTTACTTCCTTAGCAGCCTAAGGCTCTGGCATCTTGCCTCTCTTTGTTCCACCTTCTTCATTTCTCTGCATATTTTGGGAGACCAGGGGGGAGGAGAGCTGGTCACAGCAAGAGGGGGAAATTCCCTGGCTTCTTCAACTGCCTGCCTCCACACTCAGCCCCTTGACCCTCCCTCCTGCTTCTGCACTCTGCTACAGCCTTCTCCTGCTCACCAAACCCTGTTACCTCTTCAGTTTCTGACACTTTCTCTTCCCAGTCTGCCCCCTCTTTTCCCTTTCACCATGCAGTGTTGTCCCAGCACCAGTCTCTTGGCTCTGAGCCTTCTTTCCTTGGGGGTTCTCGAGCTGGTGCCTTCCACCACCTCTCTGTGCCCAACCAGAAAGGAACAGGAATGACTTCTGTCTGAAATTCAGGTGGGCTGCTGTCAGTCAGGCCACCTCACTCAGTATTGTATATCCTGATTGACAGACTAAAAGCTTCTTAATTTTTTTAGTTGGATTCAACAGTCTGTATTTAATTGGCATATTCACAATTCTCTCTGTGTGTGTGTTTATAAAAAGTAATACCAATAATATATGGGAACTGCAAAAAGCAATTGCATTGTGGAGTGCTCCTGTTAATGGTGCCAGAAGCAAAAAGCCTGTTCCGCAGTGAATCTTAACAAATTTGTTGATTCTTCTGCAGAAAACTGCAGCTTCTGCAGAAAAGAGGCCTTTGTTTCAGGCAAACATATGCAAAAATCATATGGGAGGTAATGCACTCCAGCCCACATCCAGTGTGCTGTAACACAGATAGCTAAAATGGTGTCCTCAGATGTGTTGGACTCTAGCTTCCATCTGGGCTCTCAGCCAGCATGACCAGTTGTCAGGGATGATGGAAGTTGTAGTCCATTAACATCTGGAGTTGGTTGTTAGGCTAGGCCTGTGGAGACCTTGGTTTGATCCTTGGTTGGCTTTAAGTAAAGCACTTTTGGTTATCCTGGGCTCTTTATGCTGTTTAAGCCCAACTGGTCATACATGGTTGTTGGGAGAATAACATGGAACATAACGAAGGAAGGGATTTAAATATGAAAAATAAATGAAGTATGCATATAAATAGTTGAACAAGTTATAACAGACTTTTTAATATCCACTTGCCTTTTCATCTGGGGTGGTAAGATGAAATCAGTGAAGAATACAGTATATAGGACAGACTGCAGGTTTGGAATCAGTATTCGAATGTTGCTTTGCTTTGCCTATATGGAGAAGATAGCAGAATGAGGCTCAGGCTAGTAAAATTGTTCCTTCCTAAAGTGCTACAGGTTACTTGCAGGGAGAGAGCAGGGTGTAAATTCTAAAATGCCACCTCACACATGCCTGCAGCCCGAACCCTCGAATTCAATGCAGCCCTTCAGTCAGGTGCTTGATAAATCCACATATTTAGTGGCCCAAGCAGGTAGCGAATATGGAAAGTTTTAAGTGAAGGGTGGGTAATTAATTCAAAAGCAACATCGTTGTATGCTTTGTGCACATGAGTCTTGGTTCATGTGTGTTCCATACCTTCTTCTCCCATGGGAGGAATGAGGACTTTGACCATGTTTCATTTAACTTTCCATTGTTTGGATAAATGGATAAACCAGAGATCATGGTGTAAAACAAACTCTGGTCAGTTTCCAAACAAGCTGCTTGTTTAACCAACCAGAGTTCATTTTAAACTACAGTATCTGAATTATATGCAATCCAGGCTTCATGGAAAGCAAAACTAAATTCTTCTAAACTTCCACATGGAAGGAAGAGAGTGGGTTTAGTGATATTTGCAGTTTTACTTGAGAAGCAGGCCTTCTGAAGTTTGCAAGTGCTTCTAAATTATCATGCCTAACCTGACAGTGTTCGAGATAAGTTGTAAATAAGCCAATAACTACTTTAACTTCCTACAGGCAATGCACAAAGAGGAAGAATTCAGAGAATCAAAAACAGCACTTTCATTAGTTTTAGAAAGATTTTAGGGTCAGGAAAACATCCCCTTTTGAGTTTCAGCAGAAAATTCCAGGAAGCCAAGGGTAACTTCCTACATGGTGTGGGGGCCCTTCGGAATTTCCTTTTTTTAAAAAAGAGAGCTAATGTTCTCATAGGAAAAAGTCGTGTTTTAACACTGTGGTGATACTTGCACATGACTTAACATTCTGCAGTAACTCCGAGATATATAATGGTGCATTTCACCTTTAATATGGGAATGCAGAAAGCTTGAATTTGGAAAACAAAACAGTTGAATCCACATGGCCCAAATGGCAGGCCTAGATATCCAGCTTCCATTTGATTCTATAAGAGTTGGGTAAACGCACTGAGTTCTCAGCTGGATAAGAACATAAAGCCAGTGGCCCATCTAGTCCAGCATCCTGTTCTCACAGTGTCCAACCAGATGCCTGTGCGAAACCCACAAGGAGGAACTGAGCACCAAAGCACTCTCCCCTCCTATGGTTTGTAGCAGCAACTGGTATTCACAGATAAGGGTGTACTTCATAAAAAAGACACAAGCTTGTGAGCTTGTAGAATTAGCCTACAACAAGCTATGAGTACCTAGTAAGATTACAGGTACCTAGTAAATCTTGCTTTTGAAGACAAACTTGCCAAGATAATAAAAAATGCAAAAGGCTGTTTTTCTCCTCCTTTGTCATGTATATGCATTCGTATTGTGTGCATATGTGTTGACTGTTCTTTTATAAACTATCAGTCTTTCTGGAACAATAGAATAGAATAATAGGAGAAGAATAAAACTGAGGAAAATAGCATGTCCTCATCTGGAGTACTTCATGTAGCCTGTTAGTCATTTATACAGCATCGTCTTAACTAGATAAAATGGCCAAACAAATCCATTTCAGAGAATAAGGTTTAGCTTGGCAGAGTGCTCTGCCTCAGCTATTGAATAAGGGCATTTATCTTCACCACCTTTCTAAAGCTGATGACAAAGAGCCAATGAAACTATAAAGATTCTGTTTGTTTTATTACAAGAAGAACAGACTGTAATTTTTTATGAATATACTGAATAGACTGTAGCAACATTTAAACACTCTGCTCTAGTGTGATCCTAGAATGACAAAAACACATTAAAAAAGCAAAGAAAAGGTTCTTTGTGGTGAACTCTAAGCCACAGTTAACATTCCCACTTTCCTTGCGGTTGGATATTTCTCCATCTACAAAAATGAGTGCAATGTTAACTCCTTCAAAACAGTGGCAAAAACCATCTCCAATTTCTCTTCATGGCATTGGAGAGCAGCCATTTTTGCAAGTTTTGTTTTGAAAAACTGTTTGGGTGAGCGGTGGATCTCCCTGTTCAGAGGGCTATGAAAATCAAGGGCAGTTCTCTAGAGGCAGAAATGCCAAAGGGGTAAAACAGAGTAAGCTGCTTTAGTTTGTTAAATCTAGTCATAACATCATGTAATTGAGACGAATGAAAGGCCTTCAGTTTTTCACAGTAACTCAATTTTTCTTTTGTTCTTGAGATCTGAGTTGACTCTTGAAGTATAATAGTTCTTGGTCAGTTAGAGGAAAAAATAAATTAGCACACACCCAGAGTTAAGTCCCATGCACCTCAATGTCTAAACAGGCCTGGCTTTTCTTAAAATATGTACCCAATATATTTAAACATTGATTCTTTAAAAAAACAACGCATTGTATATGCAGTTATACTGAAGCTATGATAGAAGCTGAATGTAATTTAAAACTGCCACATTGGTGTGGTTAAAGGTTAGCCATTTTTCTGTTGTCTCGTGGATATGAAGGTGTATATCTGTAACTTGAGGCAGTCGGCCAGTGTGAGACTTTATACCTCCAACTTTTACTTAGTGATCTAAAACCCAAGCTTCAAATATCCCAATAAAAGAACAGATGATCTTATTGAATGTTGACAGTCTAGCCAATGGTCTTGCCTAATGCAATTTTCAGAAGTATAAGGGGAGACAGTTCCCATAATTCTTTGGAAGGAACCATGTGCTTTAAAGTGTGCGTTGAATATGCTTTAACTGCATTCTGTGGATCTGCCCAGAACTAGGTTGGGTTATGTCTTCTGGCAGCCTATGGGGTCCAAAAGGTTCAGGAAAAGGGATGCACAGGAATCTGCTAAGCGTCTGCTACGTGACAGGTTCCTTAGACTAAGGAACAAAGCTGAAGGAAGCAACTCTCTAAGGACATCTATACCCTTCTTAGCTCCCCAGCTGTTCCAGCTACACTGATGAACTGCAGTATAATTACCATTATTTGGGCTGGGCTGTAGAGCAGGAAAGACCAGACCAATAGCTTCCTCTGCCAGAAAGCTGTTCCACTGGCACTGGTCCTTGGTTTGAATCTACTGGTGACTTAACGGAGAGCTTAAGTAGTGATTGAAATAGTATTGACATAGTATTTAGCTGCTTATAGCTTTTGCTGCACTTCTCTGTAAATCTCATGCTGTATATGAAATACTTTCATACTGCGTTTTCAAATTAGCCTCTTTAAAGTCAGTGTTTGCTACATTGCTTTTTATAATATTTTTCATTGTTGCTTTGTTCTGCAAAGGTTACAGAAAGTTCAGTGCTATTTCCTTGTTTGTTAAGTAAGTACACCAGTTGCCTTGCAATATCTCCTGGTAGTTGAAAAGAATATGTTTAGTCTGAGGTACATAGGTAAAAATTTCAGACAGATGTTTCCTATAAACATGGAAGCTGAGGGTTGCTTTTGTTCCCCTGAATACAATATGGGGCATATGCTGAGTTGTGAAATGATTTGCCCATGCAAACGGCTGCTTATTTAATGTAAACCTTTGTCTGGTGTGTGGGATTTCCTTGCTTGTTTTGTAATGTGGATTGCTGTGTTATAACAACAGAACTCATTTATTTTGTAAAAGGTAGGAAGCAAAACAAACAGTGTGAAGGCAAAGGAGGAATTTGTTAAGGAGACAGACAAAGGTGTCTACCTTTCCGTTCCGTATCACTTGCTTACTTTCATTTTTAAAAATAATAATAGAATAAGAAGAAGATAGCTCTACATTGCTGATAGTCTAAACCCACAGTCCTATGCATTTTCAGTCTAACCAAAGAACAGTTTGCATTTTCCTTTTATATGTGTATATTGATATTAAAATAGCCTTCAGTAGCCATCACTATAAGAAGAAATACATCAGTTGCCTTCAGCTTAGTGTTAAGTAATTCCTTGTGTAAGTAAAGCAACTTCCACTTTGGCAATGGGACTCTCTTCCCATCACCACCACCACACTCTCCTTCCAGGTGCATGCCAACATCTGTCACAGAGGTTCTCCCAACTCTCCGGATTAGATCTGTGGATAGAGAGAAGAGGAAAGGGTGGAAAGCCCTGTTGCACAAGTCATTCCCCTCATGCAATGATTTAAAAGAATACTGCCCAATAGTATTTGCGGTACATGAATTAACAGAGAAAATATAGTTCTGGGCCAACACCACTGTGTGTCAGCTGGTGCTGCTCCTTCCTTTACACCCCATGACTATGGGTACAATCAACCATTGTGATCTTACAGCACAACTTGGATTCTTAAGATTGATCTTGTGCTCAGGAGTTGGTTGTTAAATCTTAACTGTATGTAAGCCATCTGGAAAATCTCATTACTGAAATCAAGTACTTCAAAAGGAAGAACTAAGTTTAGCACTTCATGTGTTAAGTTATCATACATGCTGTGAAACATCCAGAATGTTAATTTTTCAGTGAAGTAAACAGGTTCTGCTAATGAAATGTTTTAAAATTTGGAGCATGCACCGTGAAATGCTGAGTGATTTCTTAACTGCTATACCTCTATTTTTACATTGCATCTAAATTATTTCCCCAGGTATATCCTGCATTTATGAAGGGATGCAGAGTTTCAACAAAAGAAATACAAAACAGGTGAGTAAACTGGAGGGTACTTTTTTCATGTGCTGAATAGCTCTGCATGTAACTTGGGGGATGACGTAATGAGGAACAATCCATCAGATTATGTGATAGCAGTAGAAACTAGACTGATAACACTTGCATTATAGAAGTCTCATGGTGAACGTAACATTTCTTTACTGAAAACTGCCCACTACATTCCATTACCAGGTGCTGGTAGCCATGGGGTGGGGGGAAGTTCTTGTGCTTGACACATGCGACTTGTTCAGCCATTGAGGGAGCAAGATGCTGGACGAGATGGACTGTTGGTCTGATCCAGTAGGCTCTTCTTCTGTTTTAGGTTCATTTTTAAAAATTCTAATGGAAACACTTTGTATCCAAATGTGAAGTTTGAAGTTGCTTGACCAGGCAAGCTTTCAGAAGTTTTCTACACAGCAGAAAAGGTTGAAGATGGTCTTCGCAGAGGTTGTTCTTCCTCTTGACAATTGTTCTAACCTTTCTCTTTTACTATACTTTTAATGATGAATTTGCAGGGTGGTGTTCATCTCTACTTGAAAAGGTATTTACCTAGATAGGTTGCTTGTTTTGCCTGGCTACCTCATTGATTGTTTTGTTTTTGTTTTTAATTACATTTTTATTCTGTTTTTCCTCCAAGAGCATTCAGGGCAACATTTTGGGTTCTCCCCACCCCCACCCATTTTATCCTCACAATAACCTTGTGAATTAGGTTCAGACTATGAGATATTGGCTGGTTCAAGATCATCCAATGACCTTCAAGTCTGAATGGTTATTTGAAGCTGGGTCTTCCCAGTTGTATTCTGACACTCCTTGACTTACGCACCATACTGGCCCTGGAAACACATATGCCAGGATGCCATTTTAAGTTATCTCCCCTTTCCGTCTTTTATTATTCTGACAAATCAGTAGCAATTTTATTAGCTGTGTTTAAGAAAAACGGTTCAATTTCAGCACTTTATTGCTTCAATTTGTCCCATTTCAAACAAAGAGTCTTGCAATGCCTTTATACTAACGTCTCTTCCAAGCAATCTGTTTATTTGAGCATCCATCTGAATTGGTTTGTGGTGAGGCTATACAACATTGTGTTAAACAACTTTTATTCCACACTTTCCAGTGCATTTTCCTGTCTCTTTCCTACCTCTAAAATATCAGGTTCTTTTTTGGGGGAAAGTGAGTCCCAAATCCACTTCAATTGCACAACTTAAATTTGACAGGAAGTGATTGAGTCTCTCCTACAAAACACTGACAGTCTGGAAGTGACCTAAAAATTTATTATGACATAAGATTTTATGCACCACAGCCTACTTCATCTGGTGAAATGTAATCCTAAATTGCTCAGCATTTGGTGGTGGTGGTAGGAATGCTATCTGAGGGAAATGAAATGCTAAAAGAACACAGTGACAATTACCTGAAAGCAAGTGACTGTTTAATATTACAATGTCTTTATAACATTATTAGACAATTTGAAGGGTTCTTGGCAATATTGTTGTTTGAAAATGGAAGTGAGAAATGTAAAACATTAACACTCTGATCCCACACATGTTTACTTGGAAGTAAACTACATTAATTTCAATGCCAATTACTTCAAAGTGGGTGTGCTTAGAGTCACATTCTTCTTTTGAAGGAAAATCATAATAATGGCTTTTGTAACTTGTTTATTTGTTTCCCCTCCTCTGATGTGCATTTTATTATTATTTCAGTAGAGGAGTTTGTTGATTTCTTGTTTCTTATTCTTACTGTTCTTTGAAAACATATATTTTTAAAAACCCACGTATCTCATGTTTCAAGAACAAACATTTCAATATTTGGAAAGGAGTGACCTAAGCAATGCAGAACAGGGGTGATCTCATTACTGGACTTTATCCAATTTTTGTAGGCTATAACTCTAATATTTTAAGCACCCTAGTCTCTCCCGAGTATATTTCAAGCTGTTTTGTGTGAGATGAGATCAGCATCTTGCATCCAGCAGAAAATTACTGCTTAATTACCAGCAATAAATCAGTGTAGCTTTCTTTAAAAAACAAAACAAAAACAAAATACAAGTTCACTATGTAGCCAGAACCACGAATATTACTTGAGTGATAATAAATGGACAAATACTATCTTTGGGGGGGGGGTGGAAGGTGTTTTTTTAATTTAAAAAATGCTCACTTTTTTAAATTAAAAAGTTTGTATTTAATTGTGATGTGAAAAATATAAAAGTCAAACACATTTAGAAATAATATTCAAGAAAACAAAGGTGCAATAATCCTAATTAGTTTGTTTTGTTTGTTTGCTTTTTAAAAGTATGGTATGATGTATAGCCACTAGATAGGCAAGAGTGTTGTTCTAAAATGATAGTTGAGATTATGGAAGTCTGTTATTTATTAGTTTGTTGTTCATGTGAGAGATAAATAGCTATCACATTTCAAAAAAATGAGCCTTGCTTGTTTGCACTCCCCAACCCCTAAGAGTCTGCGTTTGGTAAGTGATTTTTTTCCTCAGAGGGAACCAAGTACTAGATCCTTCCATCTAGTACTAGTACTCCCATTTAGTACTAGTACTCCCATCTAGTACTATCACTTCTGCATTAAGTAGCTTGATGAAGTTGATGAAGTTTTCCAGGAATATTGAAAATTCATTAAGAAGTTAAGAAGAGCCCTGTTGGATTACACCATGTTGTTTCCCACAGTGACCAAACAGATGTCTATGTGTAACCTTGAAGCAGAACATGAATGGAATATCCCTCTCCTGATCATTGTCCTCATAGTCAGAAACATGCTACCTCTCATGCTGAAGCTGGTATAGTCTCCATAAATAATACTCATTAGGTTCTGATTGTACTTACTAGTGATTTTCATTCCCCATTGACTTCATTAATTCATTCATTCACTCCTGACACTGGCATGCTGTCCCATAACAGAGAGTTCTCTGGGCAGTTGCTTATCTGTCAAGGAACCTCTGCATGTTGCAAAGAATTCTGTGGATGGGAAAATGTTATGGTACAGTTCATACAAGATAACTCAAGACAGCTTCTCCCCTTAACTTAACCATTCATCTCCCCAAGGAGGCTTCTCTGGTGCTTAAACCTGATGCCTTTGTGGTGTGAGGTAAAGTTCTCCTTGGTGGCGCTGTGGGTAAAACCTCAGTGCCTAGGACTTGCCGATCATATGGTCGGCGGTTCGAATCCCCGCGGCGGGGTGAGCTCCCATCTTCGGTCCCAGCTCCTGCTCACCTAGCAGTTCGAAAGCACCTCTAAGTGCAAGTAGATAAATAGGTACCGCTTTATAGCGGGAAGGTAAATGGCGTTTCCATGTGCTGTGCTGGTGCTGGCTCGCCAGAGCAGCTTTGTCACGCTGGCCACGTGACCCGGAAGTGTCTCCGGACAGCACTGGCCCCCGGCCTCTTAAGTGAGATGGGCGCGCAACCCCAGAGTCGGACACGACTGGCCCATACGGGCAGGGGTACCTTTACCTTTTTTAAAGTTCTCCTTACTTACTGAGGCTTTTAAAGATGTGGGTTTTTATGTTAAGAATTCTGCAGTTAAGTATAGTTTTTGTATGCACTTTTTAAAATCTGTGACTTAGGAAAAGGGTGATTGTGCACACAGAAAAATAATGCATTTGAACATGAAAGTTTAAGCACTTTTAAAGGCCTAAAACTTTCACTAAATAAGAGCACATTCTTTCCCACAGTTAATGTTGTTTTGTTTGTTTATTGGGAAAAGTCAGTGCTGTGAAGAACAAAAGGAAATTCAATACTTGGGAGGTTGAAAACAACTATTGAAATCAAACTGGTTTTCAAGATCAAACTAAGCATTTTTCTTCCTGGAGATTGGATGCACATCAGGTCACTTCCTGGAGCTGTCAAATTCATTATAAATGTAAACGGTTCTTGAGAAGGGGGACACATATGCTGAGGCAATTTTTTTTTTTTTACACAGCCATTCAAAATTTAACATTTTTAAAATGTCTATCCTCTGGTGACTGGCCTTTGGTTTTCCTTCCTGTGAATTGCCACATTTTAATCCCCCTTATTTAATTAAGCTGTCAATCATTTTGCTTCAGTGCTGGGGCGACCTGGTCTTACCCAAGGTTTTTGTGGCACAAGTTCCTGCTCCTGCTCCAGCTGCTAAAGCAGCATGCTGGGTGAAGTAAGTGTTCTGCTCCCATTCTTCCGTGAAGCACTCCAAACACCCTTTTAAAACAGGTTTTCCTGGTGCAGGCACACAGCCAGATATACAGGGAACCTTTGTTGGACCTTAGGATGCTGCACAAGGGGCCATGGGCAGCCTCATTTCTGTGCCATTCTGTGACATATAAGCACTGAAGGAGGAGTCACTGCCTCAACAGGAGGACGGGAACAAGCTTTCCCCTTGTTAAGCAGAACTTGGAGCTGTATGGTTGAAGTTCTAGACATTTTGATCATGGCACATTACTAATGAAGTTCAACTTATTAAAGATAGTGTTTTCATAGGAGGAAATCCAATGCTTGTGCCATAGCTTTTGATCTAGCAGAGGGAGGGAGGGTGATTCCCCTTTCTCCGATTCTTTCTTTGTACTACAACTCCCCCTGTCACCTTCCTGTGATGGCCTGGGACTCAGGCTCGGAACCAGAGGAGACTCAGTCTGCACTGGATCCTTTGTCTCAGGCATCACCTGAACCAAGTCTGGGGCCTGATCTTGAAGAGTCCCAGTCTGCACAGGTTCCCCTGCAACAAACACCAGCTGGGCCCGAGTCAGAGGCCTGAGCCTGCCCTGACTCCAGATGTGGGGATTACCTCATTGCCTTCAGCTGGGCCATCACTTACAGCTGCTCCACTACCGGTTTGATCAGGGGAGGCTGAGGCGGCCCCTGGGTCTAGTAACCCACCGACGTCTCCCGAGATGCAGAGACTAAGGTCTGAGAGAAGGAGAGACCTGAGTACTTGCAGGAGGAGTGCTTGCCTTCGGGCGAAACAGGGAGGTGAGTCACCGGGGGATCAGGACTGGCCGCTACCCCAACAAAGATAAAAGGCTGTTGGACCCCGCCCCAGGTTGCGGGAGCAACATTGCTGTATGCTAGATCCTGCCTGAGATCCTGTACCTGTCCTTGCCTGGTTTCCTGCCTCGTGTCCTGCCTTGGCCCTGTTGGACTGACTCCTAGCGGAACCTTTGGGTTCTGGACCGCGTTTCACGGGTTACCCCTGGGCCCAGCAGACTTCCAAGCTGTTCTGGAGCGTCTCCCAACTCTCTGAAATGGGGCTGTAGAAAGGGGAAATAAGAGGATGTAGCCTCACCTCCTCCTATGTTAGCAGATTTCCCCACTGGATTAAAAGCCATTCCACAAGTGGAACAACAGCACTGGGTGCCACTCATTGTGTTATAAGAAACACACACATAGGCATCTCATTTTGCTTGCTTTCACAAGCATGCTTGACAACAGTATTTACCAAGAAGAATGATGTGGTCTGAAGGGTCTCATGAACATATAAATAGAAAAATCACAATTAAATAGCTGTCTAGTCAGAATAGGATCTGTTGCATAGGTCTTGGAAAAGAAAGAGGGAAAACATAATCTGCATGCCTCCAGGCTCCTTGAGACTTTAATCAGCCTCTAATTGCTGCAGTTCACTAATACTCAGGTTGTCTCATTCATGCTGAAACCAAATTCTGTACAGATACACTCAGTGAGTAGAGCATCAGTCTCTTAATCTCAAGGTCATTGGTTTGAGCCCCACTTTGGGCCAAAGTTCCCTGCACTGCAGGGTATTGCAGGGACTAGATGGCCCTCATGGTCCCTTCCAACTCTTCTATTCTATGAAAATAGGCCAGAATTCTGCAGCCAAAAATTCTGTGCAGGCTCATAGGCACACATTGCCTTATTGCCTAGAAGCTGCACAGTTTCTATATTCTCATGCATGGATGTTTTACTTAAGGTTGGACAGACCAGTCTATTTCTGGTCTGTGTCAGTTTTGCATGTTTATTCAGAAATCTGTTCTATCCCATTTCTCCATTTATTGCAATTTATGGGGGGAATTGCATGATATTAAAAATTTAAATAAGTACCTTGATGCTAAAGTATTTTATAAATAAATAATATTAAATTTTTTATTTTATATCACTGCATGGATTTCTAAAGTACTCTATCCTAAAAAAACCCCAACAACATTTATGCATTTGGGTACTTCTTTAGAGCTGACAACTTTATTGTAAAACTTGGAAAAGTGTGGGATTTGAAGGATGATTACATTCCAATCTGTGCATTAATTTGGGAAGTGTGAATTAGGTCAGCTTGTTTAAAAACATAGATCAATAGTTTGCTCCATCCCTAGTTTTATATACAGTTCTACATCATTGTAAATGTAGCCTGTTGAAAGGCATGTATAAATTTTGGATTCCACCCCCTCCACCAATAGATCTTTGTAATTTAAGTGCCGATGTCGGATGTCACATAGCTGCAAATGAGAGCACATTACAGGGTGTGGATGGCGTCCTTTCTGCTACTAGATGGCTCATGCAAAAGTCGGTCTTCCTGGAGGCTTCTATAATATGTACGGACTGGGTTTCTTAGAAAATGCTCAGATTCTTGTGAGCTGGCCAGTGGAATTTTCAGCAATGCGAGTATCAGTTTTTGATTTTATGAGACTGACCCACCATACGAAGCAGAAAATACTCTGTTACTGCTGCCACCATTGATTTTCTCTCAGCTGTTAACGGCACTGGCCAGAGTTTCAAGTCTTTACGCTTGTTCCAGGTGACTGTGCCACAGGAGCTGCTGATGAGTAGCACCAGGCTCATACTTTTCAGCCAGCTCCATTAAGGCCTCATTCTCACTGTTTAATAATTGGATTTCAAAGAGAGTCATTGCTTCAGATACAGTCCATCTGTTTTTCCAAATGCCCAGCTGTAGACATGTGACATCCCCCTTCTTTCCACATTGCTCCCTGCAATAACAGGTTTAATTGTCCCAGGCTCCTAAGAAGCAATCTGATTAGCAGATGTTAAAAGGGGACGGTTTTCAGCAGGTTCTTGGTGTGAAGTGGTAATTTGAGAGGTCTTGTGTATGGGCTTGCAGAGGTCTGATTGATGGGTTGCCTGGCTTTGACTCTGCTAGTGCTTTGGAAATTACATCATTTCCCACCCCCTCCTCACTCCATTTGAGGCCAGGTGGAAATGTTTATGTGGAGAGCAGCCAGAGTGCCATTTGTACAGCTGGAAGCCTGCTGCTTCCCATAGCAAATCAAGACAAAGTACAATAACTCCTCCCTCAACACAAGGAACACCAGCTGCATTTATATTCAGGTCTTCTCACTGTATGAAGGCATGCTGTCTTAAAACATAAAAGCCCCTTACTTTTTAATTTCTATTTGTTTTATACAATTATCAGTCGCCCTCTTAAGACTCTGCAGAATATTGCAACACTTGATGCTTGCTTTTTTCGCTATCCTTGCACTTGCTATCCATTCTTTGTATTTGTTTACCTTGCAATGTCTTGTTTTGCACTGGCTTCTGAAACAGGGTGTTAGTAAATGAAGCATTACCAATGTTGTTTTTTAAAAAGTTTTAATAGAATGAGATTTGATTATAGCCTAGGTGCAACTCAAACATATTATTTATTTAATGTGTATACTGCCCTTCATCTGAGGGTCACAATACAAAAACATTTTTAAAAATAGCGTAGAAACAAACAAAAACAATACCCCTGCCCAGGTCAAAAGGCCATAGCTTCTTTAATTAGTCAAAGGCTTGGGGGAAGAGGAATGTTTTGGCCTGGTGCCCAAAGATACCTAACAAAGGGGCCAAGGGCAAGCCTCCCTGGGGAGAACATTCTACAAGCGGGGAGCCACTGCAGAAAAGGCCCGCTCTCATGTTGTCACCCTCCAGACCTCTTGTGGAGGAGGCACACAAAGAAGGGAGTTGTGCTAATGATCTCTTGAACATTTTGGATGCCTTCCAGAGTACATGTCTGACTGCACTCTGCTTTCCATTGCCCTTGTATAATGAAACCCAAGAGGACATCCTCCAAAGGTCCCCAGCTGCATTCGTATTGGCTGCATTTATACTGGAGAAGGTATTGAAACATTGAAGAAGTTGTTGGAAATTTAATCATACCCAAATGATTACTTTTGAACCTATTTTTCACTTTTCAAAAAATAAGTGTGTGGGGTTTTTTTAAGTCTGGCATTATGATTTTCTATCCCGAAAACTATCTTCAGTGCTCCTTCCAAATAGCCCCCATAAAATGATGGAATTGCAATTGACTTTCTGCTGTTTTGGACATGACACTTCTTCTGTATGTTCTTTCCACACCAGTGGCAATGACATAGTTGCTGTGCAGGTGGAAGGGGAAGGTTCGATTTCCCTGGGGAAGCCATTTGAAAGAAAAATTCCGAGCGAGCCTTGCTATTTATTTCACATCAAGTGTTTTCATTCCATTGAAATACAGGGTGCATCATTCAGCGCAATCTCCTGCTTGATGTAGGAAATCCTGAGCATCTCTAACAAATGGCTGACTAGCCTTTGCTTAAGATTTCCAGCAAGGATGAACCCAGCACTGCCCCTAGGTAAATAGTTCCATTGTCAAATTACTCTTGCTTCCAATACATTTTTATTATTTATTATTTATTAAACTTGTATACTGCCTTTCATCCATAGATTTCAGGGTGGTTCACCCCCCCCCCAATAACTCATCATTTATTTCACATTCATGAGATGGCAAGAAATACATATGCTACATAACATTTTTCAAAAACGAAACTAAACACCACCTTCTTTCTATCAAGAGCAATCAGAGCAAGCAAGCTCCAAAGTCAATCTGCAAGGTCAGGTTTCTGCCTCTGCAGAAGATCCAGGGTTGGAACACCTGAGGTCATTCCTAAAGTCACAGTCCAATGGAGTTCCTGAAGCAGCCAAGCTGTGGTCCATTAACAGAGAAACTTGAGCAGGCACGGAGTCTCTGCCTTGCTTCCCTTTTATCCTTCCCAATCTTGATAGCTTCACTTGAGTTTGCTCCAGTGGAGCCTTTCCACTTAACAAAACATGTGATCCTCAACTACTCAGCTGAGTGACCAAAAACCTCCTCCTAGACCTAATGAGCCTCATTATCTCCACCTGGTCCACTAATGAGCTGGGCTGTGTTCCCTTCCTTGTCTGTCTCCTGGAGTGCATTTCCTGTTGTTCCCAATGCCTCAGAGCCCACTGTGTCTGCAGAGATGGGGGTACCTCTGCTTCTGGTGATGTGTCGCCCTCTCATGGCTCCCCTGAACAGTTGGCTTCCCCTGCTATGTTCTCTAATGTCCTGTGAGTACCTCCTAAAGCCCTAACCTCCCATTCCCTATCTTCAGCTTGTCCTGGTGAGTAGCAATAGTGGCTACACCCCTTGCCAGATCCTCTTCCTCTTCCTCTGTGTTCTGCCAGTTATCAATGCAAGCCCATCCTTTACTAAGAAAAAAAATGTGATCCTGAAAGTAGCAAATTGGTCTGTTACCACTTTCTCTAGGATAGCCTTTTAAGAGTCCCAAGTTCCTCTCGGTCTTTTTTGTTGCTTCGTCCATTTCTTCAGGCTCTGAAGACATTGCCATTACTTCTTCCCGAATTCTCTTGCTTAGCTTGTGCCCTCTCAAGAGGAGGATCTGCAATGGGACCAGCCGCTCCCTTGTTTACAGGCCCAGGTTTTCCTTCTCCCTTGCTCTTCTTCATTCATTCCCTGCTCCCGGAATTGCTTCAGTTGCCCAGCCGCTGCCGAGTCAGCTCAAACCCGAAGTTCAGCTCTTCAAGATGTTCATCTAAAACTACCTGTCTTGTCAAAGGCAAAAGGATTCTTTGTTAAGGATCTTTGAAGCAAATGCTGGACCAAGGGAGGAGAAAGTCTCGATTTATTGAGCAAAATCATTTCATACACACGCAAGGGTACAGAACCCCTCCAAGGATCAAACAATTCCTCCTTTGCACAAGGATAAACCGGCAAACAATAAATACAATAATACCAGGCCCTCTTTGCATAAGGGTAGACAGGCAGACAATAAACAACCTTAACACAGAACACTAACCACACAACCAACAACCCTTCCCTCCTCACCAGGGAACAATACCAGACAGATGCCAGAATCCCTCCTTCCAGCTGCAGAGACCCCAGGGGTAGCAGCAGAGTAGATCTCAGTCTGGCCAGTTATGCAGCAGTGTGGGTCTGCATTGAAGCTCCCCACTTCCTGGCCCAAGCCCTATGGTTTTTATATGCTCCAGGATATCAGTTGAGTGGCAATTAAGAGACAGATTTTTAAAATGAGATGATTACATGGTGTTCAACATGCACAGGTTCTAACAATAGGTCCTCCTGTTGGATCTATCATTACCCACATAAAACAAGCCCCTCTACTTTCATTTTTTCAAAGTTGAAACTGTAAGGCTAATACATATACATCTTTGGAGTTTGCATGACTCTTCCATCCTCTAAAAGCTGCAGAAATAAGGAAATAAGGAAAATAGAAAAAGAAAAAACAAAGAAAAAGAAAACAAAGGAGGATTGCAAAAGTTTACGTTGTCTGGATCCCTGTAACCTGAGTGTGAGGAAGGCATAGTGATTCCAAACTAAATGCCTAGTGTGAAAGCTGATGTGTTTGTGGAACTCAGGTCCCGAACATAGTGCCCATGGGCACCGTGCTGCTATTAGAACCCCTCTGCCCACCAAGAGCTCTGCCCTACCCATTTTTTAAAAAGTGAAGGTTGTTTTTGTTCTTGTTTTGCTTTTTGTTTCGAGGACAGGATTCTAGGCACCACCAGTATCACTTCTGTGAAATGTGTGTTTTGTGATGCCCAACACATTTTCTTTGATTTCCAAATATGCATTCTGGCCCCAAAATGTTGGGGAAACCTTGCTGTAATATATTCCATAGAATGTGTAAAATGTAGTGATATTCCATTCATGAAACAAAGTTATATACAATATATTTTACTCCTCTCCTAAACTTGACACACTCTATAAAATACACTAAAATGATCACTCAAATGTTACAATGTTTAACTTTAATTTCTTATAATTGTAGAAGTATTTTGATTTCTTCTATAGAGTTTTTGAAGGTTGTAAATTACAGCATGAAAAATTGACCATGGGAGAGGTGTGATAAATTGCATAACTTAAAATTATGTGGGGGTTTTTTTGGGGGGGGGGGGATGCAGGGCTGTGAAGGGATAGATACATAGCTACCTAAGTCATCATTGTTATATCTTCCCTCTTTAACAGAAATCTATTTAGATAAGAAAATATTGTAAATGGCTGTGGATATTATCCAATGTCCATTTATTAATTTTTTAGAATTCATTTTGGAGTTTCAAGAGGAAGATTGGGGTGGGGACATCATGACTTAATTGACATAGGCTTTAGGACTGCACATTCTAATCTAAGGGAAGGGAAATTTATTGCAGTTTCCTATCTACACATGTTTTAATATTAAATCTGATTCTTTACTTGGATTACTGTCTAATTAGTGTAGGATTAAGTATCTCAAATATTAATTAACTTTTGGATATGCTACTCTTTAGTCTTGTGTTTAATCATCATCTTTGTGCCACAAAAACAGAAAGCCTGTAGCTTAGCAGACTGGTTCTAAAATCTGTTGTGAGAATTTGGGATTATTTTGTAATACTCTTTTCTAACATTTTGCTAGATATCTTGCCCACAAAGATCTGCCTTTGAGGCTTCACCAAGAGACATTGTGCTTTCCTTTAGCAACATGTGTTGTTCTCTCTGCTCCCATGCTCCACAGCCAATTGGTTGGAAAGGCTGGTGGCTCTGAAACTAATTTTGGGTATTGGGTATAGACTTCTTAGAATAAAAAAACCCAACAATTTATAAATGTATAAATTTAGAAATTAAATGTGTAATTTTTCATAAGAAAAATATGCTGAAAGCAGTATTCCAGCACCAAAATGTTTTTTTTTTAATTACATTTATATTATCTTTCTTCCAGGGAACTCAAGGTGGCATACATAGTCCTCTCCATTTTATCCTGGCAACAGCTCTGTGAGGAAGGTTAGGCGTAAAGGCTGTGATTGGCCCAAGGTCACCCAATGAGCTTCATGGTTGAGTGAGGACCACGAATAACCATGTCTCCCAGGTCCTAGTCTGGTGCTCACCACTGCATCATGCTAGCTTAGCAATCAAGGATTGCTTTAATGGCACAGAGCGGTGGTTATTACATTTCATTTTGTGCAAAAATGTTTTCTTAAGTTTGTCAAAATGAAAATGGGTTATGTGAGCATTTGAATTGAATGTGGGAGACAATTTCCAGATAATTAATAAGGAATGCAAAAAAAAAAAAAGTGGGTTTGTTCTGTAGTGGCACACGGTACAGGGACCACATTTATAGAACCAGATCTTCATATTGTCCTCTTCCCTTCCATTTTTGGGGATGAATGGGTAGAATTAAAGAGTCCTGCTGGCCACAGGTGGGAGACACAGCTCCATTTTAAAGGACAGCTGAGTGGTTCTAAGTCAGGCATATCCAACTCCTAAGAGACTGTGATCTACTCCCAGTATAAAAAAAACTGGCAGTGATCTACCCATTGTCATTGGACGGAGGAGGAGCATGCGTGGGGTGGGTGGATTGCCCAGAATTGTTGAGCTTTTTGGGGGAGGATTGCACAAGGGTTTTGAGTTTTACCACATAACTTCTTGTACACGATAAGGATCCCGTGATCTACCAGGATCTGCTGGGGATCTACTGGTAGATCACAATCTACTGGTTGGACATCCCTGTTCTAAGTGATTCATTTTATCCTATGAGCTGTAGTGTTATCAATCTGCCTAGTGACTGATTCTTTCAATCTATCTATAAACTGATGGTAGGGCTCCGAATGCTGTTGCTTAATATTGACAAAGGAGCTCAGCGGTTGCCCTGAGACAGGGACTTTCCGGAAGGCGCGTTATACACAGGTCGTGGTGCAACTAAAATGTAAAGGTGTCAGCGTCGCCTGGGCTGGTATATTATCATACTGACCCGCGCCATAAAGTTGATTGGCTGTATGCTGCGGATCAGACAGGGCTGATGCACTATGTTTAAATTCACTCTCAAACACCACATAGTGAGCCGGGGATAAAAGCATGCGCATCAGGTCTTTCCAGTCTTGAGGTAGCATTGTATAACCAGTTGCTATTCCCTCTAGCATTCCTATTACATAAGAGGATTTTAGACTGGAATCAGTAATGGCTTTCCTTAATTCTCTCATTACAGAATAAGGAAGCGTCTCGTACAATACCTGCTGTTGAGCAGTTCCTGGGTTTGTATAGGTGATAGGGAAAGCAGATGGCATTTCACCAGCCCATTCAGACTCTTCCCCTAAGGACAGGAGCCCTTTCTGCCTAGCCAGAGAAAGCGCAGCGCGCACAGCTCCTGTAGAGCAAACAGGGGCTGTGGCAGGCGAAGGAGGGATGGGGGGGAGGATGCAGGCTGAGACAGTTGAGACGTAGGAAGGGATTGGCAGGGTTGCGAAGGGGGCAAAAGCTTAGGGTAAGGTGGGGGATTGTCTGCAACGGCTAAAAGGGCAGGGGCCGAAGGAGATGGAGATGATGCCTGAGGTCCTAATTTAGCAACGGCATCTGCACATTTCTGCCAAGTGAGCAGACAATGAATCGGAGCCCTCGGTTCTGCAAAGAGGGTCTTTCCGATCTTTTGCCAAGTTTCTACTTCCAAAGAACCAGTTTCTGGATAGGAAGGGCACTGGCAAGCAATCTCGTATAGCAGTTGTTCAATTTCTTTTAAAGAAATATGAACACCCGCCACCCGCTGTCTAACGAGATGAAGCAATTCTTTAGCATGCTCTTTCTGGAATTTAGTCAATTCCCCTCCCATACTCACGAAATAGCGCGCTGAGACTTTTCCAGTCGAGTGAAGTATGAGGGCTGGCTGCGTAAGGGATCTGGCAATCACGTCGGGGTCACCAGATGTTGGGTTGAAATCACAACAGACGAGTAGCAAGTGTCATATGGGAGGCATCTCTGGAGCAAGCCCCGAGAAGACTCTTTTATTGAATATTACAACATTGCCACAGGTGCACGCGTTGCTGATTGGTTGATACAAACACAAAGCAACTTGTTGCTGATTGGTTAACACAAGTAGAAGGCAAGGGTTACATATAGGCATTAATCACCAATAGATTAAAGGCTGGGAAAGGGAGCACAGAACTAGACAGGCATGAAACCTCCTAATTAAATTATAACTAATGATTGATATAGCAAGACTAAAACAATTACTAATGATTGATCATAACATGAAAGAATACAATAATCGTGTTCCGTAGATGTGGTCAACTGTGCATTAAGAACAGGTCAGTCAGAGTATAATGTTTTCATGAACTTAAGATGAACTGAACATCCTAGGGAAATGAGGGAATGTCTTGGTGTTTAGAACTGGTTGTACAGTATGTTCAGAAGCAGAGAAAAGCTTAGAAGCAAGACTTCCCAGAATGCTAGAGAAAAGCTTAGAAGCAAGACTTCCCATAATGCCACAGTCATGTGCAGAGACAGAACTTCCCTTCACAGGTGGGAGGAAGCAGCAGCAGCAACAATAGAAGCTGCATTGCATCTGGTTCACTGAAAGGAGCACTGGAATGGTGGAGTGCTCAAGAGAGCAGTAGCAGCCCCCATCCCTAACCCAGCCTTTCCTCCAAGGGTGGACTTACAGTGCTCATGATTCGTGATGCTTGGAGGCAAAGCAGCTCAGAGTCTTCTGCTTCTCCCAACCAAGAACCTCTGTTCAGCAGACTGACCACCATGAAAAGCTAGTTTTCCTCCAGGGAAGGAGCTGGAGCAGGTTTTCTCTTATTCTATTTTCCAATTGCTCTAGACTTATTTGCAATACTCCTTGCTAATACTTAACCGTGTTACTTATACCTGCTGTTTCATATTGTACATATCCTTTAAGGTACACTTAAAGCAGACAGAAGAGGAAAGCCTTTCAGGTCTTTCAATGAGGGGGCAGCTTATTGAAGGGTCAGGGTGCTTGTAAAGCTCTTACAGCGAGAAACCTTTCTGTTCGCATATGAGTTTTCCTCAGTCAGAGAATTGTTTACATTGGATAATGTTCAGTCATGACTTTTGCTACCTGCATTCTTAAGTGGTATAGTTCCCGGAAAGCTGTACCATGTAATTCTTCTTAGAAAGTATAGATCTGTTCTGTGTTGGAACCATTAACTTCCCTTCTATGAAGGGCCCAAGGAGGTGTACCTGTATATTCTCTGCAAGTGCAGGGAGGGGCAGTCCCCTGAATGAGATGCAGAATTCAGCTCTTTGATTTACACCCCTCTCTCTCTCCCTCCCCGCTTTTGAGGCAAGATTCTTTCTATTGCGTTTCTGAAAATAGGTTTGAAAGCAAATGGATCTCAGGAGCTATAAGGATGGCAGACTGCAACCCCCAGTGATCAGGAAGAGGGGCTTCAGTGTGACACAATATTCCTTTCCTCTCCCTTTCTTTAAGTAGCATAAGATAAGTAAATTGAACTTTGGCAAAATGAGTAGAATTATGCAGATAGGTATAAAGGTATAAAAACATTAATAAGTATGTGCTGGTAGCGTTCACACATCATGGTAAACTGTAGTTAATTATTTACCACGAACGGCTCTCACTTCACTCCATTCCCAGTACAAGCAAGAACAACAAACTGCAATCCCTACTTAGTGTTACAGCCAGACCAGGGATCATGGTTAGTTTTGCTCCAAACAAACCATAGCTAGTTTGCTTGAACTATGGTTTACCACGTTGCATGAATTGGGCCACTGTATGCTGAAACAGCAGCACAGTACTGTTTTTGTGTACAATGGAAAGAATACAGTGGAAAGAATACACATGTACATTACAACAGCCTTGAAACCAAGTTTATCCAATCCCTGGGCCCAGAAGACCAAAGGAAAAGTTGTGAAAACTGATTCCTGTTCACCCAGCCGGTTTATAGTACTGTTGCTGAAGCTGAGCGGGTTTAGCACTAATCAGCGCCTGAATGGGACACTGCTTAGGCATCCTACATATGCCATATTGAGCTCCATGGAAAAAAGGCGTAGTAGATGTGTAATAAAACCAGTTGTGATGTTTAAAACCTTTTTTTAATCTTGTGCTGAGAGTTCACTTCCTTTAAAAACAACTAACAGCATCTTCAGGGGATGTGGTCAGAACTGGATGACCAGTTGGGATGAACTAGGCAAGGTGGGGTTTAACATTTCCCTTGTACCTTTTTCCTGCTAACATTTCCTGCCCCAGCAACTACTTGAAACATCATTTACAGAAAATAAGAGCGACTTCTGGGAATTTTGAGGGGAATCGTTCATTATGTAATCGGAACAGATAAAACTAATCCTTCACCCACCCCCACACCTCAGCGTGGAGCCAGGTTGAGCTGTTCCACATCACCTATAAATTTTAAGAGAAAAGCAGCTAAATCCTAAATACAAGAGTCAAAGGTACTTTTAACATTGTGTCTCATTCAAATCACAGGGAAATGTATTAATGACTAATCAGCTTTGCAAACAACAGTATCTTGAATTCTACTTAGTAAGTCTTTGTAAACATTTCCAGCAGCTGAAAACCCTATGGGTATTCCCTACAGCTTCATAAAAGAAATGTAGGTCTCCCAGTTCCCAGTACCTGGAAGCAAAATATTTTTGTACTGCTGTCGGAACAAGGGTCCAGAATGTCCACTAGCAGCGTATGGACTTGTCAGAAGGCACCTTCTATCAACGTGCTTTGCTTGTTAAAAATTTAAACTACAATCATATGCACACTTACTTAAGAGTCAAGTTAATTAAACTCAGTAGGACTTGCTGTGCTTACTCTGGAGAAATCATGCAAAGGATTGCTCTTAAAATGTTTCACCAGTGAATCAATCTACATACAAGCTTCTACTCTTTTTCTAGTCTCTGACACAATGCCTTCCCCACAGTCCTAGAAACTGGTTATTCCACTCACTCTGATAATTTCTGGGTAGGAGGATAGGTCAGCAGTTTTGTGAACTAGCTATTGTGTGTATTGTGATCCTAAATGCACTTACAAATAGTATTTACTTGTGAAGAAATCTGAAGTTGGCTATTACATAGCTGTAGTATTCATGGCTGCTATGTTGGGGGACCCCAGCTATAAGGCATCAAGTTTTAAGCCTGAAGCTGCTGGATTTTTCAGATTTAACATACATTTTCAAGCAACGTTTATGGGAATAAACATTGAATGTTGAAAAATATTTATCTGCAGATTATTGGAAATATTTTTGGATAACACAAATGTGTGCCTACAGAAATAACTGAATGGTTGAGTGATTCATTCTGGATCATTCAGTTTAAACAACTTGGGACCTACGGTGTGGAATGAATCAGAAAATTTTAGCTATATCGGCTGCAGGCCATAACTCTTGACACTAGAATACTCCAATTGGATTGGCACACAACTGCTAGATTATCTTGTCTAATGTATCAACCTACAATGCTTGTACGGGACACAGGTGGCTCTGTGGGTTAAACCACAGAGCCTAGGGCTTGTCAATCAGAAGGTCGGCGGTTTGAATCCCCGCGACGGGGTGAGCTCCCATTGCTCCTGCCAACCTAGCAGTTAGAAAGCACGCCAGTGCAAGTAGATAAATAGGTACCGCTCTGGCGGGAAGGTAAATGGCGTTTCCATGCACTGCTCTGGTTCGCCATGGTTAGTCATGCTGGCCACATGACCCAGAAGCTGTACGCCGGCTCCCTCGGCCATTAAAGCGAGATGAGCGCCGCAACCCCAGAGTCGGTCACGACTGGACCTAATGGTCAGGGGTCCCTTTACCTTTTTACAATGCTTGTATAAGATCCCTGCAATGCCAGTGTAACATATTTTGTTGCATTGCCCTAGCACAGCAGTTGGTATACACTCAACTGTAAGTGCATATTGACTGGCTCTACAAGTCTTAGGATCAGAGAGTAAATTCCCATAAATCCATGTGTCTAAGCTTAACTGGGTTACCAATCATAGTAATTAGCTGTTACCTGGAGCTTTTCATCCATTTGGGGAAGGTATGTATTTCATGGTTCCTTTCTGAAAGCTGATGTATTTACTCAGCACCATCATGTTTTACATCGGTAGTATTAGACTTTCTACTGTTTTTCTTTGCTGGATGTTAAGTGGAGATGTGGCATTACTGAAGTCATTCTATATACATTTTTTTTAATGTGAATAATAGAAACCAGAACATGATGACATCTCTTCCCTTACATATATAGGTTTCAGGCTGGGAAAGACAAACTTTTTCCAGATTGTTGTTAAATGCTTCAAATGTCTCAGGATGAGGAAGCTCTTGAGTGCTACGATTTTATTGCAGTGTTCAGAATAATTCGTAACAGCCTGATTATTAATTGCATGGCAGGCATCCCTGCAATAGGATTGAATACTGTTGTTGACTAAGTAAGTGCAGGCATTGTATAGATAGCTGTTTTTCTTGTGCTCTTGCAAGAGCCCTTTTTGCTTGTAAAGCAGAAAGTGGTGTGGAGAAGCTATGTGATTGGAATGTTGCAATGTACCATAGGGCTGCCTTTGAAAAGTCCCATGCATAGTTCAGCTGATCCAGAATTCTGTGGCCAGGCTTCCAAGGGCAAATTACTCCCTTTATTTCAACAGTTTCGCCATTTGCAGTTTAAAGTTCAGGTGAAAATGTTAAATAATTTGGAACCAAGGCTAATTTGGTAAGGGTGTTGGGGATTGTGGTTTGGTGAGGGGTATACAGTTCCCAGGAATCTCTGGAGGAAGCAGTCTGCTTTGAATATATGGTGTGTTTGCATCCCCCTGTCCAGAGGCCACTCTAGGGGAGTGCCACTGGTGCAGTTGCATCTGGCATGGAGTGCTGGAGCAGGTTCCACTACTTGTACTCCAGTGGAAGGCGAAAGGCAGGGAGATGCTGGATTTTGGGGGAATTTGATACGCCAAGGTCCACCACTGCCCTGTCATTAAGATTTTCTGAAGAGGCTCTCCTCTGTGGCCTTTTAACATCTAAACTCTCTTGGACATGGGAGAAGACTTTCGCTGAGGTTACTCCAAAGCTATGAAACTTCCCAGCTATTGAGGGCTGCCTTGCATTGTCTCTGCATTCCTTCTATCAGTATGCAAAGATCCTTCCTTCTCTTTTCCTGCTAGGTTGTCACCCTGGCACTTGATCTGTAAATTATGATCTTCTATCTCTTATCCTAATTTTTTTGTATCCGATTTTTTTTATTAGCCTCTTGGATTTGCTTGTTTTTATATTGAAAAGTGGGTACAGATAACTTTAACTAAATAAAGTAATAAATACATGTACAGATGCACAGGTGCAGATGGATTTCATACTAGTGTTGATTATTGGAGAGAGAAAGTATTGTGTCACATATATGTATCTATTGAGCATAACACGTTCCCAAACCCCTATGCCGCCATTTATGTTAGCAAAGATTATCTAAATGAGTCTATATAAGTTTTCAGCATCTTGAGCTATAATCACAGATACAGGTTTTTTTCTGTGAAGGCAGAATTACAATCTAAAAGCTAAATGAATATCTGGTGAAGGAACAAAGGAAGTTGGAAGCTAATTTGTGCCTTGGCACCTTCTTCAGAGACTATCAAAGTCTTTTGATAGTTATATTCTGTTAAAAGTTAGTAGCCCTAATTCATAATTGTCCTTTTGAAATAGTGGGTGGTGAGAGAAAACATCAAAAGGAACCAAGGATGAGATAATGGTTAGGAAGCATCAAATGGGCGGAAGTATCAAATGTGATCTAACACATATTCTATGTGCTGAAAATGTTTTTTGAGATGGCTGATGCTTTTCAGATGGTTGAATTTACAGTGCACATATCATCATATAACCTCTTCCATTGACTTTAAAGAAGTCTATAGATAGCTTCTATTGACTTTGCTAGAACAATATGCCACAAAGGATTCAAGGCTGCCATCAGAACATAGCTACCCATCAACTCCACCTAGTCTTTCTCTCTGTAATGAGTAGATGAACAGAACACATTTCATGATGTCATATTCTGAGTTTCTTCTCCTTACTCCAACTCATTGGCTGCTTCTTATAAAGGTAAGGAAATGTGGAACATGATGAGATCATGTCACACATGTCACACATTTTGTTTTTTCCAAACTAGAGGGGGTCAACATAGTGTCCTCCAGATGTTGTAGACTTGTACAACTCCTGTCATCTTCAACCATTCACTGTGGTGGCTGGGGCTGATGGCATCTGCAGTCCACAACCTCTTGTCGGCTGTTCCTGTTTTAACATTAGTGATGGGGAGACATTGCTGTTTTAGGCTGCAGCCACAAGCCTCTTGATATTGTCTAGCTACACACTTAGGATGTCAACAATATACATTTATGCCAGTTTTCAAACTCCCTTATCTATCATTACTTCAGCTAAGAAATCCTTCAAACTTCAGTTCAGTGCATAAACGCAGGATCTCTAATGGAAGATTTTCAATAACCTCATAAAACTACAATGAGCAGGTTCCTTTGAGGGAAAGTCCAGCAGCCAAATCTGTTCAGGCGAAGATACATTCTTAGTAACATGGCTAGACACTGAACTTAGATCATTAACTACTTTGTTTACTGCTTTTGTCAACAGAGAGGCTAATTGATCAGTTGCTTTAAATGCAAGTCTCCAGTTCTTGCCCATTAAAGGATTCTGTTTTGCTTGTGATACTGCTGTTTTCAACTTGCTACTGATCCAAGCAACAGGGATGAAGCTGTGATGCTTTTCTTGGAGGTACTGGAAATTCCCCTTCCCTGTGCTGAGAAAATGAATGGTACCTTTATTTGGTTCTCTTTATCCATGGTGTACATGTTAGCATTTATAAATTAGAGCATTTTTAATTTACTGCTCATCTGGATGGACTGTTAGTGTTTTTATTTTTCTCTTTTGCTTTACATGCTTTTTTATTATTTTCTATTGTACTTTTATCATTTCTTGCTGCTTTGTTACCTACCCTGTGAACATAAATTTGTGTTGAAGGTGCATGATATAAATTATGTAAATAAGTGTATGCATGAATGAATTTCGGGATTTAAAGCTAAACTAAACGATAGATATATTTTAACATGTATTATAAACTTACTTTTCCTGCATAATTCTGGCTGTGCAGCATAATTGATGTGTAGCCTCTGAAGTCCATTTGTCTTATTTGGGAATTGCTTTTTTGTTGACTATCCAAATGATATAGAGTAGATTTTGTTTCTTAAGCAAGAAAGAAGGTGTGCTCCTCCCTCATTCAGTGTGGCAGTTAGATCATTTTAGCCTGTAGAGTTAATGGCCTTATGGGGCACAGGATATTTTTATGGTAATGTGCATTACTTCACTTGCCTCAAAATGTGCTGTGCCAGCCTTCCTGCATTTGGGAGCCCTCATGCTAATTCTGCAGAGTGGAGCCCTGGGTTTATGCCCCAAAGTGATGACTTACACCCCCCCCCTCCAATAAAGTTCTAATTTCTTTTGTGGTGCATCCAAAATTTAGGAGGAATTCACTTGGCTAAGTTCTTTTTCCATTATGAGCAGAAAACTTGCTTTCATAGGGAATTTCATGAGGAATTAAGTCAAGGGAAGTGTCCATTTGGACCAAAGGCCAGTGCAGGTTCAGAAAAGTGTTTCAGAATTTCTGGACAACAACCACCAGTAGAACAAGCTCATACCTGCAGACAAGACAATAGGTTATTTGGCTTTGTTTACTGTATGGGCTGCAAGTTACAGGCTGGATTTGGATCACATGGGACACCTAAAAAAAATCATTGTCTTAGTATCAGTGTGTGGTGTCTCTTCCCATTAAGAGGTTTTTGTTTTAGGCTGATAAAACTGTTTTCCAGTCTGATGATGAAGAAGAAAAATAAGACTTACTCATCATCTTAAGTACTTTTTCAGAAGATTGCTAATCAGAGTCTCACTTCCTGAATACCAGACAAGCTGAGAAAAGACCTTAGTAACAGAGTGGGTTTGTTTTGTTTCCAAGACACATTCATTTTATCTGCTCTTCGTACTAATCCTTAAGACCCAGCAGTACTGTAAAAAGATTGTTACTTAGACTTAACAGTGAAAATGCCTTTCTGGGAATGAAGACTTGATAAATGGTGGCTTTGAAGTTTGATATATGAGTTTTCTTTAGACAAGTTGTTCTTCCCTTGATCTAAATATCTTTCTGATTATTTCTAATTATGAAATTTTAAGTTGAAAGCATGTCCTTCAACTGCAGTTATTCACATCTACATGTCCATTTAGCAACTACACCAATAAATTATAGGGCAGAGTACAAACTTAGATAAACTTTATTCGCATTAGCCAACGGCCATAGCAACATAAAACAAGCAATATATACAATTAAAAAAACCAACAATGGGTAAAAGGGGCGTTCAAATGACCAAGATTATCGTTCAGATAGTGGCCCTTAATCTCATTGCACCCTCGATAAACCTTTGCTGTTGTCTGATCATTTTGATCTGATAAAAGAAAGAACAATGTGGTTGCACATGGGCGGCCTGGAATGGTAAGTAAGAGTGGGGTGATGATCTCATTCCTCAGATCTTTATAAAGGGGACAGGACAGGAGAACATGAGCCACTGTTTCCAGATTGCCACCTCCACTGGGGCAGAGTCGTTTCTCAATTGGAATCTTTTGATATCTGCCCTCAAGTACGGCAGAGGGCATCACATCCAATCTGGCCAGTATGAAGGCACGTCTGTATTTTGGGATAGTTAATTTATACAAATATGGTGCCAGAGAATCAAACTGAGAGGGGGGGGGAGGCATACCAAGGACAGTGTTTCTTTATAATGGCCAGATTGTTCTGTTGCTCTTAAGTCCTTCAGACGCTGTCCAGTTAGCCTTTTTGCTTTAATAAAGCCCATCATGAGAAGCTGATGTGGGTGGAGTCTGCAGGAGAGGAATTTTTGGTGCACAATTTTAGACCACACACTTTTATGGGGGTCTTTTGTCACCAAGGGCAGTAGACTGGGTGGATTTAGATTTAGACGGAGCCAATAATTAAGAGTTCTTTGCCAGGACCGAGCTTCTACGCCTCCAGTCGTAATGCTGCATTTGGGACACAAGATGATACAGAAAAAATCTGCCTTAAAAATTTGGATTGGACAGTTTCAAGAATGCTACAATGATTACCCATCCAAATTTGGGCCCCGTAAAGTATCTGTGCCACAGATTTGGCTTGAAAAACTAATAGGGCTGCTGGGATGTATTTGCCGCCCTTTGTATGGAAAAAACGGGACAGCATCTTAGCACTTTGGGCTGCTTTTTCTTTAACACATTTTTGGTGTACATCCCATGACCCCAATGACTGGAAGACTGTGCCCAGGTATTTAAAGGCTTTAACCTGTTCAATTGGGTGATTGTCCATACTCCAGCTATGTGATCCATGTTTCCTTGCAAAAACCATGACTTTGGTTTTCTGATAGTTTACCACCAGCTGTTCTCTCCTGCAATATGCTGAGTATTCTCCTACCAACCTTTTAAGGCCTATTTTTGTTAGATTTTGTCTTAGATGTGCCCGCTTTGAATGTCTCTTTAATACCTCGTGAGTTGGCTTTATTTGTTCCAGTTGTGGCAGGAGATGATAATAGATTAAAAAGTTTCTGCCACTGCTTCTTACAGGTATGGTGAATTATCCTGGACATCCTTAAATTTTTAATGTTTTTGCTTTTCTTCTTCTTGGGCTCTGATTTTTTCCCCCATGGTTTGTTGGTATGTAGTGTGTGATTTATAGCATTGGGACCAGAGGAATTTTTTTTATATTGAGGAGGACTGTGCATATCTGATGTATCTGATCCTGCAGGTACTCGCCCCACACTTCTATCCTATTTTCTTAGAAGTGGGGCACTGGCTATGATGTTTTTTTCTGGGATCCGGGGATAGCCTTTGAGGCTTAACATGCATTGTATTAATTGTTTTTGTCTTTGTGACATTTTCTACTAAGCTTGAGCCAAGCTTGTTGAATGGTTTGTACTCTCATGGTCTATTCGTAGTTCTTTGAGCTGTATTGACCAGTCCAGCACATTGGGAGGCAGCGGGATAACCTCGTCTAGGGAGCTCTTATTCTGAACTCTCTTGCTCACTTCTTTTTGGGGGAAATAACTGGTGATTTTGCTTTGCCTCCTTCGTGGCTCCGTAGAGCTATGAGGTAAGGTTAGCGTGATTCCCAGGTCCTTACAGTTCTTCCTGGTAAGGACCATAATAGATATAGGGCATGGGGTAATTGAATATCAGCAGTTCTCTGATGACCCTCTGTTCCGGGGGAGTTTAACCTTGCCTTGGCAAATGCCAGTCCAGGTGCTAACACTTAAAGAGAATCACTAGTGAGGGCAAGGATTTACAGTAGTTGCCACTGAAGCTTACTGATATCTCCAACAGACGATAAGATAATAGCTGATGCCAAATAAAAATTATTGAGCCAAACTTGCTTTCAGTTCCTCAGGTAATCAGCTGGTTCTAGTTTCTAACTGCGACAGAGGACTCGGCGTCTTCGCATAGGGAGTGTTTTAATCTCATTTGCTAATAAGCCTCTTTGCAATATTTATTACTGGAGGCAGGTTGTCGAGCCTCGCTCAAAATGACGTTGTGAGCCTTGTGAGGCTATAGAAACTTATAGAGTTTAATAATGCCTCTCATTCAGGGGGGGCTGGAAGGGAGCTCAGCTTCCTGCAACTTCCTGCAGCCTCACGATGGAGGTTGTTAGTCCGATAAAATAGCAGGGTAGAACAAACTTAAAGAAGCAGCCTGTACCCATTTGGTTGCAGTAGCACAGTCTGAATAGTTGATCAAAAATGGTACAATCCCTGTTTTCATTTGTACAAACATTTGTGAGAGCAGAGCTTTAGACAGAGCAGAGCTTTAGTCAGAAGAGTCTAGGGGTTCTCCCATGGTTTACTGTAGACAATGCTTAGAATTTCAGTTTGGTAGAGCGGCTGGGTTGGAGCACTCTTCCAAGAGATACTTAGGCCCTGACCAAACTACAGTTTCCAGTCTTCCTTTGGGGAGTTTCTGCACTTAAATGTAACAATTTCCCGAATGTGTAAATTAGCTTCACTGGTTTATTACAGAAATCAGACAAATTCATGGAGGATAGAAGGGCTACTAGACAAACCCAGCATGTCTAAATCAGTATTGTCAACATTCTGGATTAATTAACCATAGTTTTTCAGTTTTGGAAACAATGGTTCAACAATCCTGGAAGCATTTGATTGTGACACAGAGAGGCTTACTGGGACCACGAAAATGTGCAGGTTCCCAGAGAGGAGCTCACACATACTTTGCTCCTTTTTGGTCCTTTTAGGTCAGCTGATGTTTGATTTAGCATGTCATCTGAACCTGGGATTATGGTTAAACTCTCCTTAACGACAATCAAGAAATCAGATTCTGCTCAGATTCAGGCAACATATTGCTTGGATTAGCTGCTTTGCTGCACTCAGCTAAAAGGACCTGGAGAAGCAACCTGGCTTCTGGCTTCTCCCCAGGAGCCAGCATATTCACATGTTTGGCTTAGCATTAAGTGCAGATATGGCCAGACAAAGGAGGAGGAAAGGAGCTGTGTGAGGATGGAGCTTTTGCATATCTGGGCTTAATGAGAAATGTTATGTCTTAACTGGGCCATCATGGTGTAGGAAGATCCAAGATTCTCACTGGATGACCCCGGCCAAATCTCTTGCAACCTAACCTACTTCTCAGGGTTGCTGTGAGGGTAAAAACAGGAGTTGAGGCAAAGCACATGTATGTTTCCTGAGCTCTTTGGAGGAAAAGCAGATGTAAAATGTAGTTAATTAATATGGAGATGTGATGAGAACAGCAGATGAATGGAAAAAAGTTATGTTCTCATAGCTGTGGTTTTGAAGGGTTGGGACTGGTCCACCCTGTTGTTAATTTGCCTGTGTTTCAGATTTTGATTTGCAAGTGGTGGGTTGCAAGAACTTTGTGTAGGTGGGTTGCTATGCATCAGCACATGGGAATACTGAGCAGAACACAGCAGAGGTTTCTAGAAGAGGTAGAAGGATGGAGCCAAAAACCATTTTCATTGGCTAATGTCCTAAAAAATGGTAGGGTGTATTCATAACAGAATCAAATGTACCATGAAGCTCTCTGATAGTGAATTAAGTTCCTGAGAACCTAATTTAATAATTTAAAAATACAAGGCTTAGGATGCTTGCTCCCCCAGACTGTCATCTGCCCCTGAAATGTCTGAAAATGTCTGAAATGTCCTCTGATGTCAGGACTGAAAGTCTTCACCTTCTACTTTCCACTAAGGCTCCTCCCCAGCCAGATGTTTTCTGAGGAGCCTCAAACTCCACTAGGGGGAGGGGAGGAAACTGTGCCTGTTGTTCTGCTACATGCACAGCTCTTTTTGTCCTTGGAGTCAAGGGGGGAGGGGAGCTTAGCACAGCAGGAACGGCTTGCTCCTGGGATGTTTATACAGCACCTGTCCTTTCCATCAGCTTAGTCTGAGCTGCTTTCCACCCTTGGCTCCTCTTGCTCACCAAAGCCTGTTGCATCTTAAGCATCCAACCATTCCTCCTGTCCCACCACCACTCCCCTGGCTCTGAGCCTTCCTGCTCTGAGACTTCCCTAGGAGGTTCCCTAGGTGGTGCTTCCCACCACTCCTCTTCTCTGACACAAACTTAAAGAAGCATATTGGTCTATCACCACCTTCTCTAGAATAGGCTTTAAATAGTCCCAGTTCCTCTGTACGTTTGTTGTTGTTGTTGCTGCTGCTGCTTTGTCCATTTTGGCAAACTGAAGAAATTGCCATTGCCATTCCTTCTTCCCAAGATGAATTCTCTTGCTTAACTTGTGCCTTCTCTTGCTTAATTTGTGCCCCCTCAACAGGAGGATCAGCACTGGGGCCTGCTGCTCCCTCATCGGAGGATCATCTCCCTTCCTCTTTTCTCTTCTTCACTCATTCTCTGCTCCGATTCCGAACCACTGTCTCCTGGTGCTGCTTCAGTTGCCCATCGGCTGCCGAGTCAGCTCAGTCCTGAAGCTCAGCTGTTAGAGACGTTCATCGGAAAGCTACCTGTTTTGTCAAAGGCAAAAGGATTCTTTGAAGCAAATGCTGGACCAGTGGAGGAGAAAGGCTGGATTTATTGAGCAAAATCATTTCATACACACACAAGGGTACAGAACCCCTCCAAAGGATCAAACAATTCCTCCTCTGCACAAGGATAGACAGGCAAACAATAACCAAACCTTAACGCAGAATACTAACCACACAAGCAACAACCCCTCCCTCTTTACCAGGGTATGATACCAGACAGATGCCAGGATCCCTCCTTCCACTTGTATGGAGTCCAGGGGTAGCAGCAGAGTAGATTGCAGTCTGGCCAGTTATGCAGCACCTGCAGCAGTGTGGGCCTGCATCCTGGCCCAAGCCCTATGGTTTTATCTGCTCCAGAGGTGAGGCTAAATGTCCTGGCTACCTGCACCGGTTGTGATTGGTACTACCTTCACCTGGTCTGGGATTCCCATGATCCAGGACAGCAAAGCAATCAACCCACAGTAGGCCATCTCCAACAAATAGGAGTGCTCCTTCAAGCACTTAATCCAGCATTGAATGAAGGGTTAATCATGCAAGACTGCCTACACCTCCTTGATTACAGTTCTTCCGCATTTCCATTACACCAGCCTCCTACAACTTAAGCCTAACCATGCCCTCAGGTGCAGCAGAAGACAAGTCTTTGCCCTGACAGATTTTGTGGTTAGATTTTGTTTGGATCAGAAATGTAGATTGGAAATGTTTAATTGGCAGGGGGGTGGGAACTACATTGGTAAAATGGTGGTGAGAAAAGGTTCACTATTGTAGAATTACAGTATAATTTTGCAGCACTATAGCACTCTTTCCTTTACGTAGTAGTTCACTATTTTTTTAAAAAAAAACACAACACTAGGAAATCAGTTCAGTGCCAGTTAAAAGACAGATTGTTAAAATGGGATGATTAAATGATGTCCACTTTTATGTGTCCTGAACTATGATAGGTTCTCTGTCCATCACTGCCCACATAAAAACAACCCCTATTCTTTCCTTTTCTTACGGTGAAACTGTAAGGCTAAGTAAGGCATATGCATCTGTGGAGTTTTCATGACTTTCCAGCCCTCTAAAAGGTTGGAATTAGAAAAACCATTGTGAAGACAAAGGAAGACTGCAAAAGCTTATGTTGTCTGGACCCCCGTAACATATGAGTATGAGGAAGGTGTAGTGATTTCACACTAAATGCCTAGTGTGAAAACTGACGTGTTTGTGAAACTTGGGTCCCTGTGCAATAAAACACAAACATCTGTAAAATAAATCATATTTCAGAATAAACCCATTTACAACATGAAATGAGTTCATGGTAGATTTTCAATATTATGGAAGGGAATAGCGCACACAACATCTAGTGTTTTTGCATTATTAGGGTGACTATGTCTTAGGTCTACAGAGAGAAACAAGTAAGGCAGAGCTTTTTTAACTAATTGTTTCCAGACCTTCTGTGACTTGCGGAAGACTTTGGTTCTTCCGCTGTATTATTAACTTATGAGTTAAGGGCAATATAATATCTATAAATCTGATTTAGCATTTGACTTTTTCCTAGTTTATGTATGCCCCAGTTCTCAAAGCACAAATGAAAACGGGCTACTTTCTAAAAAGTCAGAAAGAGTTTCCTTTGTGTTTCTTTATAAGTAGGGTAGATCAAATCAGATTTTTAAAAATTAAATACATTTTTAACTATTTCAAAAATAAAGTTTGATAGAATAAAAACATGATGCAAACGTGTCGAACGAAAGCTCATACTTATAAACACTAGAGGAGTGCAATCCTCCACCTACTCTGAAGTAAATCTCATTGCATTCAGTGGAACTTATTTCCAGGTAAATAGATATGGGATTGCAGCCTTAAAGATAAATCCTCGACTGAGGACATAGTGCAGTATCACATACATTGGGTTAAAAACTGCTATTTCACATGAATAACCAGTTCCTTTCAGGTCACATTATAAATATGCCATTATAGATTATGATTATGGGCTTGATGCTGGGAGCTAGGAATCTGGCTCTTAGATTCAGGCTTTGGAGATACCTCTGAAATATGAACTCATTCCATCTGGACAGTTTTGTACTCCTGTTATAATGCCCACCCTGTCAACTCATCCTAACTTCTATTTTGAAATACAGACCTCCCCCTCCCCCCCCTTAAAAGGTTTAGGGCTGAAGTGCCAGTATCTTCCTTCTTTAGGAATCCCTAGCTCATTTCTTCAATGATACTTGGTATATTTAGCACACTCTCCTTCCGTATGTTGCTCTTCACTGGAATATTAAAAAGAGAAACAATACATTATGTTAATTGCTTTGCAAACACATCATTGTGTTCTGCCCTTGGAATGCTGGTTCCTGGAGTCTCAGATCTCTGGTCAGTCTTTACTGTATTGTACACAGCTTCATTTCATCTCAGACAAGTGTCCTTGTGAGGTAGCTAAGAGTCTTTTAAATTACATTTATCTAGTTAAGAGTGGGTTCCATTCTTGATTTTGCTTCCTCTCTGAACCACAGCTGTAGTTAGCAATAACCCACAATGAACTTTGGGCTTACACGTAACCTCTCTTCACTCATCTACCTTTGTGGGCAAAAGAAAATGAAAGCTTCCACTTAGAACAGACCACAGTCTTGTGCTACATATGAACTCGCGAATGCGGATTTTTTTTCTTTCAGTTTTTATTATTTCCATTAAACGTTGCAAACAACAAATATAGCCACACAAGATTATTTCAGTTCCAAGCTTGTACATAACAAAGCACAATACAGAAGCAAGAAAATCATGTACCAACGAGATATTATGAGCACTCTGCTCCTGTGCGTTTTGAGATTCATCTTATCGCAAGGATTCTGTACCTCATACATTACCCCACTTACAATGACCCCCATGTGGCCTCTTCACATAAGCACCTGAGAGACTTGGGGATATAGGATATGTTGTCCCTTATTTTGGGGAAAACTGTGGTTTTCTTTGGAGTAAGAGCAGAAGCCTTCATTCTCCTGCTGTTGTGTGCAGAGGAGAAGAGAGAGCACACAAACCTAAGGTTTTCTGTGGTTTGTTCCTGATCACCTGAGCCATGTTTTATGTGATTAACTGAAGTGGTCCCTTTGCGCTTTGCCTTTTCTTCTCTTTCATGAAAGCTTACAATACTCCCCCCCTTTCATAGTATCTGTATTATTCCTCACATCCTTTATTTACTTTAGTTCTGTCATATCCGCTGTAGAACTTCACCTCTTGTATTCCTGCTTCATAAAAAGGCAACTTATCTCCTAGTGCTTTGTTAATTAACCCTCTGGGTGGTCCTCTTAAAAGGATGTGTCTCCTTGGCATTGCAGCAAATCTTTGTTTCCATTAATCTGAGTCAAATGACTACACTACAGCATGGAAAGATCGGGCCTCTTTTGAGTGGGATGCAATACTGTTGGTGACACCTCCTTCTTAAACAACATGGAGAAGTTATTATGACCTACTTTCAAATTAAAGTTACCAACATAACTATGAATTTTGTTCAGTGTATTTTACTAGGCTATTTCCTCTGTCATAGTTTTGTTATATTGGTGGAGAAGTTGTAAGTTCCTTTCAATTCTGTTGCCTTGTACTTCTGCATGATTTCCTTTTGTCACGCTATGATAACAACTTGGAAGTTTAAAATCATATTAGCTCCACTGGTTCTGAACACTTCATTGCAGGGAGTTGATGTATGTCTGGGGTAGATGTGAATTGCTTGAGGCACCTTTTAGTATCCTGCATAATATATTATCTGAGGACAATGTTGTTGCACCCTGTGTATGTGAGGATTCCTCTATGGGTAAAGTTCTGTTGAAGTAACACTGCCCTCATGTGGTGGAGGGTAATGGGAATGCTGACTTCTTTCTTTCCTCTTTGTCAAAATTTTACTCTCTCCTTTTACTCTCTCTCCATTCTCCATAGACTTCCTGTAAATACTGTTTTTTACTTGAATACTTAACTCAGCTCTGCATCTTCCTGTGTACTGTATTGTAACACTGGCTAACATTCTGTTTCAGATTTATGTTTGGCAGTCTCTCTTAATTGCTCTTTACTACCTACTATTGTTTTTCCCCCATTCCTTGTAATTTGTTCCACCTTGTACCAAGTGCTTGCTGCAAATATTCACTGCTCCTCTACCACCCACATAGCTGTGTGTCTTATTTATTCTTTGTTTCTTCTCTTTAACAAACTCAAGCTTTAATTGCTTTCTGTATATTGCTTCTATCCTGACATCCTATGAGTGTCTTTCAGAACACACTGGTTTAAAATTAAGAAGACCGGGTTTGTATTGCAAATTTAAATATCAATCTGTGCATTTACTGTTCAGGTGCCTCTCTTCACCCTCCCTTCCTTCCTTCCTTCCTTCCTTCCTTCCTTCCTTCCACCCATCCCTTGAAGATGACCACCCAAATATTTACTAAAACAGGAAAGTGATGTTTTAGTAATCAAGAGAATCTAAATTATGAGATGATGAATCAAAAGTATAAATAGTACAAACCTAGTGTCTAAAGTCTTTTTAAAAAATTGGGGCTGAATAAATTGCTCAGAGAGGGATGGATCTTTGTTTTTCTTCTAGACTGTCAGAAGTGTAAGACCGCATTCTCGCATCACAGCAGTACTAATGAGTTTGGGTCCTGACCTGCAGTTTCTCTGTGCCCTAATAATATCCACAAGGCTTTCATCAGAAATACAGATGCAATTACTACTTCCTTGCATCGCATATCTCTTCTTTTTGGAGATTGTTTAGTCGTTTAGTCGTGTCTGACTCTTCGTGACCCCATGGACCAGAGCACGCCAGGCACTCCTGTCTTCCACTGCCTCCCGCAGTTTGGTCAGACTCATGTTTGTGGCTCTTTTTGGAGATAGAATAATATAATTGGAGATGTGAATTCATTTGAAGTAGCTAGGTTTATGCCTCTCTTCCTATCTTGGGCTGCAGCTCCCTCCTTACACCATTTATTCTGCTATCACCAGGTTGGACTCTGCTTTCCTTTTGGGTAAAGACAAAGGCAAAGTAGGTGTTGAGCAGTTCTGCCTTCTCTCTGTCGCCCAATAGCATTTCTCCATCTTCTCCACACAGAGGACCTACTACAGTACTTGCATGTTCTTCCTATTGCTTCAAACATAGCCAAATAAGCCTTTTAGAATTATTTTAGACATTATTTTAAAATATTATCCCGTATTATTTGGTGGGATTAGATCTTGTCCACAAACAGCATAGGCACTACTTAAAACATTACAACAACCAGCCAAAATCTGTGACACCTACATCCGATCTCCAGGGAAACAGCCACCATCCTAATATGCTGATAAAGCCCAAACCCTGGTCTCTGTGTCTCTTACTCTGTTTCTGACTTAAAACTGCAGTCTCTCTTCAAGGATGTCTGGATTACCTCTGGAAGGAAGGAGAAAGGCTTGCCTGCTTACCTGATGGGGTTCCTTTTCCAGTTCAGAATATTCTAAAAATATTCAGTATTAAGAGCAATTGCCTAGGCATTTTGTTTCCATGGAAACATATCACCTGTCGTGGAAGAAGGCATGTGCCAACTTTGCCAGGATCACCAAGGCAATTTCCACTAGGCTTCTCCTGTCTAAATGTCCAGTCATAAAAAAGGAAAAGAGAATGTAGCACAAAAGCATGCAGGGAATAGAGAATATGTTCATGGAAGGAAAGCCTGGAAAAGGTGAACTTTCAGCTGCTTGCTTGTCAGGAAGCAAGGTGTTCCACAGGAACATACGGACACAGGACAGAGTACAGAAAAGGTGAGGGAAGAGGGAGATTAAGGGCAAAAGAGATTGTAAACTCTTGAAAGCAGGGGCCTGAGGTTTAAGATGAATGTGATACAGAAAGGGAACCCAGTGAAAAATAGAAAGAATAGGGAAAATAACAAACTAAGAACCAGAGAAACTAAGAATCACAACTGATTTTGAGAACTGAAGAATGTTGAAGACTGATCAGGAGAGAAAAAACTAGAAGGTCATCAGTGTAAAAACTATAACTAATATTAATTAAATGAATAATAGTTGCAAGGAAGGAAAGATAAATAAATACAGTGGTACCTTGGGTTACATACGCTTCAGGTTACATACGCTTCAGGTTACAGACTCCGCTAACCCAGAAAAATAGTACCTCAGGTTAAGAACTTTGCTTCAGGATGAAAACATAAATCGTGCTCTGGCAGCGCGGCGGCAGCGGGAGGCCCCATTAGCTAAAGTGGTGCTTCAGGTTAAGAACAATTTCAGGTTAAGAACGGACCTCCAGAATGAATTAAGTTCTTAACCCAAGGTACCACTGCAGGAGGAAAGGGCTGAGAGAAACAGATTTTTGGGGGTATCCAAAGAGAAAGAAAAGAGGAACAATGAGACAAACTGAAAAAGGAGGAACTCATGAAATAACTTTCCCAAGAAAAAATCTAGAGAGTTCAAAGAGGCAAAAAGGATAATGTAGTCATCAGTATTGAAAACTGAAACAGTTGAAAAAGGAGAACTGACTGATGGCCACAAGTTCTAACTGAAAGAACACCATAAGTAACTGTTGGAAAAGATGGGGGGGGTTAGGTGAATGAAAACAACAACACTGGGGAATAAAAGATGAGGTGGGAAGGGAAGATTGGAAATATGTCTGGCATATTTTTTCTTTTTAGAATTGGAAGGACAATATCAGTTTTGAAAGGAACAAGAAATGAAGGAGCCACCCATTTTGAGAAACTTAGGCAGAACAGAATCATATCAAGGGGATTCTTTTTAAAAACAAAAAACCAAAAACCTGAAACATTAGCAAAATAACCTCAGTCAGGGTTGCATGAATGAGAGAGGAAGGGAGAGAGAATGCAGGGTTGTAAAACAAAGTGAAGAAGATGAAGTAACTGACAGAGGAGAGACACAAATTGAATTGATTTATTAGTAAAATATTGAGAAAAGAAATGAAGAAAGAATGGGAAAATATTAAAATACTTACACCCTTGTCTTTCTGACCCTGAAGCAGCTAATGGTCATCATAAAAGCATACATGCCAGTTAAGTAAACATCACTTGTCCTAATGCTGAACTCAGTCCCAGCATGATAGATTTGTAGCCAAAAGAGAATTACTGAGCAACAAGAAGGTAGTACCTGCATGCTTAGTTAAATCCTGAGGTATGGACTTTTTAAAAAAGATAGCCTTAGGGGACAATTCCCCTTCCATAAAACCCTTTAAAAATTATTTTTTTAAAGCAAACATAAAAACCGGAGTTGTATTTAACCAGCAGCTAAAGAACAAAAAAAAATCAGAACTGGTAAACTCATTAGAGTTACTTCTTAGAGTGTCCTGTGCAAATGTACATCTACACAGATATGTTTTGCCTGCCTTGTTGCCAGAGGGAAAAATAAAAGTAGTTCAGCTGAATCTCCTGGACTAAGAATTCTACCACCTGACTGTCACCACCAAAAAGGCCCTGCCCCATGTGCCATGGAGTAAGGCCTCTCTTGACCATCAAAGCGTATCTGTAGGGTCATATGGGTTAAGACAGGCTTCCTCAACCTTGGCCCTCCAGATGTTTTGAGACTACAATTCCCATCATCCCTGACCACTGGTCCTGCTAGCAAGGGATCATGGGAGTTGTAGGCCAAAAACCTCTGGAGGGCCGAGGTTGAGGAAGCCTGGGTTAAGACAATCCTTAAGGATCAAAAACAATGGGACTGAGATATTTTAATTGCTGTTAGGCATTAAGTAATATGAATGCATTGGAAGAGTTGCATGTAGAACTTTGAGTAAATAAATAAAATTAAAATAAGTAAAAGCAGCACTTTAAATTGGGCCTGGAAATAATTTGATCTGAAAAACAGGCTCCTGTTAGCATTGATTTTGCATTAACTGGAGTTCTGGATATTTTTCAAATGTGGCCCAGTGTAGAGCACATTATAGCAATCTAAACAGAATATTACCAAGCTGTGCATAAGGACACATTAGGTGCACCAAGTTGGGAAGAGATGACAGGAAAAAGCATAAGAAATTGCATGGGGAGAAAAGTAAACTTACTTAGCCAAAAATAAAGCAAGTGAAAACGAAGGCAACACAAACTTGCAGCGAGCAAAACCTGTAGGAGAGCAAATCTTGAGCCAAAGTCACTTGGAGGCTCATGTGCAGGAAATGTGATAGTGGAGATTGTGATGGAGCCAGAGCTGAGGGGAGAAGGAAATGCAAGAGCAAAGAGACAAGGGCGCAAAATAATCAAATGAGAAAGAAACAGCTGGGGGAAAGCTGCAAAAGTGGCTGATGTAGAAACAAACAATAGGCAGCAGAGGAATGAGCCAGGGTTCTTTTAGTGAAAATAGCTCCTCATAGACTGCATAAACAGCGCATACTGTATTACATTTACGCAATACATACTATGGCATTCACACATTTGTACATGCTACACCTAAACTGAAGCATGTGAATGGAGTTAGAAAACCTGAAGAGTTGGTGCCTATCAACTTAAAAATAAATAAAAGCACTTGGTAAAGCATGAGCTATAAATCAGTAAGTCATGTGATTTATTCTGCATGCTGCTTTCTCATACATTGTTCCCGACTGAGATGCGTCTGTCACAAGTGGCTGTTAAGCAAGTTTCATTTCCTGCAGTTCATATCTCATGATCTGTCCGCAAAATACCGACACAACATCTTTCTTGTAACTGACCTAAAATGCGACATTTGTGAACGGTTTAAATTCAACAAAGAATGATTGTATTCACACAAGTCCTAGTCAGGATGCTGGGTCTTTTACTCAGGGCGCTTCGGAACGTATACATTTCCTATACAGAAATGTGATTGTGGGAGATGGGAGTCTGAGAACAACATGTAGCTTGTAATGTGTGGTGATAAGGGAATCTAATTGCCCAGCTGTGTCAAGTCCAGCTCCAACTGGTTTGGGTTGCTAAAAGTTCAATAGCCAGTTTAGCACTTCTGAACCAACCGGTTTGTTTACGGTTCATGTGGAAAAATTAAAATGCCACCTGCATTATTTATTTCATTTTTATCCTGCCTTTCTTCCACATAGCTCAAGGTGGCATCCATGATTCTCCCCTGCCCCTTCCATTTTATTCTTACAACAATCCTGTGATGTAGATTAGGTTGAGAGATAGTGAATGACCAAAGGTTACCTTTATGGCTGAGTGGAACTTAGAATACGGATCTCACCAAGCATAGTACAATCACCACATTGGCTCTCAATTAGGATACTGAATTGCATGAGTGAGGAGAGATGTTAATATCCTTCTACATGCTGCTTCTCCAATCTGAGCCAGCAGATAAAGGAGTTGGAAAATCCCAAGGAATATAAAATTCCTGCCAGTATTAGTGATTTAATTCTGGTTGGGTATGTATATTAAAAGCCTTTTCAATCATGCATGTTCAACACTTGTTGCCTGCAGAGTGGCATGTGTGAATCAAATTCCCAACACAAATCTAGTTCTGCAGAAAGAACTTACGTATCCCCTTCAAAGCAAGGGATTATCAATGCTGCAAGTCACTGTTACATGTGCATCTGTTTTAATAGAAAGTTGTGACCAATTGTGCACAGATTCAAGTAGCAAAAGAGAGGCATGTGAAGCATCATATGAGATGAAATACATAAAGGTAAAGGTAAAGGACCCCTGACAGTTAATTCCAGTCGTGAATGACTCTGGGGTTGCGGCGCTCATCTCACTGTACTGGCCGAGGGAGCCAGCATTTGTCCGCAGACAGTTTTTCCGGGTCATGTGGCCAGCATGACAAAGCCACTTCTGGCAAGACCAGAACAGCGCACGGAAATGCCATTTACCTTCCTGCCGGAGCGGTACCTATTTATCTACTTGCACTTTGACGTGCTTTCAAACTGCTAGGTTGGCAGGAGCTGGGACCGAACAATGGGAGCTCACCCCGTCGCGGGGATTCAAACCGCAGACCTAATCGGCAAGCCCTAGGCTCAGTGGTTTAGACCACAGTGCCACCCGACCGGATGAAATGCATACTGTTGTGCTCAAACTAGTTTGTTAAGAAAATCCCCAAACTCGGTTCTATGTGTGACTCTGGGTCAGCTCCCTGCGGTAGTTTATTGTTGTACATTGTTTTTAAATTTATTGTTGTACATTGTTTTAATTGTTTTCCTTCTGTGACTGTACCCCCAAGTGTGTTTTATAAGCTGGTCTCCGACCGTAATAAATTATCTATCTATCTATCTATCTATCTGTCTGTCTATCTATCTATCTATCTATCTGTCTGTCTATCTATCTATCTGTCTATCTATCTATCTATCTATCTATCCTGTTGTGTGTTTATCCCACACAGATGTAGTTTGTAGGAAAGCAGAAATATTTACCCATGTGTACTAATGAAGCACTATAACAGAGCCACAGTGGGAAATTGTTCTGTACTGAAGTTTTTTGGTTTTGGTAATTCCTGGGTTTTGTGCTCAGACCGGCCAAACAATACAGATTTTAGAATAGCAATGCGAAGTTGATTTATGGTGAAAGTCTACTATCAAACCCTTTTCAAGAGAACAACAAGTCTGTAAATTTAATTTTCTCATTTTTCAAAGTATTAAGTTTAGTTCTTCACATTTCTACTTTAATTTGAGGGTTTCTTTTGGGGGGGGAATCCCTCATAAAAATTAATCAGTGTTTAAGTGCAAATTTCCCCAATGCACACATTTTTGCAAGCAATTTTTGCTGATATAATACATTTTATGTAATATTTTCACTAATAAATACATTTTAATACATACTTTGTCCCAGTATACAATTTTTGAACACATCATTTGGTTGGGAAACTGCATCACAAAATTCAGATAACATTGAATATTAAAGGATAGCTGTGTTTTGGTTTTCTTATTGTTTCAGAAAGTGCAATTTAGGTATTAAAATTCTAACTGAACCAAATTTCTTCTCCATCACTACCCTTGTGTTGTGATTTTTTGTAGTACCTGAAAGCATGTGCTTTTTAACAAAATGTGGGTCAGCTATACAATTGACCTTGGGATGTTAACTCTTACAATATGCCTGACTGACTAGCTGGAGTTAAGTAAGAAGTCACTTTCAGACATCTCAAAACTGGATCACAGTAGTTCTCGGCACCAGATGTATTTAAGCTTGTAATGCAGGTCAGTTAGAGGAAAGCATGGTGTTATTTTGTTAGACTGTGAAAAAGTCATATGATAGTTGATGTACCATATCTCAATTCAGCATCAGCTGGTACAAAATCTGCTTGGGTGGATAAAGCCAAAGTCTACATGTGACTCCATCTTGGGTGTATTTCTAGCTTATTTCTTCAATCTGTGCAGCTGAGGAGGAAAATTTAAGTCATATATTAGGAAGAACTTCACACCCATAAATAGATGGAGGAAAATATTAAGGGAAGTTTTCAAACACTGGTAGTTTTAAAAATAAGCTAAACACTTGTTAGGGGTGGCTTGACATAATTGGCAGGCACTGTTACTTAAAAGTAAAGAAAGTAAACGACAAGAGCCTTTTATGTTTCTGGGTTCTTCTAGTTCACTCTTTGCTTTTTAAATTTTGTATGAGTTAGGGAATGTTCGGATGTTTTGAATGGCTGAAAGAGGCAAGAGGCAGTGAATATCTTTGCTTTGGATCAATCCCAGTTTGGCAATTTGTAGCACATATTGAAATACTTTATTTATTTACTTATTTGTAAACTTATTTGTAATTTTTATAGGTCACCTTTCAACCAAATGTTCTCAAAGCATATTCCACTTAATATTTTAAAGGTAAAAATGAGCAGCTTGGATCAGACCTGGAAATAAAGTAGCAACCAGTGAAGCTGTTTCTAAGTAGGCATTATATTTTTGTTTGTTTGTACTAAAATTTCTACCTGCCTTTCTGTATCAACTATAATCTAAGTGGCTTTATAATTGAGCCCTTTAATATGTTCATACCAACCTATACCCAGCAACAGTAAGATGCCCACTTTATGCTGAAATTTCCAGTGTCTTCAAGGGCAGCCCCACATAGTAGATATTACAGTAATCTAATCTAGAAATATCCAGTGCATAAATGGTGGTAGCCAGTGCCTGTCTTGCAGCAACTGGTGCACCAACTGAACACTGAAATAGATCTACAGTCTTCCATTCAGCATGGGCCTCCTGACACATAGATGCATTTTGGCTTCCTATCTCTATCTAAAATCTGTCCTGTGTATAAAGTGATAATAATAATGCAGCCCACTATTTATCTGCTTGTCAAATTTCCTCAGCACCTACCATCTAAAGACATAGCCTGTGAAGTCAGTAGAATGGGGTTCTTTAGGGGAACTCTCAGAATATGTTGAACTGTTCTTTATTCAGGAACAGTTTGTGTTAATGCACATATAAAGCATTAATTATCCACACAGCAGTTGCTCATCTTTCCCCCCTTTTTAAAAAAAGTTCAGTTTTAGAAGTCCAGATTTAGAGCAGGAGAAGAGCATTCCAAGGTTGTTCTAATTACAGGAGAATGAGCATTTGGCTCTGGTTGGGAGGATGATGTTATTGTATGCATACAAGAAAGGGGGTTTCATCTGGGACTCCAGGACCTTGAATGATTTCATCTAGAATGATTTCATCTGGTACAAAAGAGTGAAAACCTCTCATTTCCCTCCCAACTGATACATTCTTGAGCAGTTACGTTGCGCCAGTATTTGTGGCCAATGTTGCTCTGGGTAACAGCTCTCTGTACCCCCCAGGGACTTGCACCTTTCTTTTGAGATACCAAGAAATACCATGCTGTCTACATTCCTTTTCCCATATAGAAGATTTAATATGTTTTGCAAGTACAGCAAATCTTCGGTAAGTTTTCAAAACACAATGCTATGGCCACGGGCCTAAGGAATTTGAAATGCAATAACAAAGAGTAATTGGAACAAACCCATAGTCCAGGAAATTGGAGCTTCGATGATGTTGAAAAACATTACGAGTATGACCTCTTTACCACTGAAGGACAATATGTCAGGTTTTGCTGACATGAGATTGTACAGCTATGAATCACAACCTTAGGGTATTAGGAACATAGGAAGTTGCCATATACTGAGTCAGACCATTGGTCCACCTGGCTCATTATTGTCTACATTGACTGGCCATGACTCTTGAGGATTTCAAGCAGCGCTACCTGAAGATGCCTAGGATTGAACCGGGGACATTCCACATGCAAAGCACATGCTCTAACCTGGAGCTGCAGCCCATCGTCTAGTTCAGTGTTCCCCAAGCTTGGGTCTCCAGCTGTTTTGGGGCTACAACTCTCATCATCCCTAGCTAGCAGGACCAGTGGCTGGGGATGATGGGAACTGTAGTCAAAAAACAGTTGGAGACCCAAACACTGGTCTAGTTGATGTATATGTACATTTCATGTTGTTTATCACTTCACTTTTCATGTTACACATAGAGCAGGGTGGCATATTTTCTTTCTAGCATTAGAAATCTCTATCTATCTATCATCTATCTATCTATCTATCTATCTATCTATCATCTATCTATCTATCATCTATCTATCTATCTATCTATCTATCTATCTATCTATACTAGTTTTATGCATGTAATTGTTGCCTTATGTGTCACAACCATTTGGAAATCCAGGGAAGCAGAGGTGTAGTAATGCTTGGTCAGGTATCTGCTTGTCCACCTAGTTTAATAATAATAATAAATAATAATAATAATAATAATAATAATAATACCCCACCCATCTGGCTGCGTTCCCCCAGCTACTCTGAATGACTTACAGCATATATTGAAACATAATAAAACATCAAACATTAAAAACTTCCTGATGCTGGGCTGCATTCAGATGTCTTCTAAAAGTTGTGTAGTTCTTTATCTCCTTGACATCTGAAGGGAGGGCATTCCACAGGAAGGGCGCCACTGCTGAGAAGGCCCTCTGCCTGGTTCCTTGTAACTTAACTTCTCACAGTAAGAGAACCACCAGAAGACCCTCGGAGGAGGACCTCAATGTCTGGGTTGAGCGATGGGGGTGGAGACGTTCCTTCAGGTGAACCACGTGGCATACTAAGGGATAGGTGACCCATGGATCCATCCCCAGGGATTTCCTATCTCTTGCCCCTGCATAGGCACTGGTTCTAGGGATAATACATCAGCTATTTTCTCCCATGTAACCTGAAGCACAGGCTAAGGTTCACTTGTGTTCTCTTCGCAGTTCAACATCAGCAGAGGTTCTGGCAGATTTTTGCATTTTATGCGCTTCAGATGCTCGCTGCTGTATGCAAATGAAGGCATGAAGCAGCTGAGGTACATAAGGGGAGGATTCTTAAAGAAACCCTGTAGCTACTTGGTAGTGGTGGTGAGGTAAAGGACTTAAAGATCCCTGTGCCTGGAGAAGTGATTAACCATGTAACCCTATACATGTCTAATCAGCAGTTTGAGTCCAATGGGAGTTTACTCCTGGGTACGTGGGTATAGGATTTCAGCCTGACATGCATAGTAAGGCAAAATCTTTGCCAAAATCTTTTTACTGCCCCCACACAGTAGGAAGGTGTTAAAGAGCCCTTTGCCTGGGCCTCATCCTGTGTAGGAGTGAATAGGGTCAGTATTACTGACTGTTCTGGTCTCCAGGTTATAGTCAATGCTAGTGCTATTCAGAGTAGACCCACTGAAATAAATGGGCCTAAGTAATGCCTATCAGTTTCGTGGGTCTACTCTTAAATAGGACTTGTTCAGTTAAAATTAGGGGCCCATTTATAAGTGTAGTTATCAGCAAAAGATATCATTTACCTGCTTCTTATCCTCTCCTGCATTCAGTGGAATACTGAGATCTGCAGTGGAGACCAGAGAGAGAATGCTGGTAAAACAAGAGTAGATCTATTCTGAAAAGACTGAGATGTCAGAATTTTGATTAATACTCATATCTGCTTTTTTAAAGCATGTATGGAAAATACATTTGAAGCATGTTCAATGAGACAGGAAATAGCAGCAGTTACAGCCAAATGCACTAGTATCCATTATCTAGTTTGCTCTTCCTCTGCATAGAATAAGCTATAGGAACATCTCAGTAGGGGGCGTAATGGAAATGAGAGCTTAGCCAAGTTGTACTAAGCTGGCTGGAAGCCTCCTATTTTTTTCATGAGCGCAGCCAACATGAGTTCGTATGTGTGTCTTTAAATGGCAATAATTTAAAACCATCAGCATCTAAATAGCCACTACCTCTGTTATTCATCGCTCAAAGCATTCTCAGAATGTGGTAGATCCACTAATGAATAACAGCTCATGAAACCAGTGCCAAGGCTCTAGCAGCCCTTCCTCATTTTAGACATCAAGATGTTAACCTTGTGTTTGGTAAACAAAAGATATACAAACCCCTCTGCATGATTTCATTGAAGACTGAATTGAGCATGAGAAGAAAAGGACTTGCTGTGCCTGCAGCTGCTGCTGCTTTCTTTCCTCTCTCTCTCTCTCTTTTAAAAAAGGTCCCATTTCAGCTGCCTGTGTGGCCCTCACTTCAGCTGTTTATTTTAGTTGAGCCAAAAGGCACTTTTCTAAAGATGATTTATTAGTTAATAAAACAGGGGAGACTGCAAAGTTTAGGGGACTTGTGATACACATTCAGGCTCGTGCTTTCTTTCAATAGAAAATAGAATCGTAGAATTTGTACATCTAGAATGGGATGAAAGCCTTCTAGTTATCCCTCTTCCCCTTGCAATAGAGGCCAGATTCTTCATATCCCAAATAACCTTAAAGAGATTAGCCTACTACATCCTTCTAATTACCATATGCTCTAAATGGAGAGGAGGAAGGATGACTGGATCTTCTGCCAAGCAGGGAACTTGAGTAAAACAAACACGGATGGCTTAAGCAGACAATCTGTACTAACACTGTAGGCCCTACAGTATAAGAGTGTCGTGGTGGGACCTCCAGGATTAGCAACCAGTCTAATCTGTAGGTAATTCCTGTTCCAACTATGTCAATCCAAAACTCGGAATTCAGCCTTTATATCAATGTTTGGTTTTTGTTTGTTTGTTTTTGCAGTTATATATCATGCTTTGTGATGCAAAACACAGGGCAAGAAAGCTCCTCCAGAAGCTCTAATATTCAGAAGTATGTGTACTTGTCACTAAATTAATAAAAATTCTGTGTGTGTAAATTAAGGGGAAAGTGCATATGTTTGCTTATATTTTGTTCCTTTAAATACATACATACATACATACATACATACATACATACTGCTTCTCATTGGGTGCGGGAAACACTAAATGCATGTCCTTAACCTCTGGGAAACTGATTGGTTCCCCTTTGCCAGTGTTTGAAATTTCACCAGTTGTCACTCACAGACTTTAAAGACTACACTGCAGTCATAAGGGCTAGAAAATCTTGAGGTTACTGTGCAAAAGAAATGCCTTTTGTGTGCCTTCATTGTGAACACTTAAGAGTGTTAATGCGCATAGGAGTAGTCACAGTTTTGTGTGATTTCCACTCTAGTGTCCTGAGGAGAGAGAAAAAACAAATTACTAGGATGAGGGCATTTATCACAGTTATAGGCCACAGGATTCAGGTCCTTCAGCATCTCCAAGTGTACTGGGTTGGAGGAGACCCCTCCCTAACGCCATCTCTGATCCCATGTTTTGGACTACAGTTTCCACCATCCTTGATGACTGGCCATGTTGGCTGGGACTGATGGCAGTTCTGGTCGAACAGCATGAGGAGGGCACCACGTTGGCTATCATTGAGAATGGCTGCCTATCCCAGTGAAAAGAATTGCTAGTATCAGGCAGTTCCTGAAATCTTTTATTGTTCTTAGCAAAACATTCGGTGCTCATTCTGCTCTGTGGAAATGTAAGTGTGAACTGTTGTCAGCTATAAAACCTTTAAAAGGAAACCGTGCAAAGAATAATAGAGAATAATTCAGTTTATGTTGGATAAACTATTCAACACATTGTTAATCCTAGGTTTTCATGATTTCATGCAGTTGCTGCCATTTCTGAATTGGCTGTTACTGAATGTCTCCCATAGACTCTAGATTGTTGATGAAATTGATAACTGGGGAAAGTTGTCTCACAACTCCAATTAAATGCCTTTTATTATTTTCAGATAGAAAAACAACTTTCTTTGTGGAATGATTGCCCCTAGAATTCATATAATGTAATAAACCTAGACAACACTGGGATCTTATTCAGGACAGGATTTTGCCTGAAAGGGAAAGTATACTCCTTTATTCTCCATGGATTATGACACTCATAAAAAGGACATTTTGGAAAATAAGAAGCTCTGCCATGGATTATAAACTGGTTGAAACAGCCAAGCTAATTAGCTAGCTTTCACCACAACATAAGGCTAACAGATGATATATTGAAAGTTCCATTGAACTGATTGGGACTTGCTTCTAAATAAGCATGCATGCAGTTGCACTGATAATAATAATGACAATAATAATTTCCCTATTGATAATGATAGTCATCACTGTGCTTATGTTGCCTGTATTGATACAAATGCTACTGTTAGTAATGCTGTGTAGAGAAGAAACGAGGAATCAATTTGCAGGGAATATAGCATCATGTCATGCCTTAGCTGGATACAATCCAGTGTTCTTTTGAAAAGTCTCATCTGTGTTTGTAATGCAATAGATGGTATTTGATACAGATTAGGATATAAATCCAGGGGACCACATGGCTGCCCGGATGGTTGTTTCTGTCAACCCTTAGACCAGCCTTCCTTTCCTTGGTTCCCTGCATATATTTTGTACCACAGCTCACAATTAGCCCCACTCAGTATGGTGAAGGCTCAGGGATGATGGGAGTTTTGCACTGAAAAATTTAGAGGGCATGAGGTTGAGGAAGGCTGTCTTACCCTAGAGTGAGGTACAGGTTTTAACGCTTTATTTTCTGTTATGGTGCCAATTTGGATCAGAGACCCATTAGCTCCAGAGTTTTGAAATCTCCTCCCCACCACCCATGGTCTCAATCCAGATTCCCCCTACAATGAAGATTTGTGCTTTAATAAGAACAAAAACCCTGCACTTAAGGGTGCAGATAAGGAACTAATATTACTATCTACTTTGAATGAGTGTATGACCCACTAGAAGAAGAAGAAGAGTTTGGATTTGATATCCCGCCTTTCACTCCCTTTAAGGAGTCTCAAAGCGGTTAACATTCTCCTTTCCCTTCCTCCCCCACAACAAACACTCTGTGAGGTGAGTGAGGCTGAGAGACTTCAGAGAAGTGTGACTGGCCCAAGGTCACCCAGCAGCTGCATGTGGAGGAGCGGAGACTCAAACCTGGTCCCCCAGATTACGAGACTACCGCTCTTAACCACTACACCACACTGGCTCTCACTAGGAAATATTTCCTTGTGCTTTGCCTCTGCATGACTCCACCAGCTACAGCCTGTCTGTTGAACCCACTTGCCTGCAGCCAGGCTAGGAATGGTAGATAAGAATGGTGTCTATTCTCATTTTAATGCAAATCTACCTAATTCACATTTCCAGTGCATAAAATGAAACTCAGCTGTCTATGAAATTTGCATTTTGGGGTGCAAGTTTTCAACTAAAAATGCATATTAAAATGTGCATACTAGTGAACATAATGCATTAAAATGCATTACGTTGGGGAAAATGGCGTGCAGAAGATTACAAAAGTTAGTAAGACCTTTTGTTTCTTTTCTTTCTTAAAAAAAAATTGCATACTTGATACAGAAATAGGGCAAACCAAATTTAACAGGAAAAATGAGATAATGAGAGAAATCAGAACTGCCAACATTCCACCATCCCTTAGCCAGATCTGTGTGCTGTGACAGCAAGAATGACCTGAGTAGAAATGATGGCTTTAGCGTACGCTGCTAGACGCATAGCTGGAAAATGCAGGGGGATCAATTTTTTCCTTGGCACCACCTGAGGATCTCACCTCACATGATTGTGACATAGGGGTAAGGAATATTGCGTGTGCATTCTGCTCCTGGGGCTCAGTGCGGTGCTGGCAGTTCCATGCATCCAGCCTCTGCGTGGTTTTGGCTTGTGCACACCCTGTTTTTTGCACGCTATATGGGAGCTGAACCATATCTGGAAGCTTTGAACTTTGTTATCCTTGTGCTGCTCGTAATAGATGATTCAGGCTTTTATTACTTTTCCTTTCGGCATTCCGATGACATCCACACCTTGCAAAGTCAGCATGAACCTTGCTTTTTCCTGTGAACAATTTCTCTGCAGAAACTGTTCAGGTTATTCTTCTTATACCAAACCAAGTTCAGTAGCTGTGTAAGTGTTTCTCTTCCAAACTAACAACTTGTTCCAATCCATGTTGAAAATATTAATTGCTTTGCTTCCTGAGCAAGAACTCTTCACCTCCTTTTTATAGCACGGGCAGTGTCAAAAGAAACTATTATTACAGTTCCTTCCTTCCGGTGTATTATTGAAATGGGGCATGCTGAGAGAATTTGCTGTTTTGGCAGCTGATACGTTATCTCCCAGCTTTTGCTATTTACAGAGGGTGTGTTTGCACCACATGCCCATCAGTCTGCCTGATGATAACACTGCTTGTCCTTTAATTTCTGCCAGAAGTCAAGTTGTGAACTGAATTAGCTCTTTGCTTACTCTCTTTGAGTGTACCAGAGGTTGGGACATTTAATTCCCTTTTAAAATTAAGAAAATACACCAATCATCTCCCTAATAAAGCTTCACTTTCCGTCATCCGTTATAAAATTAACTGGTGTCTATATTAAACCAACCTTTTTTGGTTCCTCTCTTCATAGGCTAAGAACATCCACCCACCAAGTCATATAAGATCAATGTTGCACTCTCTAGATTTTATTGGTCTACAGCTTCCATCAGCCCCAGCCACCATTGCCAATGTTCAGAAATAATAGGAGTTGTAGTTTGACAACATATAGAGGGCCACAGATTAGGGAAAACTGATGTAGAGCATTCCGCCTTTTTAGTATTTGGTGGTGGATGGTACACACAATTTACTAGATCCTTGTGGCAAACCTCTGAATGATTTGTTGTGCTGAAGTCCCCTTGCATGGTTTCTGCTTAAAGAGCAACTACAGCTTATTTATTTAAATTACACTTCTCCCCTCTCTTGCTTGAGGAGTTCAGAGTGGTCTCAGGTGGTTTCCAATTCAGGTAATTTACAGGGCCTAAACATACTTAGTAACTTCAGTGGCATAAATGCATCTTCTGCCCTCTGGTTTGCTCAAGTGCACCAGGCTTTATTCTGTAGTGCAAACAAAATTAACTATTCCCTCTACGTCCATTGTTATGTATGCATAATTGTGCTTTCTACCACACGAAGCTGTCCAAATGATAAGATAAAACTTTCAAGGTCCTTCTATAACAGTGGTTCCCAAACGTTTTCCGCCATGGACCACTTGAAAATTATTGATGATCCACTTAATGATTTTCCTGCCTCTTGTAGCAATTGCAATGCACTGGATGCTGTATGATTCTTTATTGCTTCTTTTATTTCTTATATTTTTATTGCGTTGCAGTTTGTATTCTCAGACATGCCATGAACTACCTGAATGATGGTTATGGACCACTGTTGGTTCATGGACCACAGTTTGGGAACCCGCGTCCTATAGGTTGTCCCACCTTCAAAGGTCAGATCAATGGTGGCGAAAGGGGACTCTTCAGCTCTAGCCACCCAGTCTGTGGAATGCTTTCCCCAGGGAGGCTTCCCTGGCACAAACTCTCATCCTTCCAGTGCCAGAAGAAGATCTTTTCATTCACCCCAGCTTCTGCACTATTAGATCAAGTTTATTTTCTCTGGTGCTCTCTGTTGATTTTTATTTTTTTACAGTTTCTATTTTTGTCTTTAAATATTGATCGCAAGCCACCCTAGAATTTGTCAAGCCTAAATAAAATACTCCGTTAAAGCCACAGAAAAACCTTCTGATTGAACTATGCCTTTGTGCTCATAGACGAGGCAATTCAGTCTTTTTATTTTCATTCAATCTTCCTTAACCTGGACAGCTACCACTGGCGTGTAATTTCCGAGGAGGAGTTTGAATGGATGGGTGTGCTTGGAAGTTTCTGTGAAACTTGTAAAGCTTTTGACAAACAACTGGTAAATCGGATGGTGTGGAACTGATACTGTAAGTACAGGCGCTGCCTCAGGGGATTAATAACCCTGCTGAGGTTAAAAACTGGGAAAGCCTCCAGCAGACTGCATTTGACAAGCCCATGTTAAAACTATTAGATGTTGATTTAGATCTTTGCTTAAAAACTTGGATTGTTCACAAAAACTGTGGGGGTATAGTTAAAACATTTTTTTCTCCCTTCAGGGCTAACATTCTCTCCCCCCACACCCTTCTTCTTTTCTCTCTTTTAGGTATGTGATGTCAAACCAGTAGGCTGTTCTCTGGAGCCTCCCACACACTATTGTAACGTCATGTGCCAGTATGAATATTATTAACACAGACACACATACTTCAGTGCTCTGCAACAGAAGAGGAGGAAAGAGAAACGAAAGCTTCAGAATCAATGAATGGACTGCCTGCAAAATGTTGCTTATCTAACTTCTGCTGAGAATACCTCCCATTTCTGCTACTGGAGAAGAGCTGAGCGGAAACAGGATCATACCCACCCCCCATTAATTTCCATTCATATATATTTATCCCTTTTTATCTTGGATTTCAGGCTCTGAACTGCTTTGGCTGCAAGCACTTGGACAGCAATATGTGTCATGTCATTGTCACTTGCCGCTCAATGCTGTGGACGCTCCTGAGTATTGTTGTGGCATTTGCAGAGCTCATAGCCTTCATGAGTGCTGATTGGCTGATTGGCAAGGCAAAACCTGGGAATTCTGAGGGCATGGACAATGGGATGGGAGGATCGCTGGAGCCGTTTCGTCCAACCTTAGGGATCTACGGACGTTGCATCAGACTCTCACACATGAAATCATCAATGCCCGACACGCTTTGTGGCCCTTATGCTGAAAATTTCAATGAGATTGCCAGTGGATTCTGGCAGGCGACGGCTATTTTCCTTGCCGCTGGGATCATGATACTCTGTGCTGTCGCATTTGTATCTGTTTTCACCATGTGTGTACAGAGCGTTATGAAGAAAAGTATTTTTAATGTCTGTGGGCTGCTACAAGGGATTGCAGGTAAGTATGAAAAGGCAAAAAGTGAAACATATTGGATATGTTTGTGGTATGTGGATGAGGACGCATTCTCAACAAGATTTTCTTTCTGCTAAATGTAAAGACCTGTTCAAATAGTTTAGTCTCCAGAAGACTGCATTTAACAAGCCCATGTTATAATTCAGGAATATGGTCAGGGTAAAACTTAAGACACTAGCTAAAGCTTCCTTTATAGCTAGCACGTGTTCTGGATATTTCTCAGAAGAATGACTATGTTGCAGTTTACTTTAAAGTACCTATATCTTTTCTGCACTGTGAGAAGCTGTTTAGATACCCTCAGACCCTCCTCCTTAACATGACACATAGTTTGAATCAGCAAATATGATTTGTCATAATAATAATAATAATAATAATAATAATAATAATAATATGTTTTATACTTCACCTATCTGTCTGGGTTGCCCCAGCCACTCTGGGCAGCTTCCAACAAGAATACAGAGGGAAATAAAAAAAAATCACATCAAACATTAAAAGCTTCCTGAAACAGGGCTGCCTTCAGATGGCTACAAAAAGTTATATAGTTGTTTAACTCTTTGTCATTTGACGGGAGGTTGTTCCACAGGGTGAGTGTGACTGCCGAAAATGCCTTCTGCCTGGTTGTACATTGAGGGAACCACCAGAAGGCCCTTAGAGCTGGCCCTCAGTGTCTGGGCTGAACGATGGGGTGGAGACGCTCCTTCAGTTATACAGGGCTGAAGCTGAAATTATACTACTCATAGTTCTAGAAACCACCATTTCATCTTTGATTCCAGTCCTTAGCTGTGTGACTAGCACAAAATGGCAAACTGATTTGTCTCAAACCAGGAAGCAAGGAAAGGAATCATAAGGTGTGAGGGGAGGGAGGGTACGGGGAAGGTTGTTATTTTCCATTTATTGCATTTATAAACCCTACCTTTTCTCTGAAGAGCTCTTAAATACATTATGTATGAACCAGCAGTTCATATCTTTCCTCACCACCATCCTTTTTCTCTTAAGAGAATCCTAAACAAACCAGAGAAGAAAATGGTGGGTCAGCCACAAACCATTATAAATCAGAGAATGAACCACTTCTGTATCTGAACCCTTTTGGTTGTATTTTCGTTCTGAAACAAACAAACAAACAAAACAAACTACGGCTAATGTGACTATCATCCATAGATGGAAAGCAACCAATTTTTTAAAATTTAGTTCTTTGTAAATTATGTTGTTGCTACAGAATTAGTAATCTCGAGATGACTCTTTACTGAGTTCACTGATGCTTGGTCATGGCAGTGCTATTGCACCTGGAATGTTGCCAGTGTTCTGCTGATGACGTGTGACTGTCACGATGCACGAGTTTCTTAATTCTTGCTCTTGCAAAGTGCTTAAGCAAATGGTTCAAGTAGTCTGCCAGCATGGCTGTAAACAGATAGGACTATTAAAATATTCCCTCATAGCTGGATTGAAGCCTGGCTTAAATACATCCATGAAGTTTTATTTTTCAGAGTTGTTTCTGTAAAGTACAAATATTTTGCAGAAGTAGACCTGGTTTTGATTGGTTTTTTTATGTGTACTTGGGACACAGATGGTACTCTTTTTCTTATCACCTTACATTTCCAACAGCTGTCAAAGCACAAGCACTTTCAATCATTTAGAATATTCTTGATTAACAGGACAAACTTATACATATTTACTCAGAAATCCAATGCTGTATGCAGAGTTCTCACACATCAAGACTTCACTTTCCTCTTTACACCCAATGCACCCCCAAAATCTGCTCCAGAAGGCCCCCTAAACCTCTGGAACAGATTTTGAGAGTGAGTAACGGGGAAGAGGAAAGAAGGGACAATTCCTTTGCACAGGGGGAATGGTGGTGTGGGATATAGCATAGCTTCAATATCCAAACAAAAACAAAAACCAAAGTGCTGGACCAACAAGCACAAAAAAACCCCTCTGCAGTGCCACAAATCCAACTTAACAGTGTAATGTTGGAAAATGTCGATGACTTTTCCTACCTGGGCAGTTATCTTTCCACAAGGACATTGATGCCGAAATCCAGCATCGCCTGAGCTCTGCGAGCGCAGCTTTCTCCCGATAATAGTGCCAAGTGTTTGAAGACTGGGACATTCACAGGGAAACCCAAATGCTCGTTTACAACCAACTTTACTGTACTCTTGCGAAACAAGGACCACTTATAAACACCATCTCCAACTCCTCAAAAGATTCCATCAACAATGTCTCTGAAAAAAATTACACATCACTTGGGAAGACAGTGTACTGTCAGTGTACTGGAAGAAGAAAAGATCACAAGTGTCAAAGCAATGATTCTTCAACATCAACTTCGTTGGACTGGTCATGTTGTTCGGGTGTCTGATTATTGTCTTCCAAAGCAACTACTCTATTCCCAACTTAAGAATGGAAGGCGAAATACTGGTGGACAATAAAAGAGGTTTAAAGGTGTTCTCAAGGCAAATCTTTAAAAATGTAGGATAAACACTGACAACTGGGAAACACTGGCCTGCAGGCACTCCAATTGGAGAACAGCCTTTACCAAAGGTGTCATGGGTTTTGAAGACAAAAGGGAGAAACGAGCTAAGAGGAAGGCACGCTTGGCAAACCCTCACTGTGATCAACTCCTACCCGGAAACCTATGTCCCCACTGTGGAAGGATGTGTGCATGCAAAAATCAACAGGCTCACTGTTAAGACTGTTTTCATGGAAGACAATCTTACTTGGCTACAAGTGATAGCCAAAGAAGAAGAAGATTGAGTCCAGTGATAATTAGGATTACTGCCCAGGTTATCTTTAAAATCTCGCAGAAATTACGATGATTAATATTTAATCTTTTTCCTGGAATTTGTGGGAAGAAGAAAACTGTACACAAGTTGTTGAATTTCTGACCAGTTTTGTGGGCAGTGACTTAAATGGTGCGTAAAATGAAGATTACAGAATGTCCTTCTAAGGGTTTAGTCCAAGACCTTCATCTGCATGAGCATGTAGGGCTGCCAAGTCACAGTGAGCCCACACACATCTTAGGCCAAGGAGCTTTTTAGTCTGTCTGCAAATAATCTGTCTTCTGATTAAAAGGTTCCCTTTGGGATTCCTGTTATCCTCCAGTGCTCACAGTTCCTTTCTGTTCTTAAAGTAGGGAAGCAGCAATCTTCATTTTGTAAACATTTAGAAGCCATACTGTTAAGGAAAGAATAAGTCATCAGCTTCAAAGGGCCATAGACCAACACAACCATATCATTAGATCAGTAACTGCTGCTTGACAAACAAAAGGGGCTGGACAGGCGGTCATTTGTGCATCTTTTGCGAGTGCTGGAGCTATTTTTAAAAGGCTGTGAATTACTTGAAAAACCTGAGTTTGAGCAATTTTGTTCCTAAAATACTAACAGGGAATTAATTTTTAAGTGGGTTGATTGTAATAATAGCTTCCTCTTTTCTGCCTGTAAATATCAGTAGTCTGTAGTATCCAGTTGGGTGTTTAGGGACTGGGATTCAGAGGCATACTAAATGCATTTGCCCACATTCATCCCTTGCTACCCTTGGCTCTCTTTTTCCTCCCTCCATTTCTCTCTATATTATATTAGACTGTAAGTTCCTTGGGGGCACAAAGCTTAATATTTTTTGCCTATAAAACTCTGGAAGGTGCTACATATACTGAAATAACTAAAAACATATTAAATAATAACATGGGGTTGTTTTTCTTTTTTCTTTTTTAAAAAAAGGTTGTTTCCATGCTTATATTAAAACTACTCTCAAAATATTTTCTGAAAATATTTAAAGTGCATATTTTGTGCTAAGTTTCCACTTAGGTTTGTTTTTGGCGGGGTTTTTTTATTATTATTATTTTATTTTAGCCATTAGTGCCAGCCCTTCTCCATTTCTGGGAAAATGCTGTTTGGTTTATAGTGGAAATCCTGACACTGTCTCAAGTACATTTGCACTTTGAACAGCATGGTACACGAGTTCCTGTATTCAGATGGCTGCATTCCAGCATGACTGCTGAAAGTTAAAGTTCGGGAAAAGACTTGGTGGGGGCAGGAGGAGGGGATATGAGCCTAAGAGGAAAAGTGTGCTCATGCTAAGTATATGTGATAATCAGGCATTGAAATATGGTAGAGCCGATTTCAAATAGTACAGGATAGTACTTTAACAGTAACGATTTTAATTCTGTTACAGATTGAGGTTTTGCCTAGCAAAGTGGGCAGCTTAGACCCTCCTGTGCCTCTGGGCTTGCTTAGACTCCAGGCTGACCAGTAGTCTGTGTAGTGTCATTGTATGACTTGCACCTCAGTCTCCCTCTAAGATACATAATGAACATGCCTTTTATATGTAGCAGGAGATGAAGGGCCTGAGCTGATAAAAGCTGGCAGACAGCTCCTGAGAGGAGGCCATAATATTGCTTCTTCTTGTCGTTGCTCAATCAATTCCTCGTCATGCTTCCTCTGTCGCAGGGCTTTCTTCCCAAATCGTTTTTCTAGCCAAGTTGGTGATGCATCAGCCTCCTCTGCGTTCTTGGCAAGTCATTTGAAAGAGGAGTCAGATTAGGACTGAGATTCAACGCAATCCTAACAGTTTCCAGAAGAGGCAGGCTAGAAAACTTTTCTAACCATCCCTACTCAGGCACCTGCGTGGACGGCTTGTCCTAGCTAATGCACTGTAGTAGAACAGTAATGGAGGAACACTCGGCAAGACAAATTGGAATGTTTCTTGAGTTTAGTTTTGGAATGGTTTTAGGAAAATGCTGCACAACATAGGATCAGCCAACAGGACTGCAACTAAAATTTACGGGAAAAGTAGCAGCTGCCCTAACCTTTTGGCAACACACTTTGCATGTGATTTTCATTTTTAGTCTGAGCAAAACTGAACTTGTATAGGTGATGGTCATGAAGACAATGTACGCCAAAATTTGTGAAGTGTCTTCTCTTCTTTCCTTGTCTTCATCTGTGGGTTAACATTACAATCCTGACTACATTTACTCACAAGAAAATACTATTGATTTCAATAATGTTTAGCTTCAGTTAAACGTGCAATCCTATATGCATGTGCCTGGAAATAAGTATCATTGAACTAAATGGGGCATGCTTGTGATTTTTCCTAGGATTGCACTATAAATCATCAGTGGATTGCAGTATTAACCTTTTTTAAAATACTTGAATGAGAAAAGAGGATAAAGGTCTTTTCTGTCAAAAATCTGCTAGCAAAAGATAGGAGATAGATGTGATTAAGCTCTTTGCAGCAAACTGGTCCAGCATTATTGATATCCTTTTTGATAGACGTGATAACTATTTGAAAATCGCTAGTATACATGCAAAGGAAAGAATAACAAACTAATCATATGATTTTTGTGCTGCCCATGACTCACTGTATGTGGGTGTTTTCCGGGTTGGTAAAACCAAGAACCCAATTTCAGTACAGTTTCTGTAAAGTGCAACTGAATTAGGAAAGAGTCTGGAAAAACCCTGGTGTTGCCAACCAGTCCTTGCGGCTTTTAGTTTCAGATCCTTCCAACACGTTTTGTCATTTTCTTTGGCTAGTTTGTCTTCTATAAGTATTAATTCAGGGAGCTGAACTTATTGAATATTTCCAGTCAGTTGCTGAAATCTAGGGCTGGATCAAGGCACATCAAATAAGTGTTTCAGTTTAAAGTGTTGTAAATTTAAACAGGAAAAACAGGTGGAAAACAACAGGGCTTCACATTGCCATCTGGTGGCACAATGTTATATTGCATATACAACACATATAAATTGCTTTTTCTTTTACCAATCTAGCTGAATCCTAGGATTGGCTTGACTAAGTTACTGCATTTAAATAGCTATCTACATCAAGTTTGCATTTTTAGGAATGGGTGTGTCACATGTATAGTTGGGTCCAAATACAGTATCTTGTCTATGACATTGAATGGATTCCCTTGGAAAATGGAGGTTTTTAGGCAGAAATTGGATGGCCATCTGTTATGGATGCTTTAATTGAAGTCCCACATTGCAGGTAAAAAAAGGTAAAGGACCCTTGACAGCTAAGTCCAGTCGCGAACGACTTTGGGGTTGCGGCGCTCATCTCGATTTACTGGCCAAGGGAGCCGACATTTGTCCACAGACAGTTTTTCCGGGTCATGTGGCCAGCATGACTAAACCGCTTCTGGCGAAACCAGAGCAGCGCACGGAAACGCCGTTTACCTTCCCGCTGGAGCAGTACCTATTTATCTACTTGTACTTTGATGTGCTTTTGAACTGCTAGGCATTGCAGGGGATTGGACTAAATGACCTTCCAGTTCTACAATTAAATGACAAGAAAACAGACAAAATACTTTCTGAGCTGTTTTCTGTGTTTCCCCTTCGTTTTAATAATGCAGGATGGTCCTTGCTTGTCTACAGCACTGACGCACCATTGATCCCATTTGGCCAATTTCTGCTTTCTTCAGAGGCATTTTTGACAGGCAAACACCCCTTTGTTTCAGTAGGAAATGCAAGGGGGTCGTTTCTGGATTTGCAGACAGCATTCAGCTTTGCCAGTATACTCTGCTGTTTAATGTGGCAGAACAACAACTGCACAAGAGACTGTCAGAACTAAATATCATGCTTCTGGCTTATCCAAACAAACAGCTGGGTAACCATGCTCTCTGAAGGAGTTGTTTCCAAGATCAGACCAGGGGGATCTGCTTTATGTTATTGCAAAGCTGCCACTGCGGCTGGTCTGGCATTACTCAGATCCAGTGCAAGGCAGTCAGAGTGATGTGTGCCGTTGATGAATTTTAGTACTGAACTTTGAGTTCTTGACTTTCAACAGTGATGTTGTTCCTTATGCTCAGTGGCTATTAGCCCTGATAGCTAAGTGAAACTTCAGTGTTTAAAGGCAGTGCATATCTGAACACCAGATGTTAGGGCAAAACAATTGAAGAGGATTGTTGCCTTCAAGCCCTGCATATAAGGTTTCCTTAGACGTATCCAATTAACCACAGTTCTTGTTACATTCCTGGAGCTCCAAATAAAAACTTTGAAACCAAAATAAAAAGGCACATGACAATTAGCTACCTAAGCTAGAACTTAGCTCTTGCTATTGAACTCCCCTCTCTTCAAAATTATATGGACAACTTCTTTTTATTAATTTGTGTCTAGAGCACAATATACTTCTTTTTCCTTTCTGTTTTTGGAGAGATGGATTGTGTCTCTCTGCGTTAACTTAGCTAATCCTTTTTTAGCTAATCACTTGGAAAGTGGAGGTGCCCCTCCAGATGTACCTCCACAAAACTTAAATTGAACATCCTCTCCAAAGCTGCCTCCAGCCTCTGAGAGTCCAATTAAAGGCATCAAATTAATTAGCTACTCCATTTCTCCCCTACATTTGCACTGTACAAGACTTGCACAGGGATCATTAAATAGTAAGTAGGGGGTACCTCAATACTTAGGGATTGAAGGATTTGTAATTTCATGTTCTTCAATTAAATTACAGAGGCATACTAATTGAGTGGCAGATATAAAGGTGGAGAACAGAAAAAACTGGCTTCTTAAAATTTGTCTTTAGTGAATTCTTTGATTTATGGATAGAATGGATGCCTGGACACACCTGTTTGATAAGTCTGTGCTAATAAGTTAATGCAACACACAGTAGTATCTTGTGGTATTTGCTAGCAAACATTTAAGCATTTAAATCTTATTTACTCAGTTGTCTGATAAATGCATATAAAGCAGAATTAATGATGGCAGAAGCCAATTTTTAAAAAGGAATCTGACTATGAGCACATAGCCTACATTTTAAGAAACAATCTGTGCAGTGTTAACTAATTTTAGGTGGAAAATGTGATAAAACGCACAGACGTCCCTCCGCCAAAGCTGTCAGGTCCCTGGTAAACAGCAAGCCAGGATATAGCTATACCACAGGTTTAATCGTCATCTCCTTTCCTCAGGGAAGTCAAGTTCTGGGGTCACCTCACCAAGGTATAAGACAGGTGTTTGGTGTGTACATACACCCTCAGAGGTTATGCTCAAGTTTTGTTTTCCTTTAACACGTGTGCATAAAATGTTTTCTGGTAAGAGAAACTACACTTAGATTGGAGCAGTTTTAAAGCATCCTGGTTTTGATAGATAAAAGCCATTTCAAATGAAATTTTGGTGCTAAACATTGTAATTTTCAAACTTATGCTGTGTCAGTAAATCTCCTAGTCAGAAAAATGATGCTGTATAGCACACTGACAAAGGAACTTCTGATGACATCAGGAAGGGGATTTCTGGTGTTTAGTCTGTCACAGCTGGTGGGCTCAGAAGGATGAAAGCCCAGTTTATCCTGGTCTGCCCAAGATGAAGCAATACTTTATAGTCTCAGTGACACAGTCATGCTGGCAAAGAACACTACACAATGTTTTTGGCTGTTCCTGACTCAGTACACAGAGAAATCCCTAATGTTAAGACTGGAACATAATTCACATATGGGGTTTTGCAACCAACCAAATGATAAAAGGCTACAGATAATCCAGGTTCTCTCTTTCTGTTTAAGAAATGCTTGTTAAAGGATTTACATACAGGGTCTGATGCATTTTGAACCTTCTCATATGTCCAAGTGCAGCTTGATGTAATGAGGGATACTGGGATGTTTCTCTCAGCTGGCTGGCATTCTGTCCCAATAATTAAGAAACAGTAATGTGCTGGAGCATGTGCAATCTTAATTGCCGTGAATGAGACAGAAACTAGCACTCACAGCTGTTCCTGCCCTCAAGATTTACTAAGAAACAAACTAATACTGGCTGTGATTTATAACTTAGAAAAAACTTCATCCTTGGTGGAGATGGGGAGGAATAATAGGAATATAGTTAATACTGTTAACACTGAACATTTTTCAGTGTTGTCATTTTATTCATTTTACATGTGACTATAATTTGTTTTAGCTGTTTTTAATGCTGAATTTAATGTTGCCGTAACCCACCCTAGGATCTGCTGGTGAAGGGCAAGTAATAAATTTAGTAATAATTCTCCATTTGGGCATGTCCTGCTGGGTTTGTATTACTGCATAGCAGCAACTACATTCAGGATGTCAAACCCACAGTTGCACTATAAACAGTGCATTGCCTGTCGGTCCCTAAGCCTGCAGGCCAAGTGATTCTGCATTGTAGTTACTGAATCCTCTCCCCTTTTGTCATGATAAACTTCCCTTTTTTTGCCAGTTTGGTTTACAGTGATGTGTTTGCACTTTTGTTCTAACTACTCTTTCTTTTTCTTGGTAGGTCTCTTCCTTATCCTAGGCTTGATCTTATACCCTGCTGGCTGGGGTTGTCAGAAGGCAATAGACTATTGCGGACATTATGCTTCGGCTTATAAACTTGGTGACTGTTCGCTGGGCTGGGCTTTCTACACTGCAATTGGTGGCACTGTTCTGACATTCATCTGCGCAGTCTTCTCCGCCCAAGCTGAAATCGCCACCTCCAGTGACAAAGTACAGGAAGAAATTGAAGAAGGGAAAAGTCTTATCTGTCTCCTTTAATGACTCAAGAGAACCTTTACATGTCTCAGCAGAATTGGCTTCTAAGTGGACTTCTAAATGAACTGATGCCAAGACACACACAAAAGCCTTTTGGAGCTCAAGCAGTATAGTGTCACTTAATAGGCATGGAGGAGGACTATCAGCAACATAAGAAGAAAATGTTACTTTGTCAGCATCACAGCACCTGGCTGCAATGGAAGGATGCTACAACATACAGCTGTTGGCTTCAAGTTTGTATGAACAGTGCCTAACGGTTTTGGAAATGCTCAGTTCTACTTGTATGTTCACCACTATGAAGGATTGGAGAGGAATCCTTGGAAGGATATTGCTGAATACAAGCCAATATGTTTCCACTATGTACAGAAAGTTAATGTAACCAGGCTTCAAGTTTAAAGGTTTTAGATGTCACCTTGGTGCCATCCCTACGGCAGTTTCTTCGGGATGCATTTAGAAAAGCTTATCTTGTTGAAATAGCACATGGGGAAAACTTGGGTACAGGAAATATGCATGGATTCCAAATGAAGCTTGCAAGGAAGGGATTTTCATAGGCTGGGGCTTGTAAGCAATACTTTGCCCAGTAAACATGTGAAATAGGTTGCTGTAGTCAGAACAAGTACAGTATACAGCAGCCACCAGAATGAAAGCTAAATTATTTTGGGCTCATAAGCACAGGTAGTACTAGCAATGTGCGATTGATTTAGCTGTATAAATGTAGATAGGTGAAGCAAGTCTTAGGAAGTAGTAATGGTAGTACTTAGGCCCCAAAGGTGTACCTCCTAGTGGAAGTGTAGACCTTAATCCACCTTCAAGGACAGTAGCAAGCAGAGTACTGGTGCCCACAGGGTACCTCCAATGGCCTCTTCTCGCCATTCCAAGTACAGACTGCCATTGCGTTCATCTTGCCCGAGATTATGTGCCTAAAATACCGCATCATCACCTAAGGACAGACTCTACTAAGGTCTGATGCTTTTGAAAGATCTTTTTACAGCTATATTGCATGCTGATGATTATAATCAGCTCAATGATTTTCCAGAGGTGATCTTTTTCTGCAAGACAGTGCATACATACACTTCTGTAATTTTTCTACAAGCCTAAGAATTTTTGAAACCCATTAAAACAAAATATCATGGTGCTGTCATAATGACGGGTTAACTGATGGCTAATAATCAGATGTTCATGTATCAGATTAGCCTTATTAACATTGATCTCTCATATTTTACTTTTTGATAGGAAGAACGTGCAGCAGTTGGAGGCCAAGATGCTAGACTAAAATTTTACATCAAAACCACTAATGATAACCACTTATGTCTACCATAGCTTCTAAAATTAAGAAAATTGAAATTTCCAGTAACAAGGAATGTATTTTAGAGTATCTACCCCTCTAACTCAGGTTTATTGTGCATGGCTGCTTCTTCTTTAACCACTGCTATAGTAAGTAATACAAAAATGAGTAACAACTATGTACATACAAATTTTGTGGGGGTATTACCAACTATGCTGATATGTTCAGTACCAGCAGTGCCGATTAAGACACTATCTTGGACAACAAAAGTTTGCTTTCTTTTGCAGAGCTGCTGCTACTTCTTCCACAATTTCTCCTGTTCAAAAACTTGTGGACATTCCAATTAGCAAGAGCATAAAAGGGTGATGCACTACCCACACACATTATGATTAATACAAACATGCATTAAGACTTTAGAAGTGTGATGGACAACAATAAGTCTTCCTACTATAAAGATAGGGTCTTATAAAACAACCAACAACAACCAGGTTCACCTAACCTGAAAACCCAAACATTGTAAACACTGTCCCATCGTTTACAGAGTGGTAGATTACTTGTGACCCAAGCCAAATGCAGCCTACTTTTGTGACTCTGCCAGGTGCTTAACAACCCTTGTTCATTTTTGTAGCTTTAGGCCGGTAGCACATAAAGAAAGGTTTGCAAGGTCCTAGTAACCAAAACACATAGTTGTGGACTATGCTTGGCTTGATAGGTCACAAGCTGCACAGGTCTGAGGAAGACTATCTCATTCTAGAACATGGTGGGCTTCTCCTATTTAAAAGGGCTCCCTCTTAATGCACATGGAGTGTCCATGCTGATGTTCTTTAGTTTGCTCTCCTTTTTGGTACTGCAGCAGCGAAAAACCTCCAGATTGAAATAGTGAGGTTCAATTAGAGCTAACCTTTTTAGCTCTAAAAAGAATGCATATTCAATAAGGATGCAGGGCTAATTAAATATTTGTTTGGCAGAATCAGTTTTAACACAGGATATGATCTTGTCACATTTCACATTTTATGTCTGAAGCTGCCCCCCCCCCCCAATGAATACTGCTGTAATTATTATGGCTGTGATCCAGGTGTGTAGTTACTCCAAGTCAGAATATGCATTCTGTTTCCCCCTTTTAAAAATACAATTGCTCTCACAATTTTTCTTTAGATTTTCTTCTCCCCCAAATGGCAGTTTGGCAATAAGAGCCATAAGAGCTGTTAAAAAGAAGAGTGCTGGTTCAATAATTTGTTTCACATCTCTTCCCCATTTATTGTTAAGTTGCTCTTGCATTTAACCTCCATACTGATTTTTGAGATACAAACATTTGAAGGTAATTGAGGGATAACACTAAGATTTCTATCTCTAATCGCTGTCACGGATAGACCAGGTTTGGATTTCGAGTGAATTGTGCCCAAGAGTTAAACAAATAGAAATAAGACCGAAAGTAATATCTGACCATAGTCCGATAGAACTGGAACTGGAGAGTTTTGAAAGAAGAACTTTTAGATGGAGACTAAAGGATTACCTCTTAGATGACCAGAAGATTGTAGAAAATGCAAAAAAAAAGCTAACAGATTATTTTACGGATAACTGTGACAAGGGCACAAAGATTAATGTGGTATGGGGCGCAAGCAAGGCAGTGATAAGAGGATTTTTCATTCAACAAAATGCGATTAAAAATAAGAACAGAGAGAGGGGTAAAGAAGAAATCTTAAAGCAGATAATGGATAATGAAGAAAAATTAATCCAGAAACCTAATTGTCAGAAAATAATAGAAAACATCAAAATCTTACAAGCCCAATTTGCCACAATAATAAATAGAGAAGTAGAGTGGAACATAAAAAATTAAGACAAAACAATTTTGAATTTTCAAATAAACAAGGCAAATGGCTTGCATGGCAAATTAAAAAGAGGAAAGAACAAGGTGTAATAAATAGAATTATAGCAGAGGAAGAAGAAATAACTGATCCAAAAGGAATCCGGAAAGAGTTTCTGGATTATTATAGAGGCCTTTACAAAAATAAGGAGAGAAATAATTTAAGGAGAATAGATAGATTTTTGAAAGATAAAAGGGTGCAAAAAATTCCAGCAGACAAGAAACAACGATTGAATATGCCAATTGAAATAGAGGAGATAGAGGAAACAATTAAAGACTTAAAGAGGGGAAAGGCTCCGGGGCCTGACGGATTCACGGCGGGCTATTATAAAGAGATGAAATCAATTTTGGTGAATCCCCTGAAAGAGACTATGAATAATATCTTAAGTAAAGGAGAAATTCCGGAGACCTGGAAAGAGGCATTTATCACGTTCATCCCTAAACAAGATGCAGATTTAACTCAGGTGAAAAATTACAGGCCAATCTCGCTGCTAAATACGGACTATAAAATCTTTGCAGGAATTCTTGCGAGAAGACTGAAGTGTCTATTATCAGAGATTATCCACAAAGATCAGGCCGGCTTCCTTCCAGGCAGGCACATGAAGGACAACATAAGAAATATAGTCAATATGTTAGAATATCTATCTGTCAGGATTGACAAACAAGTTATAATGATGTTTGTGGATGCAGAGAAAGCATTCGACAACGTGATATGGGACTTCATGTTGAAAAACTTGGAACATATGGAAGTAGGCAAAGATTTTTATAATGGAGTTAAAGCAATATATACAGAGCAGAAGGCCAAATTGATTATAAATAACAGTGTGACAGAAGAAATAAAGGTACAGAAAGGAACAAGACAGGGATGTCCACTCTCCCCGCTACTATTTATAATGGTATTAGAAATCCTTCTAAATTCAATCAGGCAAAATGGAAAAATAAAAGGAGTGGAAGTTGGACAAAATGTGTATAAGACCAAAGCCTTTGCGGATGACTTAGTAATAATGACGGAAGACCCAACAATTACAATGGCAGAAATTCTAAAAGAAATAGACCAGTTTGGGGAAGTGGCAGGTTTCAGATTAAATAAGAGGAAAACGAAAATGATAGTTAAAAATATGGACCAAAGCATAATAGAAACAATTCAACACCAGTCGCAGATAGGGGTGGTTAAAAAAGTGAAATATCTTGGAATCTGGTTAACACCTAAAAACATAGACTTATTTAAAAACAACTATGAACCGATGTGGAGAGAAATAAGAAAGGACCTGGAAATGTGGGGAAGACTGAAATTGTCGTTCTGGGGAAGGATCAACACTATCAAGATGAATGTATTACCAAGACTATTGTTCTTATTCCAGACCATTCCTATAATTAAGGGGAGCCGAACCTTCAAACAATGGCAAAGGGTTTTATCAAGATTTATCTGGCAGGGCAAAAGCCTAGGATTCAGTTTAAACTGTTAACAGATATAAAGGAAAGGGGAGGCTTTGCTCTGCCAGATCTTAAGTTATACTATGAGGCATCATGCCTTTGCTGGACAAAAGAGTGGGCAAACTTAGTGAATACGGAGCTGCTCGATTTAGAGGGCTTCGATAATAGGTTCGGCTGGCATGCCTACCTATGGTCTGAGAAAATGAAAGTACATAAGGGGTTTGGAAATCATATTTTTAGAGGTCCACTTATCGAAATATGGGAAAGATATAAAAATCTATTAGAACCCAAGGTCCCACATTGGCTCTCACCTCTTGAAGCGATAAGTGTGAAGAAAACTAACATGAGAAGTAATTGGGCAACATATGGTCAACTATCAATTAAAGAAGATGGGAAATGGAAGCTAAAGCCATATGAGCAGGTTAAGGGTGAGGTGTATGATTGGTTACACTACTTCCAAGTCAATGAAAGGTTCAGAAAAGATATTAAAGAAAGAGGGTATGCAGACAAAGATTCAAAATTTCAGAAGGAGATCCTAAACAATGACGTGAAAATAATATCCAAAATGTATAGGATATTGTTAGATTGGAACTTAGGGGATGAGGAGGTCAAAGTAGTAATGACTCGTTGGGCTAAAGATATGGGCCATAACATACAATTTGAAGACTGGGAGAAATTATGGAAAGATGGTCTAAATTTTACTGCGTGTGTAACGGTAAAGGAAAATGTCATGAAGATGTTCTACAGGTGGTACATAACACCTGTGAAATTATCGAAAATGTATAAGGTATCCAGTAGATGTTGGAAGTGTAAAGAAAAGGAGGGCTCCTTTTACCATATATGGTGGGAGTGCGGGAAAGTGAGAGAATTTTGGGAAAAAATATATGTCGAACTAAAGAAGGTATTGAAGTATACGTTCACAAAAAAACCTGAAATCTTTCTATTAGGGATATTAGGGAATGAAATAAAAAAGAAAGATTGTAAATTTGTATACTATGCTGCCACCGCAGCAAGGGTTATATTTGCTCAGAAGTGGAAAAAGCAGGAAATCCCAATGATAGAGGAGTGGAGATTAAAGTTATTAGACTACGCGGAACTGGATAGATTAACAGGGAAGATCAGACATTTAAGAGACCAAAAGTTCATTAAGGATTGGGGAAAATATGTGGATTATCTGGAACACATTAGTGAGGGACAAACAACGCTAATGGGATTCAGAGAAGCACTGTGAATGTTTAAGAGTTATTGTTTAAAGTAAATAGAAGGGGAAAAGATGTCCAATGACAATACAAGCAAAGAAATGCGTAACTTTAATTATTACTATGAAAGATTAACGGACAAGCTGAAGGAAGTCCAGAAAGAGATGATAATGTATAGTTTTTGGCGAAAATTTTAGTAATGTATATATTTTTTTTTCTTTTTCTTGGTTTTTGTGTTTTGTGTTGATGTTGTTTTTTTTTTTTTTCTTTTTACTTTTTCTTTTTTCTCAAAAATCAATAAATATTTACATGGAAAAATAAAGCTTTTATGGAACAGATTAGTAGTATATGGGGCTCTTGAAAAGTGTTTTAAGGAATTCATTCATGTAACAAACCATTATTTACTTGGTCTCTCACATTTCCAACTGCCCTTTTAGTAAGGGTTCCAAATGGGCATGCCAACTTTAGACAATACACTGTAGTGCTGCAGTGTTTAAAGCAAAAATTGTCATCTTAAAAAAGAGAAAATTTACCCCCACGTTGAATTGAACAGCAGTTGAAATAAATTCATAAAAGCTGCAGTTGGCAAGAACTTCTTTGCAAATAGGTTTTTACTCCTGTTGGAAAGTAACAGAGAGAATGCTTCTAAGACACTTCCTATGACTCAGGTATGTATCTAAAACCAGCAGCTTTTTTGCTTTGTAAAAATAAATCACATGCACATATGATTGAGCAATGGATGAATCCTATGTGTTTTAGTCAATGATTTAAACAGGTAAAATATTTTAGTTGTGCAATGACTAATATTTCAAAATCCAGTATGGTAGATACAGCTTTAACCAACACTCAAGTGGCATTTGGTCTAGTTATAAACTCTACATTCTAATGTACATGAGCCACAGAATTGCAGACTATAAGTGAAGTTTCTATAATAACATGGACTGGAAGCACAGTAACCTAGAAGTGTGTGCATTATGAAGCTTAGGCCCTGGCAAATCTTACCACATAATTGGGAAGTTTAAAATGTATTTAACATCACATCCTACTAAGATGATGCTTTACTGTGCTATTACAGCTACCACCTAGCAAGAACTCTTACCTATAAAACGGGTATGAATGGTTCCATGGTCAAAAACAAGCTGAGTTCTGCCCATCATGTTTTCTAACAAGTTCTAAAGGGACAAGGATTTTCTCTGTTGGAGAGCTTTCCGGAAAGTCCGATCTCAGTAATATGCAGACACAATTCCTTATGTGAGGCTATATATTACAGTATTGTGGGAAGAGGGAGAGAACTCAAGGAAAATCTAGTTTAAACAAAATTTCCAATGGCACAGTTCAGATTTCAGCCACTGAAATAGTTCAGCCCGTTCTTTTTCAAATAAGCACATCAGTAACCAAACACTGGCATTCCTTACATGGCATAATGCATCTTTCTTATGGTTGAAATATATCCTAGTTTTCATCTAAACTTATATTTCATAAATTCCAAAAAATATTTCATAATTCCAAGAAAACTTACAGCATGGTTGGTTTTGTCACTTTTACACCCATTGCTATCAACACAACTTTGTGTTTCCTTGGATAGAAGCTTTATTGCCAGTCACAAGGTTTAAATCTATGTACAAGGAATCTTTTTCCAAACTACATCCTGTGGTTTAAGAAAGATTTTGTGTTTTACCTCTAAACAAACTTCAAGGACCCCTTTTTATAAAGTATTTTGCCTTCACAAGATGACATATATGTGAATGCTTCTTAGCGTGTGCTATATTAACTCAAGAAATTGTGTTTTAAACCTGTGTTCTAAACAGCTCAAAATGTGTAAACAAAACTTAACAAATTATTTCTTAAATAGCTGCGGCTGAATCATTTTTGTAAACATTTACTGTATTGTGTTATGTGCCACTGCTTTCCAGAGGGTAAAAATTTAAAGATTCACATGACGTGAGATGTGCAATAACAATAAGAAAAAAGAGAGGTTGAAAGGGACAAAGGTATTCCAAAGGCAAATACAGCTACACTAATTCTATTTCATATTTCATATCAGATGTCAACCATGTCCTGTAAAATCCCTCATTGGAATGAAGGTGGGGTTAACAATAATTGGAATGATGGATTTCCAGCATCTCCTGAACTCTGGGAAATCCAGGCCTACTTATTTATAGCCTAAATGTGAAGGATTGTTTAGCAATTAGCAAGCTCATCAACATAAAAGGAACAAGAGAGGAATGTTTGAAGCTCTATAGTCAGCTAAACATAGTAAAGGATGTTGTTGAGCTGTATTGCTAATTTAATTTGTCTACAATATAGTAATTTCTTTGCCTAATAAACAGTTATTAACCCTTCAAGTTTTCTGAGAAATCATTTCTGATTTTGACAAGCCTGATATTACTAGTTTGGGAGCATACAGTTATTGTTTTTAAAGTTTGGTTTAATCTGTATTTTTTATAAATTTAAATTGTATTAATATCGATGTGTTTGCCACCCAGTGCTCATTGGAAGAAGGTGAGGAATATAAATCCAATTACTTAAGCCAAGTTATCCATGCAACAGGAGAGGAACTACAAGAATGAGATTGCCATTGGCTTCTGATTGAATGTGAAAGGAAGAGCAGGTAACTTTGTACCAGTGAATAGTTGTACTGTTGGTTGTAACCATTGAGAACCAAAAGAGAAAGAGAACAAAGGCAATAAATTGGAGGCATTTAACAGCTGTATTTTCTAGTACCAATCTGATAACTAAAAATTGTTGGTGTAATTAGGAAAAATGGGTGAAATTGCAGTAAGTGTTTGGACCATGTCTAGTAGCTACTGATAGCTTCCACCAATTAGACTACACCTCCTAGCACAACCTTGGCCAGAGGCTTAGTGAGTTTCAGAGACATACTCTCAAAGAGCCTCTTCAGCCCAGCTCTAGGGAAAACATATCAAAAGGAGCAGTCAGCCTATTTTCCCAAAGACCTGTGGACAAAGAACTTGAACAAAACCTTGTGAAATATTCGTAGACATCTCAACAACCATGCATGAGGAAGATTTTAGTGAGGAAAACTCATTTTTTAAACCAATGAAGCCAGATGTCCAAAGTATTAAAAAAAAGTTTATTTGAGAGAGGGAGGAAGAAAAATGAAGGCACCAAATCAAACATACTTGAAATGAAAGCAAAAATTTAGTTTAGTTTAGATACATGTTAGCTTAGTTCAATTTAGTTTTTATATGGGTTACCTGCTTGAGCAGTCTTGGGTTTAGGAGCATGCACAGAATTCTTTGCAGAGTAGATGGTGAGAGAGTACCTTTGGCCATCTGGCTGGATAGCTCCAAAAGACAAAAACGAGGTGAAGCCTCACATATTTATGGGAGCCTGAGACTAGTACAAGCCAATCTCTTAGTTGTCACCGTGGCGTTCTTTTGTCCAATCGTTATATACACTCCATCTCTGATGTTAGTTGTCTTCGCGGAATGCAGCAGTTATAGCAACAAAGAGCAAGAATTGAGTAACTGAACAATGAACACATTTTGCTGCACCCTGTCCAGCAACCTGTTCTCACAGTGGCCAACCAGATGCCTGTGATTCCCTGTAACTGGTATTTAGAGGCATTACAAAACCATCAGGCTTACGTAGCTACTGATCCTCTATCCTCCATGAATTTGTCTAATTCCCTTTTAAAGCCATTCAAGTTGGTAGCCATCTCTCTATCTTTTGGGGAGTCAGTTCCACTAACTCAGCCATCTGAAGGACTACCTGTTCTGACTCTCCCACCATTCTGCTTTATTGGATCACCTCAGCTTCTGGTAGTATTGAGGGGGCGGTCTTATTTTCTCCACACGATGCATAATTTTATAAACCTCTGTAATGTCCCCCTATATTTCCGCCCTCCCCCAAAGTCCCAAACACTGTAATCTTTCCTTATAGTGGAGTTGCTCCAGTCTCCTTGTTCCCTTTGGTTGCCCTCTTCTATACCTGTTCCAGCTCTACAATATTCCATAAATTGTACAGCTTATTCCAGAAGTTTCCCACATATAACACTTGTGACCCACTTGTAGCTGCTCAGTTATACACTGTGACCTGTTATAGAAGACACCAGAATAACAGAGCATCGTGAATTAATGATGATGTTAGTTCTGTCTTTAGAAGGTCTCTATAGGATGCACACAGAGCCTCTCTTCACATAACATTTAGAAAGACACAATAAGGGCTTTTACATCATTTCCATAGCACCCAACCCTTGTAAAGGCATATCAAACATGGCTTTCAATTTAGCTGTAGCTTGCTGTGTGGCACACAAGGCAGGTTTTGAAAAGTGAAAACCAAGAAAAAAGGGCCCACAGCTGTATCTGGTTATATACTTTCCTGGATTGTGGCCACTATCAGTAAACTTTATTGCTACATTCATAAAGGACTCACAGTAGAGAAATTGACCCTCCACAGCAGTGACAAAGCGATCCGGATATAAAAAATACCAGCAAAGGTTTGTTTTCAGAGGTTTCAGTTTACTTCCAACAAGTTCCCAGACAAAATTTAATACTCCTAGTTTTCGTCAGTACCGACAAATCATTCTCTTTAAAGTTTCCAATTTACATCACAAAACCAAAACACACCAACTATTACTGGGTGCTTCTTTAAACCATTCCCAGTTCTAATTGTATCAATTTGTTGTTCTGGTAATTGACATATTTTTCCCACTGCAGCAGATCACAGAATTTATATACAGATTACAAAAAAACAACCCCGATCCAGCTCTAGTTGTGCATAGTTACATGTGACTAGTAGTGCCAGGATCTGGATCAAATGCAGAGTCACACATCAGTTTTTAAGTACTGTATCAAGGTGACTTACAACATATGAAATAATGAAATAAATCCATAAGGCAATAAAACCAATCAAGTAATTTCTGCCTCTGTGTAACTACATATGACTAGAGCTGGGGGGGGGGGGAGAAATATGTGATACATTCTGTACACATTAACCCTCTTGCATTTTAGCTTGCCTTTTACAAAAATGTCCTACTTGAGTTTTAAAACTATACAGAGCAAACAATTAGGAAACATTTTTATTCTATGTCACTGAGTTAATACAATAAATATGTAGAACCTTTGAACTACCCAGACATGCAACATCAGAGGATCTGTGTGCATTTGTACAGAACCATGACATTCATCAGGATGGCAAAGCATTGTTAGGAATTTACAAAATATACAGATATCCCTCAGATAATCGACTCCAATGCCAAAACTATAGCGAAGAGTACTGACATTCCAGTGTTGAAACTCTGTATTTTGATCTAGCCACAACTGGATACTACAAAATGACTTAAATAATAGGTATATGATTTTTAACCGACATATTTTAATTCCGGTGCTAAATATTTTAACATACAACAGCCTTTTGCCGAAAACTAAAAATCAGAAGTTTTTGATTTAACCTTGATGGTTAATTTTCTAGATGATGATCTGTAAAATGGTACACGTTAAAATCAACATATGTCGTCTTGTTTTCTTGAACCAAAATAGCTACAAGACTTATGCAAACTAGACTTGCATTTATCTATTTCAAGTTTCATTCTGCTTTATCCCCTGAGGAAAAAAAATATTCAAGAACAATTTATTGATTTTTAAACTATAATTAAAATTCATCTCCAACCCCAAATACAAGTTACAGGATTAGCAACAAAAATGTTATAGGGCAACAGAAGTAGGATGAAGGATTAAAATAAAATGTACGTTAAAGAAAGCTAAACTCTCTCTTACTAATCAAGGACTAAATACATCAAATTCCTCACAACATCCATGATATGACTTGCCCTCTGTGTTAGGTATATAAAACTGTTTACAAAATGTAATTCCCATATAGTCTATTTTCTAGCATTTGCTGTTGTGATTAAGCTGTCAAATTTATCCTGTTTATTCATATAAGTTTGTAATTTGAGATATATGAATATACCCCAGATATAGCTTTTAGACCATGCTGAATATTTTTCCAATAGTGAGTCAGCTGAATAATACTTTTTCCAAATAAATAGTGGATCAGAGTGTGTTAAGATTAGGACCTATATTGCAATACCTTTATGCAGTATATAAGAATTAAGAGTCTTTAATGACAGCAATTGAATGCTATTTGAAAAGTTAATCCAAGATATGTTCCAAGTTGCAATCCAATAATTCATATACTTCAGAATGTCAATGGGGGGGTGACCTTAAAATGAGAGCTGATTACTCAGGATACAAAGATGAATTAAAAATGAAAAAACCTCTGTGTAACACACATAGCTGATTATTACTGCACTGAATACTCATCCTCAATCTGCATTTTATAAAATGCATTTATTCAGATTAAAAATCACACATAAAGGCTGAAGTATGTTAAAAAGAATTCAAGTACATAATTAAATTCCGTTTTTAAATGCCTGATTAGAGACTATGGTTGTTTTTAAAGATTTCAATAAGATACTGTATATTCAGATGTTTGTACAAGCAATAAACAGAGTGATTGACAAGGCTAAAGATTTAGTACCATTGTTAAACACAAGTGCACACTTAAAAAATGCCAGACTCCTTAAGCACAACAAAAATTTCACTGCATTTTAACACAGGCCAAAAAGGACTAGCTATGGGAGTGTTCTAAATATTGGTTAATGGGTTCTCTTTAGCAGTATGTTTTCCAAAGACATGAATACTGAAATTAAAAATAGCATATATAATCACTCAGATTCCATTAAACGTAATTCTCACTGCCTGTTGCATCACATATTATTTTGGTGAGACTAACTGTGCTCCAAAATTTCTGTAAGAAGACCACACACCATGAAAACAGATCCCAACAAATACTGTGACCATAGTGGTAGAGACAAATTCTGGACCAAAACACTAGCTCAGCATGGTCAAAACTGTTTCATGCAAACTCAGATTTTTATCAAAAGACCTATTATCCTAAAAAAAGAAAGAAATTTACATTATCTATCATACTTATTTTAAGCTTACATTTGTCCTTCATCAGCTGCTGAAGCTATAAAGCAGCAGCCAAAATTTCATATTCAAGACCATCAGTTGCCCCATTCCTTACATTAAGAAAATAGGGAAGCAAGTTGTTATGAATAGAAGGAGTTAATCCAAAGTGCTCGTCTCAAGTCAAAATGAAAGTTTCCAGGGACATCTATTGACAAGAAGCCACCCCCCTTTGCAAAAAAAAAAAAAAAAATCATTTAAGTTGACGCCAGAAGTTGCCATATCAATTTCAGATTCACGGTTTTAAATTTTCACCAAATATAGCGTGCCTCCAAAAAGATGAGGAATAATAGAACCATTTTCAGTTAAGAGTAGTAGCCAGGAAGTACCTTTGATTGAATAAATAAGTGTACAAAGTAATGAAACAAGGACCTTTTCCTGTTTTAGCCCATGCACAGCCGAAGAGACATACATGCTGTGTGCATTTTTAACACAAGTCTTTAGGGACTATAAGTGACTGAAAAAGAAAATACAGCTGAAAATGGTAGTGATTTTTTTCATTTCTTTTCGCTATATTTGGTTACCCTTGAAAGCATTTTGAGCAGCACTCGTTGCTGCTGTTGACGCAGCATTGGCTGCAGCAGTTTGTACAGTTTTGTTGGACATCACCCCCGTTGCAAATTCTTGTTGGGCCTTCTCAAAACTTGCTCCAGTTGTGCGGTAGAGACCATGTACCTGTGGAAGAAGCCCAGAGTGAAATCATGAGGCATGTTTTCCAAAAAGAAAAAGAAAAAATCTTGCATACAGCACCTAGCAGAGTTTTAGGCACCAACATATTTGTAGCAAAAACAGCAATTCTGAAGATATTAAATCACTGGTTAAATTTCCCTTGCATTATGTTTTGTGTCTTTGCTTCAAAGCCCTCCAGTGTACATATTTGTTTCCTAGTAATTGTATCATCTATGATTTGAACTCCACAGCAGGTATTCATAAGATATAAAGTGTGACCCCTAGTGGTTACAGAAAAACGACGACACACATGATTTCACAGATGCTGGACAGTTCAGCCAGAGTGGAGAGCTAAAAACTCAACACTTGTGAGGAATACCATGAGTGATTTTTGTCTGTTTAGTAGCCTTCATACGTCTCTGGTATGCTTTACTCACTCTAGTTCCTCCTCTAACATTCATGGCCACTACTTTTTAGTCTCAAAATGAAATACCATAAGCTACTTGGGCACGCACAGGGCATACTGATGCATTTCTTCCATTGAAAAAGCTCCTGTGCTATTATTAACAATTTATGGGACACCAGAACAACGTGTGTGTTGCCATCCGTTTCAATAATTATAATACCCAAATATCCCTCATCTACCTTGCCTTATTTTCATCTCATTTCTTTCAATGTAAGACCTACATTGGCTCCCAGTACATTTCCGAGCACAATTCAAAGTGTTGGTGCTGACCTTTAAAGGCCTTGGCCCAGTATATCTAAAGGAGCATCTCCACCCCCATCATTCAGCCCGGACACTGAGGACCAGCTCTGAGGGCCTTCTGGTGGTTCCCTCACTGCGAGAAGTGAGGTTACAGGGAACCAGGCAGAGGGCCTTCTCAGTGGTGGTGCCTGCCCTGTGGAACACGCTCCCATCAGATGTCAAGGAAATAAACAAATAGGGAAGTTTTTAATGTCTGATGTTTTATTCTGTTTTTAATCTGTTGGGAACAGTCCAGAGTAGCTGAGAAACCCAGCCGGATTGGTGGGGTATAAATTAATTAATCATTATTATTATAATATTTTCTGCAGCTTCTAAATGTTCATCTGCTCCCCCCCCCAAACAACCAGAAACCTTCCCCAACCTTGTGCCTTCCAGATGTTTTGGACTACTACTTCTATCATCTCTGACCATTGGCCATGCTGACTAGCACTGATGGGAGGGCACCAGACCAGGAAAACCTGGCCTACACTGACAGAACTTTTATGTAGAATTAAAATGAAAGGTGCTGAAGCATAAATTTTACTCTTTGATAATATATTATTTGAGAGAAATCTCTAGGATCCTGATGTGCTCTTTTCACAAAAGCCATAAAAATAAGATAACTTCTACAGCTGGAAAAGAACAAGGGCGGGGAGTGGGAAGTGAGGAATCAAGCACATTCCAACTCAAATGAATTTGCAACAATTAAAATATACATTTTCCTAATTTGATTCTGTGACATTTCTATCCATGACAATCTGCCCGAGTTAATAGAAATTAAGAAAGAAGCTAGTAGACTCCTTTGATTAACATCTGTGTGCAAACACAAAGCCTTCTATCAACAATATGGATTCGACAGAAAGAAAACTTACCTTTTTAAACATTACTAGTGAGATGACAGCAGATGCTGTGAAAAGCGCTGCTATGATTATCATCATAATGCCTACTGGAATGCTAAGATTGAGCCCAGTGAGGGATGAAATCCATCCACTAAAGACAGGAGAGAGGTAAATAACAAAAGAGAGGTAAATAACATACACATGCCCCAATATGATACATCTTGAAATACCATAGCTATTGTTTCTTTCACTAAAATCCTTACAGGAAATTACTGGAGTATTTGGGGAGCCAAGCACAACTAAGGTTTTGAAAGCATTTTAGGTTGACTCTAGAAACAGTAAGGCAGTTCACTTTGAATTATCTTGAAATTCACTTTTCACTATTCCTTGAACAATCTTGTGGAACTACTGTTCTCTCTAATTATACAGAAAGTTTGGCAACCTTGATAAATATGATAAAGTTTCCTTCAAAATCTCTTCACAAATTGCCTTTCAAGAACAGAGGTGGTGGTGTTTTTTAAGTTTTGTTTTGGCTGCTACCAAATAGGTCAAAACGAAACATCAGCAGGAAGCATCTAACAGATGCTAGGTGGAAACTTCAGCAGACAGCTGGACATTATAATTCACTCAGCACAAACTTGTCCTAATGGACAAGTCTAGATACACTTCAGCAACCTTAGTTTTTTGCACATCAACTGTGCCAAAACTGTGCCTCCTCAGCCTCTCACCTAGTTATGGGGCTGGGCTCTTGATGCCTCCGGCCACTTTGTTCTCAATTTGCAGTGAGGGCTCAGCAGGCAGGCATGTTATAGCCCATCTACATACAACTGACAGACCAGTTGTGATGACAAAGTGCTTGGAATGCCCAGGATCAAGGTGCACTAGGACTGGGATTTGAAACTCTCTTATACAATTTTTAAACTGTTTATTTAATTTATGAATTGCTGACCATAAAACATTCTGAAGTGATTTAAGAATAAAAGCATATATAAAAACAAGTTCAAGTTCAATGCATACACAGAATGGGATAAAAGTCTCTACTTAAAAGGCTTGTTAGAAAAGGAAGGTCTTAAATAGGTGTTGAATAGACAATAGAGATGGTCCCTGTCAGACATGTAATGGGAAGATGTTCCAAAGGGTAGGTATTGCACCACTGAAGGCCTAATTCCTATGTTATACAGAATGGACTTCCTGATGGTATGATATCTATAGGAGGTATCTAACCTGCATAGGTATCTATACCAGTATTGGCACCTTGAGCTTAGCCTGATAGCTGGTAGCCGATCCAATTCTTTCAGCAGTGATATTCTGCCCTAATGAGCAGTTGAGCCACTGCATTTTTGTACTAGCTGCAGCTTCCAAACCAACTTCAAGGGTAAGCCACATAGAGCACATTGCAGTAAACCAGCCTGGAGATTACCAGCACGTAGATGACAGTGGTCCAATTATTCTGGCCGAGAAACAGTTGTGACTATAGGCATGTGGCTTAAGTGTCATCTACATACCATGGACATTTGGATGATATATTGTTGGTGCAAATCAGTTATGGACATTTTTGGTACACGGTCGCTGGCTAGATGAACAACTGCTGCTTATTAACAATTGCATACTGGTTCTGCTTATCCTCCATAAAACTTTCAAACGCAAAATGTTTCTCTGTGCATTGTTGAACTTTGTAAAGGTGGCTTGTTATTGCACTCTTCACTGAATGATAAAATAAGCCACTTACCAATTGCCCCATCCTTGGAATCCTGCAGCCTGAAGTACATGCACAGCAAATTGACAAATGTACACAAAAAAGAAAACGAAGAATCTGAAAGAACTGTCACTCCTAAAAGAGGGAGGGGGGAAATCGTCAGGTGTTTTCACAATATTTAAGAAACATTTCCAAAGTTTAACATCTCTACCAGGAGAGCAAATCAATAGCAACAAACAAAACCATACATACTGTTTATCTTTTACAAATAAAACAATTTTTATGAGTACAGCTGATCTCCATGGGAACAGAGCTGCCTCCTTTACCTATACTATCAATATAATCCAATCAAACCAGACTACAATAATGTAACACCACAAGCATAGCAACAATTAAAGAAATGTCAAGTATGAGAAGCAATCCTCTCCTCACAACCCACCCCCAAAGCAAACCTACTAACATAATCTAGCAAGTGCTGTGAACTCTGGCTGCAACAAAAATGACCTTAGTGTCCTGCCTGATATATAATAAGAGTTTCTCCATCTCTTTTTTCATAAGTGAGTGAGCTTGTGTTCCATTATGCAGGCAAAACAGCCTCTCCTTATTCCTGTCAAGTGCATTATATTAACTTCACCCACCCCATATTTAAAAATAGATGGATTTTGAAAGTCTAATTCTGAGAATAATAGACTCCAAAAAGCAAACAGCTTGCCTAATTTAGTCTAAGAGACACAAAGAGAGTAAGCCTTGCTTATGAGAAACTGTTCATACTAAACCATGGTTTGACTTAGCATGGTGTGCTAACTGAGCCACTATTTATAAAACATGGACACATCTAGCTAACCTATCACACTACTTACAAGAAGCAGCGGCTACATTTGCAAGAGACTAATATATTTATCAATTTGCTAATCTATGCTTTGAGGCCAGTCAGCTACTCTGAAAATTGCCAAACCAGTACAAGAATTCACATTAAAAGTTGTAAAACCAAGTTAAATGAAGTGCTGGATGATTAAAAAGCAGTTAAATTATGTAGCACCTTAACAGCATTAATTTCACAGTAGGTGGGAATTGTTACCTGAAGGCTCCATAAAGTGGTCTGTACCAGCAGACAAATGAACAAGGGGTAAAAAGCAAGAACCAGAGAATACTCAATCCGAAGTCAACTCCTCGAATGGGCTGTAGGCAAAACCAGGCCAGACATCCAAAGATGTTAAGAAACAGCGTCACTGCATGAACTATAGAAAACAGGTATGATAAAATTGAATTGCCACAATTCTAAAAATACATAAAAACTTAATAAGCTATCTCTACTGATTTTATATCAGGATCTGATCACTGATCAGGGTGGATCAGTGATCAGTTCTTACATTAAATAGCCACCAGATTCAATCCGTGCCATCTCCAGGTATAGCATGGAGAGACTGCTATCTAGATCCCTGGAGACTCGCTGCCAATCAGTGTAGACAATACTGAGCTGGCTAGATCAAGGGTCCAACTTGGCATAACGTAGCTTTCTATATTCCTAGGCTGCACCTCAAGTGATTCATGGGGTACCTTGATGGGCGGGGGAAACTTTGAGAGGCAGCTGCTGTAAAAGGTGAGCTGAAAAGTTCTCATGTGCAGCCTGAATACTGAGTGAAGAGCTTTGGAACTGAGCCACTGATTTAAAGTCTGCTTCTATAAAAGATTAAAACTAGGGGGTGGGGGAAAATATCCGACTTGATCTTGGGTATGAAATAATAGGTATGTGTAATATATATGTTACTGTGGTTGCCAACTGAACAACATGGCCAATTACTTTCTGTCTCATGGAGAAACACAGTTTTTCTCAGTATCTGTCAGCCCCAGGTATGACTCTAAGGGTGGCAGGTATTTCCCTTTACTACCACATTCGCTTCACCAGCTTTTAGTATATTATGGTTTTCTGTAGACTGGATTCAAATTCTTTTCCCCATAATAATGGTCAACACTGTTTCTTTCCTCCCTTACATTTTTCCTTTAGCCACCCACAATCAGCCCTTGCATCTTGAAAGTTTTGTGCACTTAGTCCTCAAGAAAGTGCTCTTAGTGTCCTTGAATGTGTACAAAAAGCCAACCAGAAACCTTTCACTTCAGTGTTATTTCAGTGTCTTAAGTGGATACGAATTAAGTGCAATTGGAGTGCTGCCTATAACACCATTGGTTTCCGGCTATGATCCTAGGCAGAATAAATGCCTTTCTGACTGCAAACCAATGTGTTTTAATTGTTACAACAACTAGTTAGTATGCATTTTCAGGAAATGTAATTATTAGGATATTTAAATCTATCATTTAGATACAGTATTTTGCTTGATCCACCTTGATTTTTAAAAATGAATCCACTAAAGTTTTCTGCATTCTTTAAACCTAATGTAATTCCCACCCACCCCCTTTTTATCAGCAGCAAGTATCAAATCAGATTAGTTGCAGTGAGGTAATAGAGTGTAGCGAATGCCACAGGACACCATCTTTCCCTGGCCTGGTAATTTTTTTAATCTATTGCCAGATTTTCAAGCAAATGTAACAAAGAATCACCACAGCATTTCTTGTTTAAATAGCAGACACTTCTACAATAATTACCGGGTACACAGATTTTTGCAGATACTATTTAATTATCTGAGAGTCAGACCGGTAAATACATACAGGAACACTACAGTATCCTATAATTAGTTATACTGAAACACTGCTCAACTCATTTGCAAGTTCTTATAAATTAGAAGAGTTACGCATGAAAGATGGTAAGCAAGTACCATGTACACTTATCCCAACTCCGCTCTTGGTGCACAAGTTTGGAAAACAAAATTGTCAGTGTTACTTAGTGCCACCTTAAGGTGTTGGAGGCTTTCAGTTCTAAATGTGTTTACTAGCAGCAAATTTCACCGTTTCCAGTGACATTTCAAATAGCTGTTTAGGCTCACAGTGTAACAGTCTAACCCCAGGGACTGCTGTACAAACCAAACAAAATTGGATTTAACAGTTCCCTTACGAATGTCATACTTCCACTACCAACCTAATGATGCAGTGTTGGCGATTGCTGCTTGCAATTGCACTGTACTGCCTTGCCACACAAGACCAAGCATGGAAAATGTTAACACAGGAGCCAATAGGCACCTGAGGTGAGAATTGAACCAGGGCGACTTGGTAGTAAGCAGACTGGCAGGCTTAGCTGGCAGAGTCTATTCCACTTGCTGAAGGCATATTAAGTGGACCTAAAGGTGATCAGGTTACTAGGGTCACATTTTTTAAAAAGTGTTAACTTTTTAGAGAAACTCTTAAAACAACAAATCCCACCAAATTGGAAGTAAGAAAAACAGCCACAGGGAATTATCCATCTTGCCTATCACCCAGTTCCTTCTACTCAGGATGTTGCCATACCGCTGAAGTTTGAAGGAGAGAGGTAATGAAACAAGCCATATCCTTTCGTCTTGCTAACCAAGCTCCAACTGACATATAAAAACTTTCCGGTATGGATAACTGTAAATTATTGGTTGATCAGCTTCTAAAAGTTAAGAGTGCCAACACAGAAGTGTACTTGTAAGAGAAATAATTCTGGAATTGGGAAAGAAAGTCTGAATCAGGAGTGCATGGAGTGGTGTGCATATGCATATATGTGTGCATTAGGTACAACATACCAAAATGAGGAAAATGTGATTTGAGATATGTCCACATCATATGGAGGCCAGACATATTTTTGCAGCTTACTAAACTCAAGTGTGTCAGGCTATGCAGGATGTTAAACTTCCAAAGAAAACTGCCGAAAGCTTGGGTCTCTGTATATTGTAAGTCATTGGTGCCCTTTTTATTACAGTAATATTTTCAAGGAGATAAACAGCTCCAAAGTGATTTTGCCAAGCATTTATGACATGGGTAGGAATCCTGTGGCACTCCAAGTGTTGTTGGGCAATTCACATCATCCCTGCCCACTGGCTATGCTTTCTGAGATTTACAGGGGTTTCAGCAACAACATCTGGAAGGCCACAAGTCCACCATCCCTGGTATATAACTTCAAATGCCTACACTTGGTAGTAATGATGCAAACAGTATGTAAATTGAGTACTGAAATTATAAAGCTCAATCCCATACTTGCTTAGCTGGAAGCAAGCCCCAATGATCTGAATGGAACTACAGTGGTACCTCAGGTTAAGTACTTAATTCGTTCCGGAGGTCCGTTCTTAACCTGAAACTGTTCTTAACCTGAAGCACCACTTTAGTTAATGGGGCCTCCTCCTTCTGCCGCGCCGCCAAAGCCCGATTTCTGTTCTTATCCTGAAGCAAAGTTCTTAACCGGAAGCACTATTTCTGGGTTAGCGGAGTGTGTAACCTGAAGCGTATGTAACCTGAGGTACCACTGTAGTTCTCAAGAAGACATGCACAGGATTGTGTTGTCATTGTATACACATATTCTATAAATCTTACTCACACATCCACAAGTAGTACATAATCTTTACTGTCTTCTGGAATTCTACAGGAATGTCTACGGAGAAATCCTGGTAAAAACAGGGTCCCACTGGGAAATTCCCAGGTAGTGGAGGCCAATTGTTCTTTCTTCCTGGAAGAGCAAAAGGTAAATATTTTGCTGAATATTAAGGGTCACTTCAAACAATTTTTAAAATAACAGTTGAAGAAAGAGCTGTGGATCTATCACATGCCACACACACACACTTTCCTACAGAGATATAACTGCAGCAGCCTTGAGAGGCTACCGTTAAGATCTCAGTCCTGAATCCAAGTAGTAGTGATAGCTTCATTCACTTCCACTTGACACTGCTAACAAGGAAATAAACACAGACTTTAAAATAGTGAAAACAAAATTTAATGCTAACACATCAGCACTAATACAGAACATGTGAAAACAAAGTCCAGCTGCTTACTGAATATGCAAATAATAAGGCTTCCAATGTAAGAACCTGAATTTTACTTAAAAAATAAAAACCCTGTCTCTCCACAAAGTGATGGATGCACTTTCAGATTAAATGGAATGCTTATCAGACTTCAATCCTATACAAACTTTGCAGGGAGCAAGCGCCACTAAACACAAAGTGACTTGTATCTGAGTAGTCATGCACAGAATCTGAGTTTCTCTACTTAGAGGTTGCTATTTCTCCTGCTAATCTTGTTTACAAGGAACGTTATCATTGATGTTAAGGGGTCTTCTCTGCAAGTAAATGCTGCACTGACTAGATTTTTAAGGTTATCATCTCTCCTGGCAACTACTTCTATCTCCTTCAGCAGACCAGCATTACACTTCAGCTTAATTTAACACAGATAATAGAGGACAGTAATGACCCAATAAAAACCAAACTCTGTATTTCCCGTTTAAATCTCCAAGGATACATAAAACTGCAGTAATTAAATTTTGTCATTTTTGTTATAAGAGACAATTGGCAGGAACTTCAGAGCTCCAGAAACTGCATTTAAACTAACTCTAAGCACTGAATTAAATGGTTTCCATAAGCACAACATTTTGAAAGCTGCAGTCAGTTGAGGTATGTTTAAGGCCTACCTCCCTGCTGGTTGAGGCTCTGTATCTCTCTTTCCCTGCGATCTAGTTCAGCTGCTTTTCTTTCTAATTCTTCTTGACGCTTAAGGAGTTCAGCCTGGGCCAAGGCATGTTCCTGATGGGGAAAATTGAGATATAAGGAAGTAGCACCATAATATATACATATATATCCCCATTTTGATGCTGTCATCAATAATATTAAATATACCTTTGCAATCTGTGTGTAAGCAGGTGGTTCCTCAGTTGGTTTCATTATAGCTGGCTGTGTACTGGGCACATTGGGAACTTTGACATTTCCTGGTGGTGGCTAAGAAAGGAGAAGAACAGAACAATTTTAGAGTGGCTCTTGGATACTTTCAGAAAATATCTTACAGAGGCATTCAAGATGTACAACAGCCCTTCTAATTAGTTGACTGGTCAACTCTCTACATTTCCTAAACTTTAGATATAAGTAGAAAAGTTGCAACATGCAAATGATATCTGTCCATATCACTATACATTGCCAAACCATTTATATTGTTTGTGTATTTATTTTACTTCAATGTAAATCATTTGATATGATTATTATTGTATTTATTGTGCTTCTATATATATATATTTATTATTTATTTCGGGACGCGGGTGGCGCTGTGGGTAAAACCTCAGCGCCTAGGGCTTGCTGATCGCATGGTTGGCGGTTCGAATCCCCGCGGCGGAGTGAGCTCCCATCTTTCGGTCCCAGCCCCTGCCCACCTAGCAGTTCGAAAGCACCCCTAAGTGCAAGTAGATAAATAGGTACCGCTTTATAGCAGGAAGGTAAACGGCGTTTCCGTGTGCTGCGCTGGTGCCGGCTCGCCAGAGGAGCTTCGTCACGCTGGCCACGTGACCCGGAAGTGTCTCCGGACAGCGCTGGCCCCCGGCCTCTTAAGTGAGATGGGCGCACAACCCTAGAGTTGGACACGACTGGCCCGTACGGGCAGGGGTACCTTTAGCTTTTACCTTTTTATATATTTATTTAAAACTGCTTTGAGGTCTTCAAATAGTAAGTGGCTTATAAATGGAAATACTACTACTATACTACTATCAATAATAATAATAACAGACACCCTAACTACCTCATCTACATTTAAAATGGCTACTGGTATGTAAGATAAGTAAAATGTTATATTACTGTATAGTTAGAATAATAGAATCACAAATTTGTAGAGTTGGAAGAGACCACAAGGGACCAAATCCTTGCTGTGATAGAATATTTTGCCCAATATGTGGCTCAAACCCACAACCCTGAGATTAAGATTCTCATGCTCTACTGACTGAGCTATCCCTCAGGGCATCAGATTGCTTGCATTTGATGACCTGCAAGCAAATGAAGAAAATGTACTACTGCTGCCACATGAAATGCTAATCTTTGTCTATATTTGCATTACAAATATGTTTACATGTTTGACATGTGGAACTGTTTTATTGAAACTTTTGTCTTTTTTACACTTTTCTTGTGTTATTATTATAACTGTTTGATTTATTTTATAATTGTATATTTTATTGTTGTAGCTCACCCTGGGACTTTATATTGAAGGGCAAGCAAGCTATCTAATAAAATAAACAAGTGAAATAAATAGCCTGAAACAAACAGGAACTGTACTTCATTTCAATATACTGTGTTAAGTAGTTTACAAATTTTATATATTCACTGCCAAAGAGCACTGCATGAGAAAAGTGACCCTAAATGCTAAATTGGTTGGAACAGCCCTTCCATGAGTGCAAGAGGTTTTCTTCCAATGGAGAGGCACCTTTGTTTTGGTTTCTAACACATTCAAAATTGAAGCCATCATTACAAGTCCTATTCCTAGTTAGCTGCAGTATGTCATGAACAAACAAGAGACAAGACATCAGTAAGCTGAACAGCTCACTATTATCTTCTTCTGTCTGTATCTATTCTTTTAAACCAGGGGCCAGATCCGGCCCAATTGCCTTCTAAATCTGGCCCGCGGACGGTCCGGGAATCAGCGTGTTTTTACATGAGTAGAATGTGTGCTTTTATTTAAAATGCATTTCTGGGTTTTTTGTGGGGCATAGGAATTTGTTCATTTTTTTTCCTTTTTCAAAATATAGTCCGGCCCCCCACAAGGTCTGAGGGACAGTGGACCGGCTCCCTGCTGAAAAAGTTTGCTGACACCTGCTTTAAACAATGAAGTATAATATCAAGTACAGCAAAATGTTTCAGGCATGGAACATGCAAGTTTAATATTGAACACAGACTAAAAGATAGTGACTTAGACGCAAGAGATATTAAGTTTCATAGCCTGTTCTGTAGTATTTACTTAAAAAGCTCAGCATAGAAATTCCATGAACAATCAAGATATTTTGGTTGCATTAATTAGCATGCTAAAAAGATCAAAATTTTGCTTTTCATTTACTGTACTCTTCCTCGTGCTTCTAAAGTGTTCTATTTAAACCCAGGCCACAGATATAAACTTCCAACTACTAACCATTACCTAACAGTTGAGAAAATGAAATATATTTCTCTCAGAGTGCCACAATAATATATACCTTGATGGTCAGTTATTACTTATGTTGCAGCAGGACAGAGACCCTTCACAGGCTCAAAAAGCACATACCATATTTTTCCGTGTATAAGACTAGGTTCCCCCCCCCAAAAAAGGTTTAAAATTGGGGCTCGTCTTATACACGGGTAGTGCTTGAGGGGTGTTTTCTTAATTTGGAGTCCCCCAAAATAGGGGGCATCTTATAAATGGAAATATACAGTAATATAGATTGAAATTGTCCCTGCCATATAATGTTTACATTGCACCAAGTTATTGGTGTGGGAGGAGATCCACAGGACATTGAAATTAAATGTAGCCATTTTTTAAAATGTTAGAAGCTTGCTGTTGCATACAGTCTTTTTTTAAGAACAAAGCATTTCCTCAGTTTCTTCAATCAACTAACCAACCTTATGGTTGTTACACAAGTAACCAAAATTTGGAGAAATATGTAGGATGCTTGAGGATGATATAGTGGTATAAAAATAAAGACAGCAATCACATGGTTAGGTCTAGAAAATGTTGTAAAATACTTTACACTGGGCAATCCAGAAGTTAGGAGACCTCTACTGCATCTTAGGTGTCTGGCAAAAGCCATTTCCAAAGTTCAGAGGTGAGCTCAGATCCATGAGAAACCAAACCAACACCACTCCCACAAAGAAGATGAAAGAGGAAGCAGGCTTGTGGGAACTCCCAAGGTTTGCAGAACTGCAATAATAATTAGGAAAACCTGTTTGGGGGAGGGGGTAGAGACTCCCAAACCAGCCTGATGATGATTAAGCAAACTCAGTGGCCACAGAATCCTGACCAACTGTTGAGGGTTGAGATGGGGTGGAGTAGGCAGAAAATGTGTTGGGAAAGGAAATAAATTGGAGTATACTAGATGGAGCAGGCCTGGCTAGCACACTGAATGGAAGTTTTTTTTACAGGTCTCACCTGTCATTACAAGATTACCCCTAGTTCAGATTTTGAAGTTTATATCTTAACCTCTAGTACTGATTATAAAGTTTTCTTTCTGTCTTTCTTTTGTATGTGTTTGTTTTGCTTTCTCCTTTTTCTATTTTTATTTAGATTAGTTTGGCTTTTATTATATTGTAAGTTGAAAAGTTTCAATAAAAAATATTATAGCAAAAAAGAACTATCCAACACATCATAATTCTAAAGAAAAGAGGATTCTAATATTAAGCAACTTTAAGTAATGTTTCTGCATTTGTGCTGTAGGTAACAAATCTCATATTTCTGGCAGCTCTATCCTACTTAGAAGCAAGTTCCTCCAAGATCAATGGGATTTACTTCCAGGTACGTGCATACAGAATTGCAACTCACCTGCTATTTTTACAGTAATGATTCTAACCGACAAACAATCCTGTGTACCTTGAAAGCACCAGCAACACATTTTCAACATGGGAAGCACAAAAATATAAGATCAGCAAGCTGGCTCATGTTCATTCCAACACACACAGATAGACAGCCTACTCAATGTATGAAATTTTTGGTGGAGCCAGTGAGGACAAGAGCAGAGATCACAGTCCATTCCCCCTCCACACAGTCTTAGGACAAGTGGAGAGGATCCTGAAGGGAGCTGGTCTAAATACAGTCATTTTTCCTTAAAGACAAATGGAGCGCTATGACAAAGCTTGCAGAGAGATTATAAAACACCTGCCCACTGAATAACTCCACTGGTAGCAATTACATTCTTCAGCTGGCAAGTTAAGCAATAGCAGGAGGTTTCTTTTCAGGAAGAAAGCAGTGATTGGTAATGAGAGTACCACTGAGGTATAAACACTTAAGACTAATGCAGTTCTCATTTTCACAAAGTTGCATAGATAGGTTAAGAACCAAGGCACAGTGGTGTAGCAGCTACCGTTGACTTAAGACTAGGGCAGGCATAGCCAAACTTGGTCCTCCAGCTGTTTTGGGACAACAATTCCCATCATCCCTGACCACTGGTCCTGTTAGCTAGGGATAATGGGAGTTGTAGTCCCAAAACAGCTGGAGGACCAAGTTTGGCCATGCTTGGACTAGGGTAAGCACATCCAAAATCTTACTCGGCCATGAAGCTCATTAGATGGGCTTGGGTTAGTCGCAGGGTTGCTATGATTAATAAATTGGAAGAGATGAATTATGTATGCCACCCTTTGGCTCCCAGACTTGCACTTTTATTTCATGTTGTCCCTTTCCTAGGGCAGGTTTACTTACATACACATGGAAGCTGACACTTTTAAAAAACTGTTCTCTGTCCCAGGACAGGACTGTAATAACATAATGAAAATTGTGAAAGGGAATGGAATATTTTAAGAATAGCAATGTTAAGATGCCTCTTCTAGTCATTAGCTTTTCATGAATGACTAGAAGAGGCATCTTAACATCTTGAAAGAAAAGTTACTTCTTCACAATCACTCAGCTGCCCACGGAACTGAACATTCTCTTATTTAATTTCCCTTTCCATTGACATAGGATTTGGTTTATCTCCGGTCCCTATTCCATTCCCACACAGTTTCTCGGCAGACTGCGCCAATAAATCACTCAGGGGGGGAGAGGTTCTTGCTTACATCTCACACCCACCTCTTAGAAACATCAGCTGAATATAAATGAAATGGGACATTCCCCAAAGAGCCAGCAGCCTACAGGGCATCAAGCAGCTACAAGTGAGTTATTTAGATACAGTGAGTGATGAAAATATCTACAGCCGTTTCAGTCTCTTTGGCTTTACCTTTTCATGTGCTCTTAAAAGCATTTTCTGTCTCATTTAATCTTTGGTGCACCTTTTACCTCCAGATTTCTCCCCTTATGTATTCAACAGAAAAATAAGATGTCATTTTTATACTTCCAGTTTAAGCTACATGTAATCCTCAGCCACATTATGTGCCAAGGTATGTAGAAGAACAAATCACTTTAAAAAGAACGGGGGACATCCCCCAACACACCACAGGACAATGGAGGGCAAAGCATGCACATTTTTGCTCTCACACACACACCAACCACTCAGCAATTACTAAAAATCATCACTGGAGTGCCGGCCATGTTAATTCTCCCCTTCTTTTATCTCAGTGCACCAGTTTGGGCTTCAATCCCACCAGCCCTCAATCTCCCCAGTTCACTATGAGAGAAAACTGATACTTGTAGAATGCCATAATCTTTAAGAATGGCATCTTTACAGTTGCCTTCAACAGGCTACTATAAAAATGACTGGTCATAACATAGGTAAAGGTAAAGGGACCCCTGACCGTTAGGTCCAGTTGCAGATGACTCTGGGGTTGCGGCTCTCGCTTTACTGGCCGAGGGAGCAGGCGTACAGCTTCCGGGTCATGTGGCCAGCATGACTAAGCCGCTTCTGGCCAACCAGAGCAGCACATGGAAACACCGTTTACCTTCCCGTCGGAATGGTACCTATTTATCTACTTGCACTTTGATGTGCTTTCGAACTGCCAGGTTGGCAGGAGCAAGGACCAAGCAACAGGAGCTCACCCTGTCGCGGGGATTCGAACCGCCGACCTTCTGATCGGCAAGCCCTAAGCTCAGCGGTTTAGCCCACAGCGCCACCCGCGTCCCTTGGTCATAACATACACAAGTTTAATTTGTAAGTTTATAAAGAAACCAAAGTGTCACATAGATTTACACATGAGAAAGGTTTATTTGATATTAAGAAGAATGCTTACTGTTCTTGAATCTGAGAAAGGGTTGTATTCATCTAATCCTGGAGGAACATTTCTCGTCACTTGTGTAACTGAAGGATCCTAAACAGAGAGAGAAGTAGGTTAGAGAAAGCACTGTGCACTGCATGTGCTAATACTAATCCCAGCCCATCTACATTTAAGATAATAACCTTCTAACCCAAGTTTGTAGCTGTTGTCCAAAATAAATTACTGCTTTCCTAGAGCTCACAACACAGCTATCTAAACTGAAACAGACTAATTAGAGAGATCCCCTCTGCATTCCTTTTATTTATATGAAGTTGCAGACGTTCCAACGTTCCATCTTTGAGCACAATCTTAAAACAAGCAGCATAAGACAAGCGAAAGAAAAAATTACTTCTGGTTCACTAGCTTTCTAATCACCCTGATTCCCTCCCTTTATGTTTGCTCTGTAGTTCAGTCCCAGCAAATGCCAAGGAATGTACACGGCACTGTTAGAATTCTTAGGTTAGTTTTCAGTACAATAATGACGGAGTGAGCAAATATCACAGTTGTATTTGACAAAATAAACTACCTATTAAGAGTTATATATCAATTCCTACAACAGAGAAATTTATGATACCTTGCTTTAAAAAATAACAGTGCTAGAAGCTTGTAACAAATGTTAGTAATAAACAGAAAAATAGTTATTTTCCCAATATGATAATATTTTCACTTTTAGACCTGCCTTTATTTGATGTAGAAATAGAAACTCATTCATGTTTTCATTCTTCCTATTCTGTAGGTCACCTCATTTCACCCTGATCTTCTTACAAATCTAGATTAACATGATTTGTGAGATGCCCCATCTGTCACACAGCTGATTTATGAGGAATGCTGCTCCTCCTGAGCATATAAATGAGAGCTCAATTTTCAGCTGCACACTGTCACTGAGAAACTGAAATATAAAACACATATCCAATGAAATTTTGGAGGCAATGAATGGGCTCCTGCCTGTCACAATAGCCATCATTACACTGTGCAAAATATGAAATGTAGGAGACAGCACAATGTAATCTTCATATAGGGCATGAATCCGTCAAATTCTAAGAATGTATACAGATCAGAGTTTTTAGCACTCAACCACTGGGGACCCATACACACACACACACACACACACACACACGGAAGCAGAGCACATATACTTCGAAGCCATTTTTTAGTGACACCCCATATAGTCCACTGCAGGCTAAAAAAAAAAATTGAGGTGAGATATGTGGACCTGGCTCAGAGGAAGAATACCTGAATGTGCATATCCACTGTGCAAACTCCTCCCTCCTTTTACCCCATAAGCTGAAGTTAAACTTAAATCACATTGGCTCCCATACATTTCTGAGCACAATTCAAAGTGTTGGTGCTAAACGGCCTCGGCCCTGTCTACCTGAAGGAACGTCTCCACCCCCATCATTTAGCCCAGACACTGAGATCCAGCTCTGAGGGCCTTCTGGCGGTTCCCTCACTGCGAGAAGCAAAGCTACAGGGAACCAGGCAGACGGCCTTCTCAGTAGTGGTGCCCACCCTGTGGAATGCCCTCCCATCAGATGTTAAGGAGATGAGTAATTATATAACATTTAGGAAATATTTGCAGGCAGCACTGTACAGTATAGGTAAGTTAATGTTTTACTATGTTTTCATATATGCTGGAAGCTGCCCAGAGTGGCTAAATAATAATAATAATAATAATAATAATAATAATAATTATTATTATTATTATTATTACTACTACTACTACTACTGTACTACTTCCATTGTGCCTAACCCAGGGCAGCCCAACTGTTCACAGCAAGTAGGCTGCAAGAGTACTGTGACACAGAACTTGCAAACTGCACACTGCCTTGTGGCCTGAGGGTGGGGGGGATGAGGCCAAAATTTGAGCTCCCACCCCCTGCAGCCCTTGAACTGCCTTCCCAAAGCTGGCTAAGTGAGGCACCAGGGCTTTGGGAAGGAGGCGTGAGGCTCTGGCAGGGTCCTAGAGTAAGGCTACCAGATTTTTTTCAATGAATCCGGGGACACTTTTGAATGTCAATGGATTCTGTCAGGGGACTGATTTGTGAATCCGGGGACTGTCCCCGGGAAACAGGGACATCTGGTAACCTTATTAGAGTCCTCCCATCTCCTTCTCAAAGCTGGGAAAGAGCTAACTAGGCTTTGGGAAGGAGAGAGGAGGACTCTAGGACCCTGTAAGAACCCTCATGCCTCCTTTCCAAAACCCAGCACCCGCCTTACCTGGTTTTGGGAAAGCAGCACAAGGGCTTGGAGTGGGGTGTCAAATGTTGCTGAGGGTTGTCAAAAAAGGTGTTGAGAGCCACATGCAGCTCTTGGGCTATAAGTTAGACCACCCTAGCCTAACCCAAGCCCATCAGCTGAAGCATGCTTGCCCGCTACTTTCTGCTTTCAGTGTTCTCTGGCAGCTGCCAGTGTTCAAAATTCCCATTGTTCTAGGCGCATTTTGTGACAGGGAATTTCATTAGCGCGAGCAGTTTCTGAGCTATGGGCCCAGTACTGTGCCTAAGGTTTCAGATTAAAACTGCAGAGTGGAAGGAAAGGAGGACCTTTGTCTGCCTCCCCACTTCCAGCTAATCTCTGAAGACTGGAGAAGAGACCCTTTGAAGAATATAAGGGGGGTGGGGACAGGGTAAGGACTAGACGATGTGAAAAATGAACATAATATTTTAGCTGCTGTTCATTCATTTTCAGCTTTGTATTATCATTATAAAAAACGCACCTAGACATTCTGTTGCTGCACCCATAACCCAGGTTTAAGCTCCTAGTTTTCCTATTTCAGTTTCTAACACTGTGCGCAGCACACATACAACCCTACCAGTTTTGACATTTAGAGGGAAGACACAGCCAATGCCATCTCTCCACACAGATGCATCTGTGACAGGGATAAATTGAATAAATTCAACTCCTCCCCCCACTGCCAATTCAGTCCTTATAAGTTCCTTCTATTAGGAATTTTCCATCCACCCAAGGGTTGCAGCAATTGCCAAATTAGCCAAGCACAACAACTTCACCAAGGACACCCAGTGAGTTTCATTAACCTGAATTTCCTACCTTTGAGTGCAAAAGATTTGCCACTACCCCACACTGCCTTCTTATGGCAGTGGTGTTCAAAACATCTGCCAATTTGAAAAAAACAACCACCCTGAAACATGCAACACATACTAGACTATTTTTAAACGCTCTAGTATACCCATTGTTTGTGCAAGAAAAGAACCTCTGGAAAAGTGACTAGGAGGAACTTATTCTTATACTGTGCTAAAGAAGAAATCTTCAGCTTTAGTAATGAAATTCTTGTGACTTTCCTCTGCAAAGTGCTTTGCAAAGCCACCTTTGGGTGAAAGCAAGGAAGCTTTTAAACTCATCTAGTTTTGGTTGGCAGAAATACTTATGACACTAACTTAGGACTGCTTCACCATGCAAGGGAAAAAGAGACACAAGTGATACATGCTTCCCTGCCATGCTTCCTGGTATTGTGTATAACAGCTCCTTGTGAAATAACATGAACCAGCTTTACTCATGCATTCTCTATTACTGCTTCCTTATAGTGTGCAAAATGGCTCCTATACACTTCCAATTGCATATTCTAAGGACTTCAAGAGCTACCCTAACAGGAAGGGTTTTGACATTGATTACAGTCACCATGAAAACATAGCAGTCTTCAGCGTTATTTTTAGAGTACAAAGACAAAAGATTTTCTTAAGCTGGTTTTGATGCTTTGGAATTTGGCCAGAACTCCGAAGATGCATTTCAACACTGAAGTGATCCATTTGTGAATTATTGTTCTCTTGAAATTAACACAAAGCTCAAAAACTACTACTTTCAAATAATCTGAAAAACGCGTCCCATCCTCTCCTCCTACTTCTTTAAAAATCTGCCATAACAAATTTAAAGAACATAGAAGTGCATTCTACACACACACAAAAATTGGAAGCAAATCCCAGTGCAACTCTGAAGTAACAAAGTTTGCATATTGTAACACTAACCCAGATGTGTAGGAATCAAGATCTACAGCTGCTGGTACTTAAAAAGTTTTTAGTGCCAGCCAAGCACTAGGTGCTATTACACTGCAACAGACCATGTGGACTGCCAACTCTTCAGTGCAGTCCCATCCCAGGAAGCTTCCTTTGGAAGCTTCAATTCTTTTTCACATTCCATCTTGTAATTAACTTGACTTCTGCACTAACTTGCAATTCAATTAGTTTTATCTGCTAGAAATACGGAGCTTGCATTAAGCGTTTCATTCAAAGCCAAACCTGACATGGCAGGCTAGCTTAGAAAGTTGAATAGACATTATAGCTTACACTGGGGATTCTAATTTCCACTGTACTTTATTCTTCCATGGCAAGTGAAACGGGACAGCATTACCTGAAAGAAGACTGCATTGGTCCCCATTTTACGGGGGTGGGGGACGTGCATTTTTGCAAAATACTTGGCGGTCCAGAGGGCATCCACCCAGATTAGTTCACCTCAGCTGTCAGTGAGGGAGCTGCTATTACACACCACACAAATACACCACACATCCTTCCACAGCTCCAGGAAGGAGAACTGATATCCAGAATGTGTCATTTTCCCACAATGCAGTGCAATTAGCAGCTGTTCCTTTTCCCCCTTCTGACATCTCATCTAAAGTCTTCAAGATGGGGAAATGAAAGAACTGTAACCTGCAGTCATATATCCTTAGCATCACATTCTCCTTCCTTGTTTACCAGAGACAGTCAGTGCAAGAACAGTCTGCCAGCTAGCTTCGCTCCATTAGCCAAGGCAACTGCAGTGCAGCTGGCTGGACTATTTCTTGGCAAACCATAGGTTGTTATTTCTTCTTCTAGTTTCAAGGCAAACCAACTCATGGTTTACACTCCTGATTAAAAGGCCCGTCATAGCCTAAATTCAAGAAGGAAATCAAAGTCCTAAGGAGGAATTGCATGCCTAGGAGCTAGATGCAGTTATTAATGCAATCCAAACTATTGTGTCCCTTGTGTTCTGTTTCTCCCTAGATGAAAATAAAATAAGGCAGGAATTGGCTCCATTGCATATTACTTTTTGCCCATTTCACTCCAAGGTAAATCTAGTAAGTCAAGGCACATAATTTCAAATGGTGTTTGGTAACATAAAGGAACTGAATACACACAAGTGTCTTTCTTCTGGTCTCCTGCATGCAATTTATACTCTAGACAAATGGCTATTTCCAAGCCCAAAATGTTATTTAAAGATAATTTTCTTTTAAAGTCTAACTTATAATCTTAAAATGATGTATTTAGAAATGAAATGAATGAATTATTTTTATTGACATAGCTATGCCAATGGTAATTTCAACACAAAACAGCATAGGAGCATACAGGGGAATCAGATATCATTGTGCTTACCATTTACATATCTAAGCGAGTTAAACCATAATAAATGTAACTAAATAAGGTGGTCATTTGCAAAATCAATAAAACTTTGATTCATGTAACTTCTTCCCTTTGGCTTGCTAAATCTGCTTCTCAGGCTTCAACAGTCCTTGTAATTTATTTTTTCTTCATCTTAAAGCTAAATTTAAGCAAAATATCCAAAAATGCTAACAGATGTGAACTAAGCTACAAATTAATTATAATTGTGTACCCAAGCTATCAGCCCACTCTGTCAAGTAGCAAAGATTATTTTAATGGCTTAATACAGTTTGGTTCAGTCCCATAAACTTGGATACTGTAGATGCAGCCCCATAGCTACGGCTGTTAAAAACAGTAATGGCTTGGAAGCATATTTGGGCGTGTTCATAAGGCACAGAACTGCCACGAATCCAGCACAACAAATTATGTGCTGTTTAGAATTTTAAGATCAACCCTGATTGGAAAAACAAGTGTGAGGTTAACACCTCTTAGGCATTATTAAAGCTTCATTTAGTATTCCCATACCTGTACTGTACAGGCACAATTGGTTTATCCTTTAATGAAGTGTAACACAGTATCTAGCAATGAGAGTTTTGCAGCACAGTCTAAACTGTATCTACTCAGAAATAAGTCCTATTTAAGTCTGACTAAAGTGTCTGTTGAATTCAATAGGACTTAGGTTCACAGTAAGTTGGTTCAGGATTATATCCCTAACAACCATCATGGAGGATACACTATAGCTTCGGTATCACATAAGCATTCAATAAAACTTGTAAACAGAAATGAAATATAAAGCTTGAACATTAAGTACGGTAAGCATTTTCCCAAATCATTAAACCAAGATGATGCATACAGCAGGCAGGAAAGCTTCAATGAAAAAACCACACCCTTCATTTAAAATCTACTTGCAATCAATTTTAAACACAGCTTTAGGTTTTAATTAATGGAGACCAAATCTGGCTGGTAGAACCGTTGGTTCAGATGACTGAGGGGTTTACATCAGGCTTCCTCAAACTCGGCCCTCCAGATGTTTTTGGCCTACAACTCTCATGATCCCTAGCTAGCAGGACCAGTGGTCAGGGATGATAGGAATTGTAGTCTCAAAACATCTGGAGGGCCGAGTTTGAGGAAGCCTGGTTTACACCTTATCTGAACAAAACCTAGTGCAGACAAGGTATAATGAACACTACATAAAGAAGTGGTTTATGTGTTTTGAACAACAGTTACATATATTTTATCAATGTGCTTAATGAAGCTTGGAATTCCATCAAAAAGACACAGCTTTTGACTTTATATATAAAAGTCAAAAGATTTCTGCTGAAACAAAAAGTTTCAATGGAAAAAGAAAACTCAGATTTTGTAGGGATCATGGTAGCACTGTCCATCTTAACCTTCATTTTGTTGGTGTTCAATTGCAGAAAACAGTCTACCTACATCGTACTTATAACTTATTAGAAAACAATCTTAACCAGGTTTTTTTTTAAAAAAAATAATTGTTATCTTTGCCTAGGAAGAAAGAACATAATTTGGATGTATGCTCCTTTCCGTGAATTATGCCTTCTTCCGCTGTAAGATCAGAAGGATGAGACAGAGAGAGAACAGCAACTTCTAAATTTATTTATTTATAATATTTCTTACTTGCCCTTCACTGTAAGTTCTCAGGGTAGGTCACAATAACAGAATATACAATTACAAAAACATAAAACCATAAAACAAGTAAAACCACAAAAATAGAAGCAAATATGATAAATTCAGCAAAAGAGCTGGGTTCCAAAAACAATAAATTTTAACTTTTCAAGGTGTGTTTTCAGCATACAGTGAAAGCTGTATGATCAAGATGCTGGATGCACCTCTGTAGAGAGGGATACTGCAGAAAAAATAACAGAAAGTTGCCACAAAGGGAATGCAGGCAAAAGGCACGTGCTCCTCAGAAGTTTGCTCAGTGGAAATTGCAGAAACACCATCATTACAACATATGCTAAAACATTCAACTACACGTGTAGTTGAATTTGAAACCTGCAGATGGAGGTCTCGTTTGACTTATTTAATATTGACAGCTAGAATTTTGATAATGTAAGCAGTACACAACAAGAAGAACTGGGGCTCTCTCTAGTAAACTGTACCCATCTAGATACTTAGCAATTCCTTTGTTTTGCACATTCAAGGGGTTGGAGAACTTGGAGTAATGACCTTCAGAGTTTCTTCCAACTCTACAGTTCTCTGAGTCTATGATTCTATTCATGAGTTGTTTATCTTGACTTTTATAAAGGAAGCCTAAACCTTTTCATTGAAAATGAGAATTTAAAAGTTATCGTGCAACTTAGGCTCATTACACAACCTGAGAATGAATTAAATCCCGTAAACCGCAGTTATCAAGCAATATCACAGAACACATCCTTGCCTTACACTGGTCCTACAAGTCTCTACCATGGGCGTAGCCAGGGGGGGCAGTTGCCCCTCCAAGATCAAGTAAAACAATAGAAATACTTAACTAACTGACCAATCACATTGGTTCTGCCCCCCCCCAACTAAAATCCTGGCTACGCCCATGGTCTCTACTGCAGTCTTTAAAGTAAGTTCACAATAGAAAAGCCATCCAAACATGTGGGCTAGGTAAAGGGGCCCCTGACCAGTCGTGACTGACCCCTGACTCATCTCGCTTTATTGGCCGAGGGAGCCGGCGTACAGCTTCCGGGTCATGTGGCCAGCATGACTAAGCCGCTTCTGGCCAACCAGAGCAGCACACGGAAACGCCGTTTACCTTCCCGCCGGAGCGGTACCTATTTATCTACTTGCACTTTGACGTGCTTTCGAACTGCTAGGTTGGCAGGAACAGGGACCGAGCAACGGGAGCTCACCCCGTCGTGGGAATTCGAACTGCCAACCTATCAAGATGTCATGATTTTTAGGCTGATCTGCATCACAGACTTAACCCGATTTAATAGTTACTCCCGCTTCCCAGGCAACTCTAAGAACTGTAGTTTAGAGGTTGTGAGTTCACGGGAGAATTTTTACAAGCCTCACCAAATGTGGGGAAAGAACCACAACAATTGGACTTGTTTTTTTAAATATTAGGTTAATTTAGGTTGGTGGAGAATCATGTTTTAGAACCAACATAATAGCAACCATACATTGAATTTATTTTGAAAGTGGACTTCACAGCTCTGCCTTAAAACTTCAAAATTCTACATAGGTTAACTCTGCTAATGTGTTATGTGCTATACTAGGGCCGGACTGATTAAGCTTATGATTGTCTACATAAGAAAGCATGCTTTCAAAGTTAGTAAGGAAAAAATATTTTGAAATTTCTATTTCAAAAGCCTTTGGGAAGGGAATTCCACCAGATCCCATGAAAACTGTTTGCTCACCACTTTTCTATAAACCCCATCCACAATTAAAGCCCACATGTACATCTACTTTACTCCAGATATTACATCAATAAGCTGAAGACAGTCACTGCTCGAAAGAGATCCCAAGACACACTGAAACTAAGCTCAGAAGATTACTCCAGCCTTCTTCAATCCTAGTTCAAACCAAACCAGCCCGGTGTCAGACCTCACATCCTGACTTCAGACCTTTATAGCAGCAAGGAATTGCAACGTCAGCTAAAAAAAAGAAAAATTACAGCAAAGCCTTCTCTACAGAATATTAACAGGTGGCGGCCCAAGGAGATGATTGCCTCTTGGGAGACCTTCAGTCCTAGCATCCCTTTTAGGAACCTTTTGGCAGCTTTGAAAGCGACTAGGAATTATTTTCCATTACGGACCGTGTGTGGCCAGATAAGAGATCGGAGAGGAAGATGCTGTTACCGGCAGCATCTATTGGCCAGGTCTGGTGCCTGAAGCAGAGCGCATCGCCGGTCGCCGTCCCTCTTGGGACGCAGGGCCACCCGCCCCTCCCGCCTTCCGCCCACCTGGACACCAGAGCGGCGGATCCGGGAGATCCTTAACGGGGAGCCCTTTCCTCCCGCAGGGAAAACAAGGGAGCCCCGGAGCGGGAGCACAGAAGAGCTGCGGAGACGCCAAGGACCCGCTCATGCCTTCGCCACAAAACCCCAAGAGGAGGAGGAGGATATGGAGGAATCGCCCTCCCGTTGCCAGCACAAAAGAGGCGCCTCAGTCTCCCCGGCAAACGCGGCGGGTCCAGGGGGAGGGGGTGGGGCACGCCGGAGACGAGGCCTCCGCGGGGAGGGGGAGGACCTTGCAGGTCCATTCACGGGACGGGGGGGGATAACTTAGCCCACGGGCCTCCCCGCCACCGAACCCGCGTCAACGCGACACGCCCGGCCTCTCGGCCCGAAGCGTCGCCGCCGCCTCCCCGCCGCTCTTACCTTGAAAGGGTTGTTGAGGTCCGGGTCGGCGAAAGGGTTGCTGTCGAAGTCCGACATGGCGCGGGGAGGGGAGGGGGGTCTGTCGGGCGCGGCGATGCGCGGATGGCGGCGGCGGACAGCAACTCCGGCCGAGCGCCCCACAGGCTGCTTCGTGTGGCTCCCCCCCCTCCCCCGCCGATGTCAGCGCAGGTAGATCCGGCACGAAGCGCCTGCCCCCCTCCCGAGCACGGAGCAAGCCGATAGGGCGCTAAGGCCTCCAAAATGGCCGCCCCGGAAGTGACGTAGAAGCTGGCCAGCACCTGATTAAAATGGAAGGGTGAAAGGGAGATGGGTTGGCGGAAAGAGAGACGGAGGTTCAAAAGAGGGCGGCGAAAGTGTGTGGGGAGGTGGCCTGCTCTTGCTTTCCGTCCCATCCTCTTTCCTTCGTGTACTTCTAATATGGAACAGTCGCTTATTCTCTTGAGTTCAGGGATTTGTTCTCGCCTTACAGGTGGGAGAGGAAGGGGCGAACTTTTCATAGGGTCATGGAATTGTAGAGTTGGAAGAGATCCTGAGGGTCATCTAGTCCAATCCCCCGCGATGCAGGAATCTCAACTAAAGCATCCATGGAAGATGGCCACCCAACCTCTGCTTAAAAACCTCCAAGGAAGGAGAGTGCACTACCTTCTGAGGAAGTCCGTTCCACTGTCGAACAGCTCTCACTGTCAGAAAGTTATAAAAAAATTGTCCAGTAGAACCTTAGAGACCAACTAAGTATGTTCTGGGTATAAGCTTTCGTTTATAAGCTTCTTTCTGAAGTGTGCATGCACACGAAAGCTTATACCCAGAACATACTTAGTTGGTCTCTAAGGTGCTATTTATTTCGACTGTGTCAGACCAACATGGCTACCTACCTGAATCTTTTCAGAAAGTTATTCCTGATGTTCTGAGTGAGGCAGATGTTCTTCCTTTTTTCTATTTGTAACACATGGGGATTCCCTGAGTGCTGTTCGCAAACACTTCAGTGGTGATACTGAATTGGAATGAGTGGTATTCAGCTAAGTTCCACTCAGATTAAACCTGTTGAAATCAATGGATCTTAGTCATGTTCATAAATTTCAGTGGGTCTACTTAGTTGAATACCACCCATCGTGGTGGTTGTGTTTTAATCATTAGTTTAAGAAGTTATCTCCATGTATTTAAGGCTCTGACCTTATATTACTTAGGAATAAATACAACTGGATTCCTTGTGGGTCAAATAGGATAGTGCACGAGTGTTTTAAAAATAGACAACAATTTTGCAGGATGACTGTTTCAAAAGAGTCCTTTATTTCAGGGATCACTTAGTTCAGTATGACTTCTGAGTAAAATGTGGATAGGATTGAGCTGCATATATTCCTCCCCCCCCAATTTAACCCTATTTGTAATTGTTTTTCAGATTATATTTTAAGAATAACTTTGCCCTTGGGAATAGGTATTTGTGACCAAATTGAGCAGGGTAGTTGGAAGGAATAAATGGCATGCAGCTGGTGGTGGAGTGTAGTAAAATCAACTTGAGGTCAGGCCCAGATTAAAGCAACTGGAGGCTCTGGGTTAGGAGACCTTGGGAGGCCAAAACCTAAGAGCATCTGATCATGAGAAATGAAACATTGTTATCTTCTTTAACTGCTCAACGAAAGTAGAAAATTTCTGACATTTTAGCATTGATAAAAAGTTTATTAAAGTATGGAATTAATGAAGACATCCACACAGAACATTATTAGGGGAATCATAGCTGTGTTATAACATTACACTATATACAAAGTCAGAACAGTTTCTTTTGTGCTCTTTTGGATGCAGATTTATCAATTACAGTATATCATTAAAATCAGTAAGTTACAGTTTGTCATTTTCTATGCAGAGAATGCTTAGATCAGACAATCAATCTTGTGACGTTGTTGGCGGTAGATCATTCTTTATCCCTTTTAGTCTAGAAAACGATCTTTTACTAGTACAGTTTGTAACCATTAAACACAGGAACAATCTGAAAATTGTTTCCACATTTGGAAAAGCTGTTCAAATTTTCTCCTGTAATATTTGATACATATCTTGGTGGCTGAAATTTTCTTTTTTCAAGGTGAGCTTGTTTGATGTACAGGTGAAAGTGTAAGAGTTCTGCAGTAGTAAGCAGCAAATATTTGCACATGTGCTTAATGAAATTTGTGAACTTTGGAGTGCCTTTCTAACTTTATGAAAGTGTGCCCAAAACTAAAACATGAAAATGAATTAAAATCCTTCCATTTTTTGCAGATTTTCAGCCTGTCGTCTAAGTATCTCTTTTTTTCAGATTCATCACAGTAAATATGACTGAGGGCTTCAACAATGTAAGTAAGCATAACATTCACTAATAGCTGCAGTAGCTTTGGCATTAGCCTCCCTTCTTGTGTCTGATAAATGTTTAGGAACTTTTGACTCAAGAGGCTGATATTTATGCAGAAGATGAGAAAAAACAATAAAGCTCATTTATTACGGCAAAAAAATTCACTGCATCCAGGGACAAGTCAGCTGTGGTTTGTCCAACTCGATTTAGGGACTGTCCAGCGCAATGGAATAAACTTTGCAAGCTTGTTCCTTTCCAGAATATTTTGTGGAATGTTGTTATATTTTCCGGCCATATTATCTGCATTGTCATATGATTTACTGAAATCATATGTACTGAAATCATATGTTCAGTGAAGTAGTTCAGTATCGGCTCAACCATACTTTCACTGGTGTGGTATTTCAGTTCAAAAAACTCAGAAAGCATTCAGCTGGTGATCCATCGCTAGGAGAAACATATCTAACCATAAGTTGATCAACATGGGAAACATCAGGGTTTGAATCAACAGATAAACTAAAATAACCTGCCAGTTTGATGTTGCCCAGTATGGCTTCTTGAACTGTATAAGCCATCAGCTGGATAACCTATTCACATATGGTTTTGGAGAAGTATGATAGCTGACGAGAGGCTTTACTTCCATATTGATTTATGTGAGTGCACAGGAAATGATCAAATCTGGCAATTAATTCAAGCAGTCTAAGAAAGTTACCATTGTCTGGTGAACCAAATGTTTCAACATTTCCATGAAATGCCAAGCCACGTTCCCCCAAAAGGGAAATCACTGCAATAACTCGCTGAAGTATGTGCAGCTCCAGTAATCCTGCTTTGATTGGTTCTTTGAGTTTTTATGTGAGTGTTTGAGCACACTTTCTTTTTAAGTATGTTAGCAGAGAGTTTGTATAATTTTTAGAGTTTCTATGGGTTTTAACAAGATAAGTGTGATGCCAATCATCAAATACAGTAGAACCTAAAGTTGTAGTTGAGGTAGTTTGGTTAGAGAAAGGTTTGTGCACAAGACAGTAGACACTTCCTTTTGTGGGGGAATACACTAGCCATTCTTGAGGGTATGTTTATCCATTTACTTTGGTGGAATAGAATAATTTTTTGAACAGATCCAGACTCTGTTTTTAGATGTTTGCTTCAAAGTGGTAAAAGGTCCATCCCAGTGCTGACATTCCGATGGACCTTTCTCAATCCAGAATGATATTTCCTTGTTATTTAATGTGGACCACAAACCTATGACATTATTGTCTCTAAAATCACTAGTAGCATGAACCGTTGGTATTTTTGTGTCTGCAATGTAAGGGTTTTCACTCAGATAATTTGCTTTATTTTCCATACTTTAAGACAGTAAAGAGCTTGAACTGCTTCTTTTGGTACAACCATCTCATGGTATGGTCCTTCAGCACCTTGTGTTAATTCTTGGGCCGTAGGTCCTACCACTTCATTGTCACTTTCTCCAGTTGTTTCTGTACTTGTAGTGGTAGTTACCGACAACAATTCTCCTTGAAGGTCTTGGGAGGCTGTGTTCTGTATATAAACTGGTTGTTATTCAGTCTGCTCAGACTACTCAGTGTAGTCTACTTGATTTTCTTCTGTTTGTAAACATGAATGTTCTGTATGAGGGATTATGTAAGGCTGTTTCTGCTTGGTTTACAAAGCCATATGACATGATTGGCTTTAAACATTTGAGTATTTCCTTCTGTGTTTTTTGTTGTTGTTGTTGCTTTCATTTACTAGCACCACTTTCATAGCGCTTACTCATTATTTTTTTCACAAGAAGTAAAAATTAAATATTGTGATTCACAGTGATATAAAAGGCAGTGATCAGAACACTTGTATTGCTTTATCATTTGATTCTGAGTAGTTTTAAAGCCTCTGTGAAATTTACTAAATAGTAGAGTATGCACTTGTGTAACTGTTATACAGTCATAGATTCATACACCACATGTTTAATATTACTAAGCAACTGGGCCTAAATAGTAAAATCTGCCTGTTTACTTTTTTATTTTGCAAGAGGCCAAGGCCCTCCCTAGATTATAAGGCCCTGCGCTGCAGCTAGCTCAGCCCATATGTAAATCAGATCTTTGGGCCTCAGGCCTCCATGGTGAGGACCCTACCCAATGGGGGCTTTATGTATAAGCACATGCTCTTTATTCATAAGCATCCAAAAGTTGTCTATGATGGCTCTGTCCCAAGTTCCCTTCTTGTTAGCTTGATTGCCTTTTGATTAGGTTGCATGTTTTAATTGCAGCCTAATCAAAAAGCAATCAAGCTAAAAAGGTATTTAGGCAATTAATAATCTATCATTAAAGCTATGTGGGCCAATCCAATGCATTGAATTTTATTCAGAAGTAAGCCCCGTTAAGTTCAGTGAGGCTTGCTCCAACATAAGTGTGCCTAGGGTTTATTGCATTCTTAATTTCAGATCAAAATCTGCTCCTTCCCTTTAGTTAAATAGGCTTGATAATAAACCATGTGCCACTGTTCCTATCATGCAGGTCCATCTCCATATAGTCAATGTAATAAAACAAAGATGGGTGAAAAAAGGAGCACAACATCTTTTTGTTGTGGTTGTAGACATGACTCAACGACTAAACAAAAACAACAAAAAGACGGGTGCTCCTTTTTTCACTGTATCTAAAAATAACACATTTACAATAAGGTAAACCCACAATCCTTTCCCTAATGGCACTAGAAATTACAGGTAAATCAATCTGATGGTGCTTTGCAGAAACTGATGTCCATACTCATGTTAAATCTTCATCTGCTGTGATACTGATGAGATTACATGCTCATTTTTAGTCATATTTCTTCCTGGTATGTTGAGGTATTAGACAATATTCTGTATTCCATACAGTACTCCCAATTTGATCGGGGGAAATTAAAATACAATTTCTTAGTAACACCGAGGGCAGCTTTTGTTTATTATGCTTAAGTTGGCTTATTTAAAAGGAACATTCTTTACAACGTACATAACCTAAGTCAATAGCCACACTTCAGCTTTTGTGCAATATGCCCCAAACCCCATTTTTATGGCAGCTAGCTTGCCATATTTGGTCTGGCTGAGACAAAGATCTAGTCCCTATTTACCTCCACATTCCAGCCCTTCAACCCATCATCCCCTTACCATCCAAGTCTCATTGTCTGACCTCATCTCCTGTCATGTGGCAACTGTTTACCTGCTTCTGTTTTACAGCTCCCAGGTATACTGATTTACCACAGACCCTGAACCAGGAGAGAATCTGAAAAACATACACAGTAACTCCTGCTTAATGAAGATGTTCACCTAGATCACTGCCTCAAGCAACAAATTCTTTAGCTATCTTTGTCAGTTTTTTATCTAAGTCAGGGGTCAGCAACCTTTTTCAGCCATGGGCCAATCCACCGTCTCTCAGACCTTGTGGGGGGTCGGACTATATTTTGGAAAAAAATATATGAACGAATTCCTATGCCCCACAAATAACCCAGAGATGCATTTTAAATAAAAGCACACATTCTACTCATGTAAAAACACACTGATTCCTTAACTGTCCGCGGGCCGGATTGAGAAGGCAATTGGGCCGCATCCGGCCCACGGGCCTTAGGTTGCCTACCCTTGATCTAAGTTCTAAGAAGGTACTTTATTGTGTGTGACAACACTCAGGTATGCCAGTGAAGTGGAACCCATGTGACTGCCTTATATGAATGGACCACATTACATTTACATCCCAAATTGCAAATGGAGGGTCAGAAGAAAATAACTTTGTTGTTAGGATTGCTTAACCCTATTAAACCTGGTGAAATGTGTCATTTGTGTGTGTCCTCATTTGCTCTCTTTTCCTGTTAGTAAAAGCTACTTAGGTATTTGTTTTTGCACATGAAATGCACCAAACAAAGAACTGCATAAATATTATAAAATGTAGCTGGTGAAATTAAACTCTTCCAGCCATGTGCTTGTTTTGAACAGAAGCATAAGTTTTACTGGCTGACTCTACTACATTTTCCACTTCTTTTATTTGAGTACAATAAAAGCTAGTAAGGAAAAATAAAATGCAGAAAATAGCTGTAAGAATCTTTCATGATACGCCACATGACGCAAACTGAACTATTTAGTTTATCTGGTCTAGGAGAAGATTTCAGCTATTTTATATTGAGCAGATGATAAGGCCAATAAATAATAGGTTATATTAGGCAGATTGCAAGGCTATGAAGTGGCAAAATATGTGGAAGAGACAGATGACTTCCTTTCAAGTAAACATTCATAGAATAGTGTCATAGAATAGTGCTCTCTCTGCTGTGGATGTAATTTATCTTGATTTCAGCAGAACATTTGACAAAGTTCCCCATGATATTTTGATTAGCAAACTGGCTAAATGCTGGCTCGATTATAATACTGTCATGAGGATTCATAGCTGGTTGCAAAACTCCTCAAAGTCCTCATCAAGCTTGATGGAATGGAAAACTGTGATGAAACTAACAAAGTGAAATTCCACAGGAACAACTGCAAAACTCTCCATTTAGGCAGAAGACAAAAATGCACAGGCATGGGATGGAGAAATTCCTGGCCTAGCAGTAGTACCTGTGAAAGAGCTATCTAGATTGCAGTTGATCACAAGCAGAACCTGGGTCAGCAATGTAGAGCTAGTAGGGGAAAATCTCTAATGCCACTCTAAGCTGCATTAATAGATGACACTGGGGAGGGATCTAGTGGGCTGGGAAGCTTTCTATCTGGGTTAGGAGATCCTGGGGACGATCTTGTGGGTGGGTGTATGTGGAATTTCCCTCGCTTTGTCCCATCTCCCCATCAATCCCCACAGTACAAGGCACAGGCTCCACCACTGTAGCTGCCAGCAGCTGGTTCTGGCTCGCCTATCGCACCACAACTCCACCTCTGGAGTTGTCAGAAACCAAGTGCAGTCCCACCTCTCCAGAGGAGATTGTTGCCCTGCCTGTTCCATCAGCTTTTGATGAGGCAGTGACACTTCCTCCATTGTCTGTCATGGAGACACCAGTGCAGGCATGAGCAGATGGTTGTACGCCCAGTCTAAGGAGCAGAACCAGTTGCTGCACTTTGTTGTGCCCACCCCTTTCCCTTGGAACAGTGTTTCAGGGGCCATGTTATTGCTAGGTCTCTGTCTTTGCTTGTGCAGGTATGCTGTGCCACAGAACTGCTTTTTGCCTATATAGTGTGCTGATTTGAGCATTGAAGCTATGGATAGAAACTGCAACCTGAGTTCTTCAACGAGTGGGAGCCACCTCAGGCTGTTGTAATGAGGACCCAGATCTAATGAGCTCAAGTTACAGGAGGCTAGATGTCTATTGAACATTAGGATAAACTATTTATTGGTAAAAAACTTCGAGCATTGCAGGAGATTTGACTAGATTTGACTAGATGACTCTCTTGGTCTCTTCCAAGGATACAATTCTATGTTTCTAAGTTAATGACTTAATAATACAATCTTATGTTACACTTGTCTATTCCTGGTTTAGTGAATACAGTATATGGGATTTCAGTCTTAGAGGTAAATGCCAGACTATATTCCTGTTCATAAAGTGTAAACTGGGAAATGTTAATAGTGGCAGTAAGCAGTGATTATTAAGTGAAGTTAATTTTAATGTTTTCTGTGAAAACATCTACCTCTGGTGCTCACAGTTGGAATTACAGAAAGAAAAATTCAGGCAAGTCTTTCCCAGCACATGGAAGTCAACATCTGTTTTTATCTGTTTTTATCTTAAACTTGCTTGTAATTCTAGTTTGATTTTTTTTGTTCCTGTTTTTAACAGAAAATTTTAATGTTTATTTTTGTAAACCACTTAGTTCTATTTACAATAAAACAGTATGTACTGTTTGTTAAATATATAGTAAACTATTACATTGTGAAATAAGAAATTGAAACTGTAAATATAATAATACTGTTCCCCAAACTGTACCCTGTGACCTGGATTGCAAACGACAGCACTAAATCAGGAACCATGGGAAGTAGCTGTTCTGGTGACTTCCAGCCACTCTGTTAACCAAGTAGCAGTGCTACTGAAATCCACAGGGGTTTTAAACCTGTTTGTTTGGGATAATTGGAGTAGTTCATAGCTTCACCTGGGTTCAACCTGCCATTTGACTTCAGGCTGCTGAAGTATCTTTGTAACTAAATCTTTAGAATGTGTTTTAGTTACTCTGAAGTCTTCCCTTTGGAAAAGACATTTAGTAAACTTGATCTGTTCAGATTAATACAGAGTCAAAAGCACAATTGTGGCAAAGAATTTCAAGCTAAGATTTTGTCTGATACGTTAGTTTCACCATACTTCTACTGCATGTCATCAAAGTAAACACACCTGCAACCCAAGAATGATAAAGTGGATTTTCTATTAACATCAGTCAGAAAAGAGGAGTTTGCTTTTGTGAAAAACACACCAATAATATTGTTCTACGAAGCTGATATATGACTGCAGTCTCACATTTGGTTAAGTTTGGAATATTGGAACACAGGAAGTCAGATCATTGGTCCATTCAGCTCAGTATTTGTCCACACTGACTGGTAGTGGTGGCTCTGATGGATTTCAGATAGGGGACATTTTCAGACCTACCTGAAGATTGAACGGGGGATCTTTTGCATGCAAAGCAGATGCTCTGTCACTGAGCTATGCCTCTTCACATTGGCTTCATGTGTGAAAGAGCACTTAGTCTTTTTCCATTTTCTCTTGTTTCTCTCTCCTCCTCCACCCACCCCTGTCCTTGACAGTCTAGATGACATTACGTAACACTTTGACCTTGACAGCGTAGATCAGGCATCCCCAACCTGCGGCATTCCAGATGTTTTGGCCTACAACTCCCATGATCCCTAGCTAACAGGACCAGTGGTCAGGGATGATGGGAATTGTAGTCCAAAACATCTTGAGGGCCGAAGGTTGTGGATGCCTGGCATAGATGGCAGCATTCTCACCGTTACACATTCAAGATGGCTAATCTTTTCCAGTGTGTGTGCTTTCTTGTGTGCATTTGTATTAGGAATCCTTGTGAAAAAATCTAAAAGTTTGATTCACTTTGTGACTGGTGGAATAAGACACTCACGTTGAGGGTCAATCTCTGCATTAATATGTTTCCTATTTTTTGTAGTTTAGAAAATACTTATGGTTTACATACAATACTTTTCTTACTACAGTGGTACTTCTGGTTACGTACTTAATTCGTTTTGGAGGTCCGTTCTTAACCTGAAACTGTTCTTAACCTGAAGCCCCACTTCACCTAATGGGGCCTCCTGCTGCTGCCGCGCCTCCGGAGCACAATTTCTGTTCTCATCCTGAAGCAAAGTTCTTAACCTGAGGTATTATTTCTGGGTTAGAGGAGTCTGTAACCTGAAGCGTATGTAACCCGAGGTACCACTGTATGTGGTTTTGTGCTAGTCAGTTTTTCCCTCGCATCACCTATGAAAGCAAAAGCTTTGAAAGAGCTCTCTGACCTTTAGAACAGATAAATTTCTATTTCCTTTCAAAGCCGAGAAGAGAAACTGCATTACAAAAGCACCAACTTGCATGTCTGAAAGCTTCAAGCTCCCACAACTGAGCCCTGTATGGACACTGCACTGAGGCAAACTGTACGAGGACTCTGTGACAAAAAAGCTTGATTAATTTTCTGCTAGTCTGAAATTACCATCTGTGTATCTAGTGTTGTTTCCAAAATAGATCTCTCAAATTCCTCATCCTTGATCTGCCAAGAAAATAATTTATTGGCCTTTTCACCTCGTTCATATACAAGCGCACTTGAGTGTAGCAAATGCTTACAGATCTGATTCTCAGACAATTTGTTACATTCCATCCAGAAACCATTTATGAATGATCAAATATTAGAAAAGATTTTACACTAGGGCAAATAAGTTAAGTGTTTCACTCTCTGCAAAATGTTAGTGGTTTCTGGACAGTATCCTTTCTGCACCTTTTTTCCTCTTCATTACTGGGTTACCACAGAGAGCCAAGAGGCTGCTTGTAGACTCACAATAGGGCAACTGATCTGAGGGAGCTGGTTGTACGTGGAAAAATAAAATTGGAAAAATACGTGGAAAAATAAAATTGTTCTTTGTCTTGAATGCTGCTTTGACTTTAGGGAACTGATTGTTGAATTTGCTCCAGGATGCTTACACACATTCCTGCTTGTTGAAAACAATACATTTCTAATCAGATTACTATACAAACAGTATAGTATATGTCTCCAGTGTTCTTTTTTGCAAAGCAAACTGAAGTTTTCGCAGCTCAGAAGGAAGAAGGAACACAGTGATAGTTTAGCAAGTAGAGCTTAACTTATTATCTTTTCTTCTGAAGCCAACATGTATTGTCTAAACCTGGCTCAGGCAGAGCTAAGCTTCCCTCTCTATTGTAAATATATGATGACACTTTTGATTTGGATTATGCGAACTAGGTCAAGGGAAAATATCTAGATATTATGGATTATTCAAGCATGCCAATAAAGCCTTTGTCTGTTTCCAAGGCAAACACCCGTACAAGATTACACATTTTGTTGTTCTGTTGACATTTCTATTGTTGCCTTTTTAATTGTCTGATCTTAAACAAATGAATCATGCTACTCTTTATTAATGCTGCAAAATCTTCTACATAATTTCCCTCTCAGTAAGAATTCCACAAGAGACAGCTCAGATTATAATTGCACTGCATAATAAACAAGTAAAGCCAATTATAAATCTATGCTGCTGTCAAACTCTTGACCCATGTCCCTTTTGTGCATTGCCATTTCCTTGAGGGCTCAGAGTGCTAGACATGGCAACAGACTGACAGGCCCATCCTGGGCAGAC